GACAATAGTACCTGATACAAGTTCAAATACTACTCGTAGTCTTCCGTCAACTGGGCAATTATTAAACACTTCAAATCAAAGCGTATCACTTACTTCTAATAGTACACAAGCAACTATTCCTCTCGGTTCGTTACCAACAGGAATGCCGTCTGCCACAGTACATGCAACACCCGATACACATTTTGCAGTTACAGTGCAACCGAATACATCAAATCAAAGCGTACCACTGACTGCAAATGCTACACAGGCGTCAGCTACTTTTAACTCGTTACCAACCATAGTACCTGATACAAATTCAAATACTACTCATAGTCTTCCATCGACGGGACAACTATTAAATGCTTCAAATCAAAGCGTGTCAGTTGCTTCTAATAGTACACAAGTAACTATTCCTCTGGGGTCGTTATCAACAATGTTACCGTCTGCTACAGCACAACTAAATACATCAAATCAAAGTTTATCATTGGCCTCGAATGCCACCCAGGGGACTGCGATTTTAAACTCGATACCAACCGTAATACCTGATACAAGTTCAAATACTACTCATACTCTGCCATCAACTGGGCAATTATCAAACGCTTCAAATCAAAGCGTGTCACTTACTTCTAATAGTACACAAGCAACTATTCCTCTGGGTTCATTACCAACAGGAATACCGTCTGTTACAGTACATGCAACGCCTGATACACATTCTTCAGCTACGGTACAATTAAATATATCAAATCAAAGCGTAGCACTGACTGCAAATGCTACGCTAGCGTCTGCTACTTTAAACTCGTTACCGACTATAGTACCTGATACAAGTTCAAATACTACTCGTAGTCTTCCATCGACTGGACAATTGTTAAACGCTTCAAATCAAACTTTTCCACCTTCATTAAATAGCACTCAAGCAGGCATTCATCTTGATTCGTTACCGACAATGTTACCGTCTGCTACAGTACATATAACACCTGGCACACATTCTGCAGCTACAATACAACCAAATACATCAAATCAAAGCCTGCCACTGAGTGGAAATGCTACACAAGCGTCAGCTACTTTAAACTCGTTACCGACTATAGTACCTGATACAAATTCAAACACTACTCGTAGTCTTCCATCGACTGGACAATTATTAAACGCTTCAAATCAAACTTTTCCATCTTCCTTAAATAGTACTCAAGCAGGTGTTCATCTTGATTCGTTACCAACAACGTTACCGTCCGCTACAGTTCATGTAACACCTGATACACATTCTGCAGCCACAATACAACCAAATGCATCAAATCAAAGTTTACCATCGATCTCGAATGCTACACAATCGTCTGCTACTTTAAACTCGTTACCAACCATAGTACCTGATACAAGTTCAAATACTACTCGTAGTCTTCCGTCAACTGGACAATTATTAAACACTTCAAATCAAAGCGTGTCACCAGCTTCTAATAGCACCCAATCAGCTATACATCTTGATTCTTTACCAACTATGTTACCATCGGCTACAGTACATGTAACACCTGATACACATTCTGCAGCTACAGCACAACTAAATGCATCAAATCAAAGTTTACCATCGATCTCGAATACTACACAGTCGTCTGTTGCTTCAAATTCGTTACCGACCATAATACCTGATATAAGTTCAAATACTACTCATAGTCTTCCATCAACTGGGCAATCGTTAAATCTTTCAAGTCAAAGTTTACCACCAATTATAAATACTACACAGACAAATTCACCTTTCAACTCATTACCAACTAGAGCATTGCCCGATGCAAGTCAGCAAACAATGAACGGTCTTCCATGGACTACTCATTTACCAAATGGTTCAAATGAAAGCTTGTCATCGTCATTAAACGGAACGCAGGCAACTGTATCTGTGGACTCGTTACTAACAAGAATAGCATCTAGTACGGTACATTCAATACCTGATGGTAACTCGTCAAATCCTTCGTTAGCGCATGTGTCGAGTCAAACTTTAGCAGCAACAGGAAACAGTACTCAAATAGGTGTTTCTGCTAATGTTTTACCGACTAATTCAAATAATGTTACAGATCATACAATCCTGAATACTCTTTTATCTTTGACATCGCCGGTAATGCTTTTAAAAGAGAATGTAACATCATCTACCAATCATACAGATATATCATCCGCTTCTGACTTGCCTACTACAAGATTACCTTTAGTTACGATTCATCAAACGGACAGTACTAATCAACAAGTATCAGGACAGTCAGTGGTACAAAACCAAACTGAAATTGTTTTACCAACGCTTTCTTCAATTAGACCAGAGCAAAGCGTTTCACCATCTTTAACTAACACAAAAACTGATTCAACTCCTCACTCAATATTCACACAATTTTCAATTGGTACCATGCAACCAACTTTAGCTATCACTGCACAAACACCATCACCATTAAATACGGTACAGCCAAACAGTTCATCTAGTGGAGAAACTGCTCACATAGTTCCATCTACGATCGAACACACGGATAGCACTTTACCATCAAGATTAGTATCTTTACTACTTTCAAATAATGCTTCATCCACGCAAATGCCACTATATACAGTAGCCAATAATCAGACAAATCAAACGGATGCAACCGGACAGCCGTTAATATCTACTATTTCAATACTATCAACATTAACAGGAACTAACCCAACTAGAATATCCAACACCAATAGAGAAATTGATACAACTCATGGTCCTGGTTTAACTGTACAAATGACAGCTGTTACTGATCATCTCACTTCACCACTTCTTACTGCACTTATGTCTTCGTCATTTTCACGATCAACGTTACCTTCAAATACAAATGATGTTACTTCTGATCCGAATAGAACTGGATCGATAGCGAATAATCTTATGATATCATCAACTGCATCTATTACATTACCGCATGAAAATATTGATTTAGCTCATAATTCGATTACTTCATCCACTTCAAACTTACCACTTTTATTAAGCACATTAATTAGCCATTCGAAGATTACCACATCGCCAATGACTGCTGAATCATTAAAACCTGATGCTGCTTTTGTAACATCGAGCCCAATTTTAACTTCAATTACAACGTTTGCAACGAATATAAATACAATTAATTCTATGTTATCAACTCAACAAACAGCTGGATTACCAGTTACTGTTTTTACTTCTGTTCATAGTGAAACTTTATCAAGTACTATTCGATCATTTTCGTCGGATCCAAATAACACTCCACAAAATACGATGGACACTACATCAATTTCAAAAGCATACACTAGTCAAGCTAGTTCTACATCGATTATGTCAAGTTTATTTCCAACACAAACTACATCGACCGTATTATCTTCGATGAACACTATTAGTGATACATCTTCATTATCTTCATCACCATCAACTGTAAACATGATATTTACAACTTTACCAACTACAAGTACATTATCGTCAGTCATAACTCAAATCACTAGTTATTCATCTAGCACGCAAAGTATCTTAGAAAGTACTACTTCTACTGGAATTCTATCATCATTATCATCAGCACAAATAAGAAATAATACGAGTCTGCTTTCTTTATTATTAACAACATCTGGTTCATTCATATCGAATCAAACATCAAGCATGGGTAATACCAATTCAAGTATTTCAGCTACAGCACAACTAAATATAGAAATAACTAATATTACAGGTAAATTGACTATCTATTTTTTTTCTTGATTATTGTTTTTTTTCTCATTTTCGTTTGTGTTAAAAGCCGTTAGTGATTGTGTCTTCCCATTTCTTTATCTTGGTCAGTGGTATTCAAAATGTATAAGTGATGTTTTCAATGATAGTTGGTGTTCATTAACAAATAATTTTGATCAAGATCGAAAATGGAAATACTGTCGAGGTAAATAAAAATCAATAATACAAATGAGAATTATTATTTTTAATATTATTTAGCATCTCGTGTTAAAACTACTGGTGGAACAGGAAATGGAAATGATTGTGTCTTTCCATTTATTTATCAAGGTACTTCATTTTCAACATGTATTTATCGTACAGTTACAGTCGGTACAATGACATCATTTTCATTATTTTGTTCAACAACATCTAATCTTGATCAGCATGGTTTATGGGGATATTGTTTAGGTAACTATCCTCCTCATTTTCCCTTAATATATGTATATATATTCTTTTTTTAAATACAAAATTATAGATTATGGTTCATGCTATTTTCCATTTACTTATAATGGTACTACTTATTCAGATTGTCTTAGTGGATCACAATCAGCTCGTTGGTGTTCAACAACATCAAAGTAATTTATTTTTTCTTTTGAATCTATCTAGAAATTAATTTTTACTCATTTTAGTTATGATCGTAACAAAATGTGGAGCAATTGTCCCGGTATGTTATAATCATAAAAATCGATATTGTTTAATTTAGTAGTTGTAAAAAGAGTATGATTACATCATCATTGTTGTATCAGAATTGAGATTACGTTTAATTGATTTCGATTTATTCGTAGCATTGTTTCGTGTTGACGATACATCATGTTTATTTTTTTTAACTGCTGATTGTTTCTTTGATTTCGATTGATTTATTTTATCAGTTTTCTTTGAACTTTTTTCTTTACTATTAATACTTCATGTAGCTGTATATGGTAGTTCAATTGATTCATTTGTTTCTGGTTTATAACCAGCACGTCGAATCTTTGTCCAATCTATACATCGACTTGAATCAATGCCACTATTCAAATTAATATAAAATTAAATATAATTCGTTTTTTTATTTATAAATCTCACCAACGATTCTTTTCGACTGACATTTTTTATAGTAAAGATAAATACACAAAACAAAAATGAATAGATTTCGATTAAATATATGTTGTATTTAAAAAGAGCGCGAGAGTATATAATTTTTCTTTCAATATTTTAGTTACTTGTGATGGGTATCCACAACAAGATGAAAACTCAGTTGGGTTTCGATTACTAACAGAAGAACGACCATGTGTATTTAAACCATTAATTTCTCAAGACAACGGTCTTATTTTAAAATATTATACAATACCAACATGCCAATTGGAACCATTATGTCGTGATAATTATGTACCATTATTTAAACAAATAACATGTCAAGAAGATGGTCGATATAGTTATCCAAGAACAATATGTTTACCAAAAAGTTAATTGTAATTATATATAAAATATACCGGAACGTACTGAAATAAGTTTCTGTACACATTTTGTTTCTTCTTTCTATTACGTCTAATGACTAATCTTACAATGTGTTTTTAATTTATATTTTTTATTCAAAAATAAATAAAGTAAAAAACAATGATTATTTGATAAAACCTTATAGAACTCATTTTTTAATTTATAAAATGTATAATAATCAATGAAAAAAGAAGCTTAGCAATTTATTATTTCGTTCTTTTTCGAGAATTTTTATCCATTATGAATAGGTATATATGGCTTGTGTTACATAGAAACGCACCCTCTTTTTATTTTTGTATTGTAGAAGCGTAATTTGTAACATTCATATATAGAATTTCTACAAGTCCTTTGCAATTCTAGTTGAAATATTTTTAATATGAATAATCGTATAAATCGAGATGCAGGATATGTTCTTGTACAAGATAAAAAACAGAGTAAGGGAACACAATATTATTATGATAGTGATGATGATGATGATAATGATTCACAAATGGCAACAGTTACACGAAGAGTTATTCGAACGAAACCAACTAAAGAACAACGTATTAAATATATTTCAACAGATGATCTTCAATATGATCATCGGCGACAGAGTATAGTTGAACCAAATAGTGTATGTAGTTTGATTCTATCTCTTTCATACAAAAAACTGAGTACTATTTCTATTCTTTTTTGTATGTAGCGTAAACTTAAAATGCGTCGTACAAGTAATGGTGATCCAGTTGTGCTTGATGAAGATGATAATGTTATTAAAATTATTCGAAATGCACGATCACCAACACCACCACCAGTGATTAAAAATCGATCGGTTAAAATTCGTCCTCGTCAACCTCAAACACTTTATTATGAAACTTCAGATGGTCAATTCGTAACACAACCCCCAAAAAATCATACTATCATAAAACCAAGAACGGAATTAACTTATAGGGATGATGAACCAACAAAATTATTACGAAAATTAATCATTGATCCTAGAACAGGTGATCAAGAAACTATTTATGAAAATAAACCTCAAAAACAGCATCGAAAAAAATATATTGTTCGAAAACAAATTAATGAATCACCACTTGATTCCGATGATGAAGATGGTCAACAAATACAACCACAGTATGTTCAAGTAGTACAACGACAACCATTACCAATACAAACAATAATAAAACAAGAAAAGCCAACATCAAAATATGTAATGATTAGAAAAAAAGTTGATTCAGAACCAGATTATGGATTATCATCATCATCTATTCCGACACTTAAGAATAATCAACGTATTGTTTATGAAACCCCAACAAAAAAACCATCAGCTACATATGTCTATTCAACAAGTGGAAAATATTACAAATAATTCTAGATAAATATACGAATGTTCTTTTTTTCTTTCTTCTTTTCCATGTATTAAACATACAAAAACAAAATGAAACTTATGTCCAGAATTAATTACTAAAAGAAAAAAAAATCAAGAGAAATATGACTTTTTTTTAAATACGAATTGAAATTTTGTAACTTACTAAACAGTTGTATAAGGCGGTAGTGTATACTGTTCATAAGAAAATTTATCATATTGATATCGTAAATCACGTACTAAACTAATTTCTGCTATTTCAAGTTCAAATGGTCCATCAGCAGCATCAAGAACAGATATAGACATTTGTGTACATGTAAGTGGTTGAAATGCAAATTGTTTATCACTAATACGTCCCATATTATTACGGAAAAATTGTGAAAAAGGAATTTTAGCTGTTGACCAATAAGGACCACCACGTGTGTATAGTACCATTGAATACATATCAGCCTAGATAAATAGAAATATTTAAAATAAAGATTTCTATTCGTTTTATTTTCAATGTACAAACATAATGATGATGATCGTGATCAGGCGTATGAAATCGAACTTCATAGAATCTTCCATCACCTCGAATACGTAAGAGAATATGAGTAAAATAAGTCCAACCTTTTTGATGAGCTGGCATCATAAATGATCCTCGTAAACGTTCAGAGAACATAATAGCAAAACCACTTTGATTATATAACGTATTTTGATTAACCATTTTCGATGAAATATTACCACGAAATAGAACTGAACCTTGTCCACTTGGTACAAGTTCAGCGGTAGATTCACCTACCCCTTCATCAAGATCTGTTCGTACATTCCATTTTTTAATTTCTTCATTCTTCGTAAAATCATGAATGACAAGATAATCATTATGAAAAAATTCATGTCTAATTAAAATACAAAAACAAAATAGTTTTAATATTAGAAGAAAAAAAAAGGAATAGTGAACACGAGTCTATTTGAAATTATCACTGAAGAGTATCATTAGTTCGAAATATCTGTACGAGAGTAGAAACACACTCGTTTGAATTCATCAATGGTAATGAAAAACACTGTCCATCATATATTATCGATTAAAAGATAGAAATAGAATTATTTTTTTGAAAAGTACCTTCTATCCCATGGTTGCATTTCTTTCCACCATCTAGTCAATTCAGGTAAAAGAACATCTTTCATTAAACGCAAAAATTGCCCTTCTCGAATAATTTGTGTAAAACTTTTTTTCAAACGTTGACGTTTCTTTGTTGCTAATGCTTTATTTGGTGTACCATATAATTCTCGATTAACATTTGCACGCCAAAACATAAATGTTCGTTGTGGTTGTGATAAACATGTTGAAGAAGATAAAAAATGCGAATTATCATTTGAATTACTCAACAGAGAACATGATCTTATACTATTAGCCGAACGAAAATAATATGGAACTGATGCAATAATTCTCAATGATGACGATGATGATCGAAGAAACATATCTGAAGTAAGTTTTTATTAAATAATTGGATTAGTATATAAGTTTATTTTAAAAATTATAAAAAATAAACAATTTGTTAGATATCTATTCTAAAATAATTGTAAGAAAATAATATTGCAAAAAAAATAGATAAAAAAAAAGGAAAATGTTTTAGATTAAATGAGATTCTATTCACTAGGATTTAGTCAACCATTTGAGCAATATGGAATTCAACGGGCATATAGATACGTTGCCAAATAGTAATTTTTGTATTTTCATCATCCACTAATTCTGATCGTACATGAACACAACCATTTTCATCATCACTTATTAATTGAGCATTATTCCATTTACCTTTTAATAACATCCACATTGTTTCATTAAGCATAAAATCAGTTGTTGCAATACTAATTGTTATTGATCCTGGTCCACGACCACGTACCATTGACATACATGGTTGTCCAAATGATCGAACAAGACCAATATTAACTTCAAGACGTTCTTTTGAATAACATGTATAGCATGTTGTATCCGTATTTCGATCATAAAAAATATGTGTATCATCACTTTTCGATAAAATAATTGATGGAGGTAAATCAGTGAGTTCTTCTGTTGACCAAGGATCTTTTGATGGATGAGAAAATTCTTCCATCCATTCATTTGATTGTTCATGCCCAACAAGAATGGTATAAACAAATGAACTCGTACTATCATCAACATTTAAATGTTCAATATAACCAAGACCATATTTATCTTTAGTTGTTTTAAAATATTTTTCATTATCTTCAAATTTTGGTTCTTGAAATTTTTTTGTTTTTATATCAACTATTGGATTTTGTTTTGAATCAATTAAATAATATGGATTACAATAGATCATCTCTTGTTCAGAACGTTTTAATACAATACGAAAGGATTCATTAGAATTTTCATTTGGATGTAAATAATATGTAAGATTTCTATGATCAGTTATTGAATGTAAATCATGATTTTCTATTGTATTTTCATAAGGAAATTCATTGATTTCTTCTTCATTATTTAATATAAATGGTGTTTGTTCTAATTTTTCTAAATTTGAAAAATTCGATTGAAATAATGTTGTTATAACCGGACGTTTTTGTTGTTGTAATAATTTAATATTTGATGTTAAAACTGTAATACGATTATCAAAACAATAAACTGAACGACGAAAAGCAACATCCCATACAAAAAAATCATTACTAAACATTCCATCTTTATTAGCGATTGATGTACCACCAGCTAACCAATTTTTTGCTGTTAAATTACAATAACCTTCAAATAATTCTGAACGTGGTTTTAATAAACATGTTGTACCAGGCCTAGAATATATATTTATATTCAAAATAAAATGTAATTAAATGTAATTATTTCAAACAAACCAATGTGACCATTGCCAACCAGGATAAGCACAACCAGCATTAGAATATTTAATGATACCTTGATTATCAGCTGGTGCAATAAATATAGAACAATTACGAACATATTCACCATAATTATTTGTATCGGATAACCAACCTAAATGAAGAGACATAAAAACGCTTCTTTTTTCAATTTTTAATTAAAAAAATATTTGTATTACCATATATTTCAAGACCACGTCGATTTTTACCCATACCAACAATACAAGCGAAGAAATTTTGACGTCGATGAATACAAGCAGCAGTTGAATTCAATGTTAAATGGCCTTCGAGTGGAACTGGATCAACACCACTAAATTGATAAATAAAAAAATAAGTTACTTTTGAAATTAAATCTCAGAAAAATAATAGAAAACTGTTTCTCACCACGAATTTGTTTTATTCTTTAACAAATCATCTTTTTCTTATTGAAAATATAAACATAACTAGATGTACTCACTCATTGATATACGGTATAATACTTTTATCAGTCTTTGGACACATATCGACAAGCATTCCAGCAACAAATGGATCATAAGTATGATCTCGATCACAAATACATACACATTTTTTAGTCATATTAATTCCGTTACATGTAACAAATTTTCCTAATAAATAAAAAATATTTTTTATTGTATTCTTATTACAAATATTGATAATTTACCTGCTCGACCACTAAGATTTGGTGGTATTTTATCATTTTCAATAAGACAAAAATTTAAAGTATGAATACAACGTCGAAGAATACGACGAATATTATCAGAAAATTGAAATGATGTATCATTCATATCCGATACTAAATTAAGTATATCAGGTAATGAATAAGATGCATATTCAAAATGACACATCCAATGATGATGTACAGTTCCATCTATAAACATAAATATAAGAAGAAAACAAAACTGATTTGAAATAGAATTACATGTATTTATTTACCTAAAGCAAGAGGTTCATGAATACGATTTTCAAATGAATAATCCAAAAGATATCGAAATGCAATAATACGTCGAATAAGTTCATCTTGATCTGATATACAAACAATAAGTCGTACCTAAAATATATCATATATTTTTTTTATTTCTAAATCTAAATTTTACATACAACATTAGTAAGATAATTATGAATAATATCAGTACCCATTGTTGATGTTTGTTGTTCAATAAGTAAATTTCCATACATAATCCATATACCTGATGTAATCATTGATTGTAATCGAGGAATTTCATTGAGTTGTTCACGAATATAAACAAGACACATTGGGAAATATCGAATTTCATATCCTAAAATATTTTTTTGAAATAATGAAAAAAACCTAATTCATTTGTTTTGTTTCTTCTTTCCCTACCGATATCTAAATGGCCTTCAACATTTAAATTTCCTTCAGCCCATCCTTGTTCTAATAAATAATCACATAATTGTTGTAATAATATCCAAACATTTTGACCTTCTTCGCTTTCAAAAGTTTGACTATGTCGATGACATTGATATGTTGTTGCAGTTCGTTTTAATGGACCCAATAGAAAAGGTTGAATATCTAACGCATTTGTTGGAGAATAAAAACCACCTTTACCTAATGGAACATTTGAAATCGTATCCGGTTTAATTCCATAGACTTCTACTAACTCTTGTAATTTTTGAAATGTTTCTGGTTTTGTAGTTGGTGACCTATTGAAGAAAAAATATTAGAAATAAGAAAAACATTCTTAAGCTTTTATTACCATGTTCCATAAGGTATAGTTTTAAGCCAACGAGTTTTTAATTTATCAATATCATCATCGGTTACATTGATTTTTTGTTCTTCTAACCATGGACGATTATAAAAAATATTCTTTGAATTAAATAACCATTTTGATGGATCATCAGTTAATCGTTTAATATTTTCTGGTGTTGCCCAAGGTTGTTGATAATCAGCTTTAGGTCCAACTGTATGTGTATAATCAAAATTAATACCATTTATAAAATAAACACCATTTGAAACATTTGATGGTGAAGTAAAACGAATACCATGTATACGAGTTAAATTAGTTTTAAATTGTGATAAAAGTCCATAACGTATACCTATTGGTCGCCAACCATAAAAATTAACATGATACCAAAGATGGGCAATAGGTTTATTATCTTTTTCACTTAAAAATTCAATATAGAGTGGTTGTTGAGGATTATTTTCATCGATATTAGATTCTTGACTATTGAATAACCAAAATGCAAAACATTTATTATTTGCCCATTTTAGAGAATGAAAAGCTTCGGGATTGGTATAAGTCAATGCTGCTGCTGATGATGACCATTCCCATTTTAAACTCGATGTACCATGTTTAAATCGTTCTGTTGATAAAGTTATTTCTCCATCTGTCGCATGCCAATATTTCAAATCGTCGTTCATAACCCCTATATGCGTTATTTTTCTGTGATTAAAAAATAAATGATGAATAACAAAAATATTATATCAAGGTACATACCGAATCGATTAAATACGCCTGCATAAGTACATCCTATCAATCATATATAGAAAGGAAAGAATATCAGTTGTTTTTTTCGTTTATATAATTTATTCTGTGTTTTTTTCTTTCTTTTCTCATCAAGTTTTATAATAATAAAAAACATAAAAAGAAAAGTTACTAATTGAAAATGTTAGCGAACAAACTGGCTTGTTTATAAGTCAATAGAATTCTACAAGCAAAAACACAATTTCACTCTCTTTGTTCTATATATATATATACATTTCACAAAAAGAATAATAATGTTAATAATAATAATAATAGTAGTAGTAGTAATAGCAATCGAAATAATGAGAAGAATACTAATAAAAAAAAGAGAGGTTTCGTTTCAAATAGCATAAAAAATAAATTGATAGATGAAAGAAAACAGCGTTGGTTTTTTTTGTTTGTTTATTATGGTAAATGAATTAAATTATGTTTTTCCTATATTCATATCACTTGCCATAAGACATGCAAAAACTGTTAGAAGCAGTTTTTGTTTAGTTTCAACAATATCATCCGGTAAGGCATAAATACGTGCACCAATTTTTCGTGCCATTGATATCGCATACAAAGCATTATCCATTTTAGCCTAAAAAATAAATGAATCACAAAACTAAAAACAACAAAAGCATTACTTCGGGTGTTCCAGATGTTTTAAGTAAATTATATTGAATAGATCCTGGTTTAATAGCATCAATTAAATCACAAATAAGCATAGAATCACTTAATGAATGATCTTGAAAATTATTTAAAAATGTTTTTTTATTCGCACTTTTTAACTTAAAACAAATAAATAGATATTTAAAGAATAAATTTCTATATTACTTTTTGATTAGCCCAATTAATAATATCTTTATCAGCAATAGGTGTTGTTGATTTGGCTAATTTCTGTAATATTGATAATGTATATGCACGCATTATTTGCCAGACAAGACCAAGTGTTAATGTTTTATTTCCTTCAAGAATATCGGGACCACCAATACCCGTTATTTTAAAATGAAGTGGTTCTTTTGCATAATCAACAGCAAAATTACAGTTATCTAATATTTGAAAAAACCAAATCGAAAATTTATTCATAAATAAAACTAACTTAATTTTTGAAAACGTTCTTTAATTGCATTAAATGTTTTATATATCTTTGGCCAATCAACTGTATTCGGACGGATAATATCATAAAGCTATATAGATATTTTTTTTGTGTTTAAAATGAATTTATTAGAAAATAGTTTTTACCTGTAAAATAATTAAACCATCACAAAGATCTGAATAAAGATAATTCACATGTGGTTCAATTCCAAGACTATTTATAAAATTTCGATAAGTTTTTTCTTCTCGAGTTTCTTCAATAACAACACCTGCTTCAGGTACTTGTTCAGTTGGAAGATCTAATGCTGGATATGTATTGAATAAATTTGCTACGAAACTGTATACACAAAAAAAAAAGAATAAATATTTTTTCGAAAGAAAAAAAGCAAATATTTATTTACGCGAAATTAAGTCTCGGATTTCCTTTGACAACATCTTCAGGTGTTATATGTGCTCGTGCTTTAATTTTATCAGCTTCTTTTAACATGAGTTCAGCTCGACGACGTAAATCATCTTCCTGAATATTAAAATAATCAATATTTATGAAGCAAAAACAAAAATAAAAAACAGAATAATAATCAGGTTCTAAGGGGTCGAAATAAAACAAATCATGCGGTAAAAATCTGATAGAAATTTATTCAAAATTTACCAGTAATATTTTATTTTACTAAAGAATTGGAATATATAGAATAGAATTGATTAAAATTTAAGATTTATTATTTTTACCTTTAATGGACTAAGTCCTACAGGTGGTTTTGTATTTTCTGGAGCAATAATATTAAGTAAATATGTATATGCTTGAGAATCCTAAATAAAAAATGTTGTTTTTCTTGCCTTGAACAAAATTTTGAAATAAATTTACTTTAATATCATTACTAAAATTTGATACTTGTTTGCCACTATATTGTGTTCGTTGTAGTTGATAATTAAACCATCGTAATAATAATTCTTCAGGTGATAATTTTAATAGATCTTCAGCTGTTTCACCATCACGTAAGAGTAATATAAGACCAGGAACATGTTTTAAATTAATTTCATTTGTTAATTGAACCTAATCAAATATTTTTTATTTGCAAAAAATATATTTATTAAGAAAAATATTTACTCGAATAATTTGCCAAAGTAGACCCATAACAAGATGTGGGACAGCTTTAGAAATATTTTCAGGATGAATATTAACTACTTTACAACCAATACCACGTGCAGAATTAATAGCTATTTAGAAAAAAAGAATGAAAAATATGAGAATATATTTGTTTTGTATATATAATTACCAAGTTCTAAATTTTCACTTTGTCGAAATATATCTTGTTTAGATAAATTTAAATTAATCGCACGTTCATCAATTGTTTTAGGTACAGCAATATTGATCAATTTACTAAAAATAAATGTTTTTGATCGATTAAAACAAAGAAAATACGATATAAATACCAAAGTAAGATACCATCTTGACATCGTTTATAAAGTGCTTGTGAATCTTTTGTATCGATAGGATTAGCACGTAAATTTAAATGAACATCATCAGCAAGTAGTCTATGAATAAAAGCAATATATATATATATATATATATTTCAATAATATTCATCAAAACTACATACTGATTTATCCAGTTGGCACTCCATTCACGTTCTTCAATTAACACACTATGATATGGCCCAGATGCTTCTTGTTTTTGTTCAACAGCAGATGATGTTGAATCTAAATCATCAGTTGAATCTCGTCGTATAGTAACAAATCGATCAACACCACCAGTTGGTTTAACAGAACGTCCCCACGTACTACCTGGATCTTTCTCCGCACGTAGTTTTAAATAAAGCTATTCGTATTTAAAAATTCATTAATAATAAGAAGAAAAACAAGAATATTTTTATTTTATTTACTTCTTCAAATTCTTCTTTATTCATATGACCATCTTTATTTCGATCATGTTGTTCAAGAATTTTATTTAATTCAAATTTTTGAACTTTAATACCTAATTGTTGAAGCATTCCATGTACTGAAGGAAAATCTATAGCTCCCTAAACGAAAAAAAATTGTTTTGAAAATATTTAATATTTATTAATGATTATTTTTTACTTTATCAAATTTTTCTTGAACTTCAGGTGATTGCCATTGTTCAGGTTGAATCCAACGACTTTCACGAATATTTGATTTCAGATCTTTTGAATTTTCATCATTTGTATTACTTGATCGATTTGCATTTGGATTTCGATAATTTGTAAATGACATTTTTTATATTGAGAAAAATACAATGAGAAATAAATTATTCACTGAGGCTATATATATCTAGAACATGTAGGTTTAAAATCATACATATATTAAGAAGTTTTTTTGTCTATGAATAGAAGTTAATCATATATTTTCTTTTCTTTTCGAAATAGAAATCATGTTTGTATAGAAATGAAAGTAAGGACAGAAAAATATTTTTATGTTTATAAAACGGAATTACTTTTTTTGTAGCTATCAATGATTAAAGAATAGAATGAAGAAAGAAAAGAAAGGTGGGAGAAAAATAATTGACATTTTCTTCTATATGATTTTAATAAAACAATGACAACAACAACTAGCAATGAAGATGGTAAGAATTGAATCAATACTATTCTCATCATATTTACTATCTCTTTTATGTGCTTATATAGATTTTTGTCTTCTTTATAATATTACATATAGATAAGAATTCTAACAAGATGGAAGGGTATATCTCTATAATGTGATAAATGATTAAATACTATTATAAGCATGAACGAATGTATGCATTCAATTTCTCATCAATCAAACACATCTCAAATGATTAGACATATGGTAGTAGGTTCGTTTTTTTCTTCTTCTCGTCTTTAATAAGTTATTAACGAGTACATGATACATTGTTTTTTTCTTCTTCTTCTCCTATCAATCAGTTTGTTTTATAGTTTGTTGATAGACGATGTGTGCCCATTAATCGATCCCAAATATTAAAAAATGATCCATAATTCCATTTACCATGTTGATGATGAAAATCATGTGCTAAAGTACCTGACATAATCCATGGTACCCAATATTGTGTACTAACATAAGGCAAATTATAACCTGAATGTGCATTCACTGTTTGATAGACACGTATAGCAATCCAAATACACAATGTAAATATATGTTTTTCTTTTAATAGAACGGGCATAAACCAAACAGCTAACTGATTTTGTAAACCTTCAATAGGATCACTTAAAATTGAAACTACACCTGTTGGTTGTTTATAAATATGATGTTTTTTATGTATTGTTTTATATAACCATGGTGTATGTAATAAATAATGTGTCCAAAAGAAAATTGCATCTTCGGAAAGAATGAAAAGAATAAGTTGATAAATTATTGTTAACCATGATGGTCGAGGTCCTTGAATGTCAAGATGACCGAAATAATTTAAAATATAATAAAGCAATGGTGTTAAGATAATAATTGATATTTGATGACGAATTGTTTCTTTCTTCATTAATTGTATTAGATCAGGTTGAAAACGTAGTTTTTTCTTATGTTTTTGTATTCGATATTTATCAATTGATGGAAAATCAAATATTTCAATACAAATTAAAAAACTATTACATAACCAAAAAACAAATTCAAATGTACCGATAATATATATACTAAATAACCAAATATCTGATTGAAAAAATGATGTTGATAAGAATTGACTATTATTCATTGATATTATTTTAGTTATATATGTCTATACGAGTCTTCTTTTCGATAAAATAAACTTCAAGCTTACCTTGTATGCATATATATATATATATATATATATCTATATACATGTGTGATTCGATTATGATAAAAAGAGAACAGATAAAGTGAAGTTAAAAAGAACGACATTGATACTATAATATTTTTGAATAAAAGAATATAGAAAATAAATAAGAAAATCGATATGTCATTGTTGTTGTTTTTCGATTTTAAAAATTATTTTGATCAATCCAGACATTTGAGAAAGACTTAATGAGTATGAATCATCAATATCCATTTTTTCTAACGATATCATTCATTCATTGGCCTATGTATGTTATGTTCGACAGATGTCTATTGATGACGGATATATCTTAGAAATCTAAAAGTATACTAATACGCGAATATAATATATGATTTTATTTATATTCTCATTTCAAAAATAAAAAAAAACAATTTTATTCAACAAAAACAAAACTTTAGTTCGATTGTATAACAGCAAACATGCATGTTTCATCTTCATTTGGTTGAATCATTGCTCGAATAATTAATAAAGCTTTATTATTTAAATCTTGATCTATTGTTATATTTGATGATGATTGATTTCGTCTTATTAATGTTGTATTACGATATCCACTATTAATATTTAATGTAACTGAAACAATTTGGTTATCTTTTGGATTGGAAATCGTAACATTTACACTAAGATCTTGTCCATATATTGGTGTTTGTCGTACAGCTGTTATAATACTAATTATATGAAATTTAACATCAGGATCATTTCCTAAATTTATTTTTTGTTCACTCTGTTTTGGTGTATCTATTAAACGACCTTGACCTAAAGTTATACCGGTTGATGCTAAATAAAATGTTATTGTACCAGCAGGTAAAAATTCTGATGGTTGTATAATAAATACTCTTTGAAATAAACCATATGTGGTACCCGTTGATAAATATGTTGTTGTTTCAAGTGTATAATTAAATTTAATTGTAGTTGTTAGAAATGGAAATGTTTTAATAGATTTTGGTCGAAGATGAAATTGACGTGTTATATTATAAGAATATGTACCGAAATTTGTTGAATCAGGTTTCGATGATATTGATGAAGATGTATCCATCATAGGACTTGCTAAATATTCTATACGTTGTGTATCTATTGATGTTGGTACTCGATGAGATGCTGAAGCTATTGGCACACTTCCAGTAATCAATTGACTACTAGTAATATTATATGAACGTTCATGTTCATTATTAATATCAGCTAATGCTCGAAGAACAGCAGCTAAAATAATTTAAATTAAAAAAAAGAAATAATTCAATAGAATAAAATCATACATTGATCATCATTAATAATAACTTCATATCTTGGTGTCCACGAAAGACCACGAGTTAAATAAGTTATATTTGTTTTTGTTATAGTTTCATTCTCTAGCCGAACAGATAAAATCATTCCATCCATTAATGGATCTTTACTAAATTCAATCTGTTCACGTTTTACATACATATATCGTAATGAACTATATTTTATTAAAAATAAATATGGATCAATTAGTTGTGCTTTTAATGTTTGACTATTTTCACATTGATTTAAATGAATATAAACATCTGTATTACGTAATTCTTCATTTGAATTATATAAATCTTGTTCAATTAATTTTTGATCAGGAAAATCAATTGTTCCTCTAATAAAATAAATATATCTTTCGAATTTTCATTTTCATTTTTTTCAACTTACGGTATAATAGCATGATATTCTTCATTAGTAAAATATGTTTGAAAATATCCATTATTTACTAAAATTTCATCTCGAAATTGTCCCACTGATGTATAAAAATTAAGTTGTAAAGCAAAATTTGTTGTTAAATACAAAAGAAAAAAATAGATTTCAAATAACATTCTCTTACTATTATATTCAATTAAGAATGATAACAAATAGAAAATGACATTTATTTTTTCTTTTCTTTTCAATGACAATCAAATTTACATTAGTCAAACAATTATTCTTATGAATAATAATAATAAACCAATAGTAAGGATTTAATGATTAATCGAACAATCAATTGAAGTTTTTTTTCTTCTTTTCTATTGCAAATATTCAATGTAATGTACATTGATTTATCCTTATGAATAAAGGTCAATATTTAATACACAAAACCTGTTATTCCTCCTACTTATAAACACGTTTCATACTTTAACAAAAATCTTTTTTTTTATATATTTGTTTAACCAAAAAGATGCGTTTGAAGTTATTTGATTATGTATAGAAATAAAAAACAATATAATAATCTTTTCCGTTAGTTCTGATTAGAGTTTTTGTATATTTACACAATGAAAAAAAAAAATAATATTAAATATGTGAATACATATTACAGAAAAACACATAAAATAAAGTTTCCTTTTTATTTTTGCTAGCATATTATTTTCTTCTTTAATCACCGAACACGAATCGATGATGTACCACGAACAGAATTATGTTTCTTCCGAGTTTCACTAGTATTTGATAATTCACTTGTTTTAGGTGAATTGATGAGTTTTTCCTATAAAAAATAAAAAGAGAATAGAAAGATTTTGTTTTTATCAATTAACCTTTGCATCTGTTGGCATAAATGGAATTGAATTAATATTACAATTTAAATCTTCTGCACTATCTTTTTGTTTAATCATCATTAGAGCAATATCAATTGGTAATGTAAACCAAATCATATGTTTATAGTTATCCGGAACATTTAATGGTGGATCAGATGTATAATCAATTGCATCAAATGCACGACGTACAGCATCAGCAGCCATTAATTTAGCTTCACGAAATGGATCCTTAAATTTAAAAAAAAAACAAAAGAAAACAAGAAAAGTGTTTTATATTATTCAAAGATTAATTTACATGTACCATTTTCTCTCCACGAGCAGGTATTGAACGTTTTTTATTACCAAAATATTGCATTTTACCAGATTTATATGTAATATCGGCAAGACTTGATTGAGCTAATGGAAAACCACTACGATGACTCCAACCAGCTGTAACAGGATTATAAGTGTACTAGATATAGAAAAATATTTATATAAATTTATATATAAATAATCATTTACTAGTGGTAAAAATTTCCATCCTTCTGTTGCAACGAATTGAACAGCATGAAGAATATATTCAACTTCATAATCATTTGCAAAGAATGATAAATTTAGACGTGTAAAACCCGGTCTAAAATAATACAAAAATTAATATAAAAAACAAAATAACAAAAGAATATTTACTTCATCATCACAGTTCGAACAATTTGATCACTTCCTCGAGCACTAAAAATAATAAATAAGATTTTCCTTTGTAAAAAACTAAAAAAAGTTATTTACCAAGCATCTTCTGTCATAAACTTGCAATAAATATCTGTTTTAACATCATCAATATTTAATAAATCAAGTGCATAAGGTCCAGCACATGCACAACCTGATCGAACTTGTATACCAAATAGATCATTTAATAAGAGACAAACAAAATTATGATGTAAATATTTGCATACACCTGGTACATATATAAGAAATGAAAATATTGGTAAACGTGGAGCTGTTTGTGAACCAAGTAGTATTAATGTGTCATTTTTTTTAAAACGTCGATAAAAGCGTTTACAAAGTTCATCTTCACGTGAAAGTAAATAGTTCATATCAATCGAATCTTTTAATTGAAAAACAAGTCCAGCACGTATACAACCAACTATATCTGGTGTACCACCTTCTTCACGAATTTCAATATTATGATTATATTCATGACATGTACGTGTTACAAAATTAACTGTACCACCACCACATGATTTCGGAGCTTTTAAACTAAATAAATTCTTTTTTGCAATTAATAAACCTAAACAAACAAACAAATAATAATTAGAAATTGATAAAAATTGTTTTGTATTTTTTTGTGTATTCACACTTACCAGGTGTGCCCGGTCCACCAACAAATTTATGTGTGGAAATAAATATTGCATCTTTATATGCTGTTGGTGATGAATTCATATCAATTTTAACATAGGGTGCAGCTGTTGCATAATCCCAAAGAACAAAACCCGAATGTTCATGAACAAGTGTTGATATAGCTTCAACATCAGTTAAAATACCACTTATATTACTAGCAGCATTCAATGAACAGATAATACGTTTGTTTAATTTCGAAAAATGTTGTAATTTTTCTTCTAAGACTGCTTTATCAAGTATACCTTGTTGTGTTGTTGCTATTCGAACCATCTTAATTAGAGAAAAGAAAAAGAAAATAAATTAATTTAAGAGAATATAAAATAGAAATGGAATTTTGTTTTTAATATACTTCAACTCCTGTTTCTTTCCATGGTAAAATATTACTATGATGTTCAAATGTACTAATAATAACGACTGTATTTTTTTTATTTGTTTCATCTTGAAGATCAAAATAATCAACAAGTGTATGAACAGCACCTGTTGAACCAGTACCAGTAAATAATAAAACATCATCATCATTTGCATTAACAGATTTTTTAATTATATGACGAGCTTCTTCACGAAATTTTGTTGATTGTTGTGCACATAAACTGGTTTCGCTATGTGTATTACCATATCTAAGAAAGAAATGAAAATAAAAAGAAAACAAATTTTGTTTTATCCTACAAAGGTAATACAGCATTTTTGATATAATTTTCAATAAATAATAATGGTCGACCCGATGCTGTATAATCACAATAGATCACTTGAAGAAAAAATATTTAGTAATTAATTAAAAATAATATAATTAAAAAAACAAAATAACATACTTCGTCTTAAACCCCATGGTCCTTGAAAGATATAATCTTTTCCAATAACATTTTCTTCAATATATTGTAGAAGTTTAGGACGAGAAAGTGAACTATTATTAGATTTGGTTAACGATGTATGATTTGTACTTGATAAAGAACTTGGATTCATAGTTGAAAAACCTCCATAATTAACACTAAATAATAAGAGATGATTATCTTTTGACCTTTGTTTACTTTTCGTTAATTCGGCTCGACCTAATGAATGCCGTCGTTTTTTTGTTGACAATGATACCAATGCCAATGACTTGGAATTTGTTTGACGTGACTGATAATTAAGAAAAGAAAATTTAGTATATATATAATAAATATCGAGAACAGCATTGATTATAAACGTCGAATGTCGATATAATAAAAAGAAATCATATCGATTCGTTAAAAATGAAGAATAAATTCATATTTTTTTGTTAGTAAAAAGCGCCATAGGAATCTTTTTTTTTGTTATTTTACCTCAGATGCATCTTCATTTTCACTAGAAAGAGGTGAATCAGATTCATAACAACTTGAACCACTATGAAGTCGTTGACGTTGTTGACGATTGTCTGATGATGATTGTCGTTTTGAATGATGTTGATGATGACGACATAATTTAGGAGATTCAAATGACATAGCTAGTGGTGGTGCAGCAGTAACATTTCCAACATTATTATTTGTATTAGGAACATGAGTTTTATCATCAATTTTTCCATTTGATATTGTACGAATAATAGGTCGAAATAATGCTGGATTTTGTAATGTCGTATTATTCATCCACATATTTGGTGATGACATTGGTGCCATATTAATTGGACTTGAACGTTGAATTTGTTGTTGAATAGGTGATGTTACTGGTGGTGATGAACGTGGTACTAATTGATCACTTCGATATTTCTGTTTTTGTTGCTCTCTTGGCGCTTGTATATATCTGATAGATGCAAGACCTGGATTTGGATATGCAGCTTGCATTGATTGTAGTTGATTATATGGATAAAATAACACATTTGCTTGCGGTGGTGCAACATACATCGTTTGTTGCTGTTGTTGTTGTTGCTGCTGCTGCTGCTGTTGCTGCTGCTGTTGCTGTTGCTGCTGCTGTTGCTGTTGCTGCTGTTGATGATGATGTTGATGCTGCTGGTGTTGATGGGGATGCATTGTAATTAACTAAATAGAAGAATATTTTTCCTTTCATTCTACTAATTATCATACCTGTGCTGATGAGTACGGAAACATATTTCCTGTAGATAGTACTTCTGATTTCTATCTAAAAAAAATTGTTGATATTATGGGATCTATTTTTTGCGAAAAGTAATGATTATGACGGTGATGCTTCAGAAGGTGAAATTAGTGTTATTATTATTGAAAAATACATAAAAGACAGACAATATACAAACAAAAACAGAAAAACCTTGATGTTTGTTTTGAATAAATCACAATACTTACGTAATATGCATAGACAAATGGAGGACAAAAGACAGAAAATATATTCAATGAATATGATAATAATATTATCTTTTTATAATAGATTGACAGGAAAGGTCTGATGATCATATGAATGACAAATATAAAATATTACAAAACCACAAAAACGACAGATAATAACAGTAGAAATATTATATATATATATATCGATGTATATGTATATATATAAAATAAGTAATCAATATAAAAATATATCAATATAATAAAATGATATAGTTATAATAAAATAAAATAAAATAAACTAAAATAAAATAAAATATAAAATAATTCTATAGGATACATTTTTAAAAAAGAAAAAAAAAAGAAAGGAATGCATATCAAACGCTCAAACTACCTTTAGCTACCTAATGTGTCTGTTTATTAGCAGGTGAATCCGAAAAAAAAATCAGAACTGATTGAAAAAATAGCCTTGGAACATAGTCAAAATATGTGGGTTTTTCTTTTCTCCTTCTCGTATCCATAGCTCAACGTTGACAAATAACATTGATAATGTGAATGATGACGATCAAGATACTCATTATATCTATCATAAAGGTAAAAACGATATCAAAAATATATTTCTCATATGTTTATTATGTTAGCCTTGAGTTATAAATATAATATATAGTAACAAAGATCGATAGGAAGAAAATGAAAACTATTTTTGTTAATTTAAATCAATAATTAGTGCTATGTTTTTGTTTTTGTCCAAAAAAGAAATTATAATTTGAGTCATACACTCTTTTATTTCAAGGTTTGTAGAACGATAATTAATTATTATAGCATCAATTTACTAAAAATATATACGAAAACAGGTCCATATGGTTACTTCTTGTGTCCTGTTATAATTATTTCATAAGCTATTTTCATCATTACGTTACGAATTTATTCATTTGGTTATTTATAGTATACATATATCTATATATATATATATATCTATTTATAAATGTAAGACTGAAAATAGAAAGCTATCATTTTCTTTTCTTCTACAAATTGTTTTATCTTTCTTAAATATAGTACTCACGATAATATTTATACATTTCATTACCTTGACTTGGAAAATATTTTTGTATCGTTCTAGATTTTAAAATATGATAAATTGTTGAGTACAGATTTAATTGATAACGATTGTGAAGTTTTATTATAAAAGATAAGTGAACAAAAATGTGTACAAATTTCTACTGAAATGTATTCATATGACATTTGATGAAATATCTTTTCTATCTTTCAGTCACTTTTTTTTCTTTGCCTTTGATTTTATGTGATTTCCTATAGAAAGAGAAAAAGATACGTATATGGTAACAAAACGGAGGCGTCATAATAAATTTTTTGCATTTTTTTGCTCTTGCATTTTTTTCTTTTAACGTTCCGCTCGATGTATTTATCGATATATATAGATAAGTATGTGATGTTGCGGTTTTTTTCGTCTCTTTTTCTTAATATGTCTACGTACACTACTGATAATGAGGTCTATGTATTCTACAAAATTATATAAATAAAGATGAAAATATTCAAAATGTTCGTTCTCTTTTTTTTTCTGTGTACAAAAAAAAAGATTGAAGAAAAAGATGAAGAAACAAAAATAGATCAATTGAATAATTTTGTTGCTTAGAAGAGATTAAAATAATGCATAGAAGAATATCATGTGTATCCAAATGATTTTGCTAATTGAAGATCTTGTTGTAGTTGATGTCGTTTTATTGAACGACGCTGATGTTGACGTAAACGTCGAGTTTCAAGACGTAATTGTCGTTTTTCTTCTTTTGATTGTTCATATTTTCGACGAAGCCAACTATATATAATAGATAAAGACAATATATATGTGTCGGAATTGACTTGAAAAACGTAGGAAAAAAAACACTTTTTTTCAATATTAATTAATGATTTTCATCTAATGAAAACTTATCGATGAGAAATTCATCAAGAACTTGTTTGTAATTTTCTTATTCTCATAGAATTTGATAAGAAAGGTCGATTTTTGTCCAAAATGTGGATGTCTATCTAAGCATATTAAACATGAGATGACAGTCAAACGATATAAAAATAATTGAAATGTACAATAAAGTACTACAGATATCATTCAATGTAAACAATCTGTTTCATTGCTCACATCAAAAATGATTACAAGGCTTCTTTTGGTATTAAATACTATGAAAATGTAAAAATTATAAATAAGTTCTTGATAAACTTTCGTCAAATGAATATTACAGAATAGTTTTATTTTTCTATAATCAACTGTCACATAATTTGATTAAATCTTACCGACGAAATGCTCGATGATCATTTTGTTTATTAGGATTATGAATTGATGAAGATGATCCACCGGACATCTGTTCTTCTTCATCCGCTTGTAATTTTTTAAATTCATTTGCCATTGTTACTTCTCGATTTTTACGTTCAATCCATTCTTTATATTTTTTCTCTCTTAATTCTCCTAATTCTTTTTGACATTGTAATTCACGAGCCTATATATTAAAAAATAAATACGATATATAGAAAATTGCTTTTTATAAAACCAATAATTTTTACTTCTTGTTCTTCTTTTTCCATACGTTTTTCTTCGTTGAGTCGTCTACGTTCAGCATCTTTATCCTGTACCCATTGTTCGAATTTTTCCTTCGCTCTTGCTAATTCTTCTTTTCGTTTTGCGTCAGCCTATATATTAAAACATGACATTTAATTAATCTTGAAAGTTTTTTGTAAAATAAAACTATCATAAATTCTAAGAATATCTTAGAGATTGTTATCAAGTTATAGAATAATCATTATATTTCGATCATGCGCAGTTAGTATTATTGCAGAGCTTTGGACTGATTCTCTCAGTTGACAAATACTTGGTACGAGTCATAATCCTATTTTTAAGCATAAGATAATTTGTTAGATTATTAAGAAACTATTTTTACCTTTATGCTTAGTGTAAACTTTTCGTTTTCTTTAACTTCGAATTAAAACTCTCTTTTCCTATGTTTCGTTATGACTTGAGATAACTAATCTTAATTAAATAAAACAATTCGTTTTTTTATTTAACTTACCTCTTCTTTCTTACGACGTTCTTCTTTCATCTCTGCCCGTTTTTTTTCAGCTGCTTTTCGATTCAATTCATCAAAGTCGATACTGCATGGCCTTTTTTTTAAATAAATATATTTACAAGTAAATATGTAATAGAAGAAAAACTTATTCTCACTTATTTATAAATGATTCTATAGATTTTGAAACAGTCGCACTAAAACAAAAGATATTAAGAATTTAATTGTATATATATTTATCATATATACCTTTTTGTTCTTTGCTGATTATTTGTTGATGAGTTATTTCTATTATAAGACAATGATTTTGATGTTGAATTATTATCAGATCGTTTCGTCGTGTCTGATGACTTCGGCCTACTCGGTGATGCAGGAGGATGACGAGATGCTTCAGGTTTCAATGAGTTTTGTTTGGATTCTGTTGATGTGTGTGTAACTTTTGAGTCTTTTATGGTCGATTTATTATCGTTATCACCATCATCTGACTGCGATTGTTGTTTTTCTTTTAAATGTTTAGCTGTATAATCATCTTCATTTTGGATTTCAAATCCACCATTAATAGAAACAACCATCGATCTTTGTGGCGATGATGATTCTTTTGTTGTCATATCAGAAGTCTTTTGCGTAGCGTTAGTGTCATTTGACCTTACTTTTGACGTTGATTCATTATCTAAATAAAAATATAATATTACATAATAGGAATATTAGAATGATTCAAATAGCAATAAGTTATAAAAGAAAAATGATGAATATCCAAGTAAACGTTTTTTGACAACTGTTCGAAAAATAAATAATAGATAAGACAGGAAGAGATTGATATCGTATAGTTAAGAAATTAGACTACTGTTATTCTTTTTCATGTACTCTTATAAATCAATACCTTCTCGTGTCGATGAATCATTAGTTGTCTTTGTATTTGCTGCTTGTCGTCGGTCACCTGCTGGGGGACCGCCATGAAATTGCATCGCTTTCAATTGTTCTAACAATGTTGGACCCTCTTTTGGTTGTGTATCATTAAGTGGTACAGTATATTCATGTGGATTACTTTCTTTTTGTGAATTAGTAGCATTTATTGCTGATTCTTCCGCAACAGGTGAAACAGGTGGTTTAGCTACACGATTTGTATTATCATCAACCTCTGGTTCTTGAACAATGTCAACGGCTTTAACAACAGAATCAAATGAAACACGTTGTCGATGTTTTAATTCGGCTGGTGTTTCATCATGTTGAAATTCTTCATTAGCTCTTTTAAGTCTTTCTTGAATAGCAACTTCATAATCAAAATTATTTCCATCGTCAAAATGTAATTCATCTATTTTAAAATAAAATAAATATTATTTTTTTTGAAAGAAAAAAGAAAGTAGAAGAATTAATTTTTTATTTTACCATCACTTGGATCATTAAATCCTGGATCAGAAGGATGAAATCCAAAAGGGAGAGGATCAACAAGTTGTGATAAATTATCAGCTGAATTTGACATTATATTATCGTCTCTTAAACCAATATTTGCATACTGTCGATTCCAAGTCAATAAATCTGCATCTAAATTATTAAAAATTTATTTTAGAAAAAAAAAGAAAATAGAAATTCGATATAAAAAATAAACCATCTAAATGTTGACCAGGTCGTATTATTGTTGAATTCGTATTATTATTATTACGAAGCTGGCGATTCTGTGTTGAACTATCCGACATTGATGGAACTGATCGATCATAAGATGAAAATGTACTTGTGACCGCAGCCATTATTATTTTCTACAATCATAATCTGTATATAGATATTTTTCTTCTTTGTTTTAATGTCGTCAAATACTTATACCTTAATAAAAACACGAAAAGCATAAAGAAGAGCGGATGTTGAATAAATAAAAATTTACAAGTAGTATTTTCAAGAATAATTATAGGAAAAAGAAATTGGCAGATAGAAAGAAAGAAAAAGAAAAAGAGAGAGAATATTTTATTTGATATTACGGCTTCTTGCGGACATATTCAACTTACGTTTTATATTGTCTCATGACAACAATATTTATTAATTTAAAAATAATTTATTCTATTCATTTAATAAATTATTTCAATAAATAAAACTTCATTTGATCAAATTTTATTCTTTTTAATTAAAATTCGATTGTTTTTCTTTAAGTAGATGTCACTTTTACAAAGAATTGTTGCTTAGCAAACCTTTAACATTGATGAAATCAAATGGTTTAATTTAATAATATGTTAATAGAAGGTTTAGAAAAAAAGAAAAATGACTGATATAGTCCTAGAATCTCAATCTTCGTCCTTATATGGAATGGCACCACCAATAAGTGATGAAGCTATGGATGCGAAACGAAAAGCATTAGAGATTCTTGTTGCTCAACCTGAACGAGATCGACCTCCAGTACCCAATCATCTTCTAAATTCTAGTAAAAAACGAAAAATATATTTATCATTTTTACTTTGACATTTTTTTTCATTTTATTTATTTCTTAGAACTTTTTGTTAAATTAAAAGGTAATAAGCTAATTGAAGTAACACCACATGAAATACATTTCGATGGATTTGAATTAAATCAAATTCATACACGTGAATTACATATATTAAATCGTTCATCTGAAGTTTTACGTATTGATATTATTCCACCACAAACATCATTTTTTCAAATTGATTATAAAAAACCACAACGTCTTGTCACAGGTTTTTCTATACATGTTAAAATCTACTTTAAACCAACACAATGGCAATATTATCATGATGCTATACGTATACATACACCTGAACGTGATCATCATTTAATTGTACCAATACATGCATATCCAATAATATTACTTGATGGAATTTTACCAAATTCATATCAATTTGCCAATACACCTGTTGGACAAGTGTATGTAGGTGTTATTTTATTCATATATCTAACTAAATAAAAATATTTTAAAATAGTGCAACAAAAACATTTTCATTTCAATCAGGAGCACCCATTGAATTTCAATATCGTATTGAAATGCTTAGTCAAGATCCAGCGCTGACTATTGAACCAGTAGAAGGTACAATTGAGAAAGCAAATGTTACAAATATAACTGTAACATATGCACCAACAGCATTTTGTACATCACGTTTAGCAGTTGCTATAATTGTATCACAATTTCATGTACAACCATTTCTTTGTACCTTTGTTGGCAAATGTATTCCAGGTCTTGCTAGGTAAAATTTCCTATTTAAACTTTTAAATAACTAATCATACTTCTCTTCTTTCTTTAGAGATTTAGCTAAAAAAACTCTTGGCATGAGTGGTCAACTTTCAACAGATAATATTAATTTATTAACAAAAAAATTACCAACAGCTACATCTTCAATACCATCAACCACAAAACAAAAATTAACTAAACAACCAATGACAGAATCTATTATGGACAAAGATATTGAACGTGATGGTCTTCGTATACCAAAAAAAATTGATTCAACATGGGCTGTATCAAAAGTACTTTTACAAAAAAAAGGCAAAGTTGCATTAAGAGATTTAAGAAGATTCAATGAATTATCATTAGAAAATCAACGGGGACTTAATCGACAAAGAAAAGTAAAGAATTTTATTAATACACATTCTCATTCTTATCATATATATATATAGGAAACAATTTTTTTACAAGATGTTAATCGTATTGAAGATGAAGAACAACGTAATAAAATTCGTTGGCAAACAAAACTTGGTTTTGATCCATTATCTCTAACAGAACGTGAGGGTATTCTTACTAGTCGACAGATATCTTGGGACGAATATTCAGTGAATATTATTTTCTTTCATTTTTCATTAATTATTCTTATTCAATATTAGATTCGTATCGGTCATCCAATTCCTGAAGATGAATATATTCGAGATACAGTTAGTTATTCTGAACAACGGACTATTCGACCACTTGAGATGGTAAAAACCATTGAATTTAAATAGAAAGATAAATAATTTTTCCTATAGAAAATTCGTACGGATGCTGAATTTGATCTTCATACAAATAATCTTTGGCTTAATCGATTACAAGTTCTTGATCGTTTTGCACAAGCAGCTCGAAAAGTATAATTACATATTTATATTTGTTTTCAGAAAAAGATTAGAAATAATATATATTTTTTTCAATAGATTATTGTCAAACGACGTCTTACAAATCGTCTTAAAGCCTTACAAGCATTTATTAAAACTTTTAAAGATGCTAAAACTAGTAAGAAATATTTTTTTTTTATTATTTGATGAGAAATATTTAAATATGATTTAGATGATGATCTTGATTTATATGTTTATGAATATCTTAAAATTCTTCGTGGTGAAACATTAGAAACAGATGGTCATTTATTAATTATTCGGAATAGTACAATTGGTACATTTCATTTACCAAGAAGTGATGAAAATGAACAAGATAATTCAAATGTAAAATTTGATAAAAAAAAATAATGTTTCCTTTCTTCTATTTTCTCTATTTTCTAGACTATTGAAGGTATTGGACCTGTTAATGCACCACAAATGGCTTTTAAACTTCGTTATGTTTTACCTGCAATGTCATTAACTGTACCTAATCAATATAAACTACTTAATTATCAATCAACAAATCCATTACTCATACGATATGATTATACAACATATAAACTACCTAGATCATTACGTATTGGTGCTGAAGATGAATTAATTAAACTTGATGAAACATCAACTGAGAAATCACTAGAAACTTGTTTACATCCATTAGAAAAACCTGTAACAATTAATCCAAGTATTCCATCAGCTCTTCTTACAGCACCTGTTTATCATCCACTTACCGTTTTTGTAAGTTTTATTTTCAATATATTTATTAATTTTATTGTTTGTTTTTTTAGAATCCAACACCAGGAGTTATGGTCTATGAAACTCCATTACCTTATTCAGCAATTGATCCAGATAATGCTATTTGTCCTGTACCATTAATTGAACGACCTGGATATTTATCTACAAATCGATATCTTGATCGAGAAGTAAGATTATACGAATAGATTAATAAATATAATTGTGAATATTTTTTCTTTTTCTCTCAACAGGATGTTATTCAAGGAACAATGACATGGAAAAATATGAGTAGCACAGGCCTTTCTGCACTTTCTCAAGTACCTACTATGTCAAATGTTTGGCTTCCGAGATGGTTTGTTGAATATATTTTTTTTTTCTATAATCAAACATAGAAATAATCTATTTGAAATAGGAATGATCCATTTTCTCAAGAAATTTTACCAACAAATGTTCCATCACTTTTACATGAAATGCCATCATCTGATCGTAATCAACTTCTTGATGAGTATGTTTATCGAATTAAATTATTTTAATCATAGATTTTTGTCTATTTTAAATAGTGAAATGAATGAAGAAACCAAACTTGTTCTTACACCAGAAATGATTCGTGCTGAATTTATTGATTCACATGTTGATACAACAACATCAACAAATGAAAAACAAGAGTAAGTTCTTTCTCTCTCTCGAAAATAAAAGACATAATTTTATAATTAAACTATTCCGTGAAATAGTGGTATGTTTAAGAGAAAGAAAACAACAGTACCATCGACATTACAGTAGGTTTAACACGTGTGTTATTTTATTCTAACACTTAATTTACAATCAAGTTTTACTTAGATTATGTTTACAAAAAGAAATACACCACATCATGTTTTTTTTTGATGAAAAAATTTTATTAAATCGATTATTTTTTTTCTTCTTCTTCTTTATTTAGTTTATTTCCTTCTGGTGATAAATTGCCGGAATCAAATGTAGTACTTTCAGTTCATGGTCGACCTCCTCGGTAAGTTGAAGTTTTTTTCTGAATAGAATAAAAATATTCGAATATTTTTTTTCATTATTATTATTTAAGATTTCAACGTGAACAAGAACTTGATTATTTTCAACGTAAAAAATTCGGTGAATTGATTGATAGAGTAAATAAATGCATGGAAAAAAATCATAGTATACCACAAACTGATCTATCATTATCATCTGATAATCATCATCAACAACAACAAGAGCCAGTATTAATCGAACCATCTCAATAAAAACAGTGATAATTGTTTTTCCTTTATAATTATTTTTTTTCTGTCTGTATTAATTTCATTTTTTTTTGTCTTGTCTTTCCTAACTAAGACGATGATCGAATATCATTCGTTCTATATCTTCTGAATTAATTGAACAAATAGAGTGATTGACTTGCTTATCTGCTTCTATTCGGCAATGATCTAGACAATGATGAGAATGTGCACGGAAATTCTACTGCTGCTCTCTCTTCCGTTGTTACAATTGTAAAGGGAGAGAAAAAGAGAAGATCTCGTGATTATGATGAAGATGAACTGCGGTCTTTTTACAATGTCTTGCTGTTATTTGTGCTAGTTGTATTGAAAAGCGATGATGAAAAAAAACGAGAGAAAGAAAAATGAGGGCTCATTTCCATCTCGATAGTATAGCCTTGAGTTCTTTGCTTTTTTTCTCCTGCTTTCGGTGTATGTGAATGCATGAGAAAAATACTATGATGACAATGACTAGTGGTTGTAGTTTCCACAAGCAAATAAATAAGAAGAAAAAAAAAGAGGAACCACCAAAAAAAAAATGAAGGAAAGAGAGCGGGCAATGGAATCGTCGGATAAATAATAATGCTCACGCACATACGCTGCACTCATATAAAGAATAACATCAAATAGGGCTAGTGAAGTAAGAAGAAAAAGACGAAGAAGAAGAAGCAGAAGAAGAAGAAGAAGAAGAAAAACCAAGAGGAAACAAGTAGCAAACGGGAGACCGAGGTGACAACGACTAAGTTCGTTCGTTTGGATCGCGAATCGATGTGAACAAAAAAAAACAACAGGCAACAGTTATAAACGCATATTTTTCTTTACAAGATATAATATGACTAGTGATGAAAAAATGACGACGACAAACACATCAGCTGAAATCAAATGTATTATCGTACAACAGACGTTTACTGGTAAACGTGAACTTAAAATAACAACAATGCCAAAACCACCACCCCCTGAAGACGGTGAAGTATTGATTGCTGTTAAAGCATGGTAATATATATAAAAAGTATTTCTATAATAATAATTTAATATCTATTTTTAGTGGAATTAATTTTAATGATGTTCTTGTACGTTATGGACTCATGGAAGATGGTCTTCGACCTCCATTTGTTCCCGGTTTTGAATGTAGTGGTGAAATACTTGAAATAGGTCCGAATGTTACAAATTTTGAAGTAAGTTCTAAAATCTATTATGAATAAATCAAAGTTTTTCTCATTATTGATTTTTATATAGCGTGGCGATCGAGTTCTTGCAATAACACGATTTTCTGCATGGGCTGAACAAATCGTTGTTAAAAAAGATTTAGTATTTAAAATTCCAAAAGAAATGTCATTCCGTGAAGCAGCTGTACTTCCAATATCTTATTTAACAGCTTATATATTATTATTTGAAATTGGTAATATTAAATCAGGTCAAACATTATTATTTCATTCCGCTGGTGGTGGTGTTGGTGGTAAGTTGAATTTTTTTCTTTTCATGAAATCAAAAATATAACAAAATTTTTCTTCTAGTTGCATTGACACAACTATCAAAACTTGTGCCTAATTTAACTCTTATCGCAACAACTAGTTCACATAAATTTGATGTTCTTCGAGCACATATACATTATTTATTTGAACATGGTATTGATTATACAGAAGATGTTAAAAAGTAAATAACATTTATAAGCCTATATAATTGAATACTTATTCTCTTTTTTTTTCTTTCGTAGGATAGCACCAGAAGGTGTCGATTTAGTTCTTGATTGTATGGCAGGTGATGATTGTGAACGTGGTCTTGCATTACTTAAATTTAATGGAAAATATGTTATGTATGGAACATCAAGTTTACTTAGTTGGGATGTAAAAAATTTATTTGGTATAACGAAAGGAATGACTAATGTATGAATAATAAAATCCCTTATTTCTTTTTTTTTATGTTAAATCAATATTTTATTTTTTTTGTTATTGTCTAGTGGTGGCAAAATGATAAAATAAGTTGTTTACGTTTATTTCAAGATAGCAAATCTATACATGGCTTTAATTTAATTCAATTACTTACACGTGGTTCAAATGATACACGTCGTTATTTAGCTGATATAATGCATAAAGTATTTTTACTTTATAAAGAAGGAAAAATCAAACCAGTTATTGATTCTGTATTTACATTTGACGAAGTATAAATAAACAAATTTTGTTTTGTTTACGATAAGTTTATTGATATTTTTTAGGTAAATAATGCTCTTGGTAAATTAGTTGAACGTAAAAATATTGGTAAAGTTGTAATTGAACCTTATCCTAATATGAAATCGGAAAAAGTTAAAAAAGTAAAATACAAAAGAATATTTTTGTTCTATAGAAATAATTATTTTTTATTATATATAGATTAAATCAACTGCAACACCTGGACATCAAGATTCAAGCTCAACATCCGGTCCTGATGATGATGATGATGATAAAGAATCTGAAGAAAGCCGTCAAAAATTATCGTCTTCTAATCAATAATTGTCGTATCTCTTCATTATTTATTTATTTATGATATAAATGTTTTTTTGTCCTTTGAAACCTCTTTTTTCTGTTTCTTCTGTCATCGTTCTATGAAATTCCCCAGCACATACTAGTTATATCTTTTCCCATTCACATTTTCTGTTCTGTTTCTCATTTGATGTCATTCCATTTTGACTAATGCATTTCTGTAAAGAATAAAATTATAATAATAATTAAAAGAACAAAAAAAAAGAACAAACGAATTGTTGAATGTTCGCATTTATGTTAAATTAAATTTAATCATGATTGATCTTTGCTCCATTATGAAAACAGAAAAAAAAGATTTTTACTTTTAATAATGATGAAACAACAGACAGCAGAAAAAAAAGAGACAAGAACGTTTATACACAGGCAGAGAGTTATTATGAAGATAAGACAAATGTTACCATGTGCATGAAAAAAAGAAGAGAAATTTAGAAGAAAAAAACTCCCTACAAGTGTTTATGATGAATTGTTCTATGATATTATGAAGCGATTTGAGGATTGTCTTTTTTGTCTTCATCAGCTTTGTTAAATACTTCAGGCAATGGTGGAGGTGTGCTCCTAAAATTAAAAAAAAATCAATGTAATTAAAAAAAGGAGCAAAAAAACATTCTTTCTTTTTTCTTTTGTTCGAGTTAAAGAATAGTTTTCTATGTCAGTCAGATTTCTTCTTGAGTTCTACTAATGAAAACTTCAAGTCTATACTAAAATGTAATTAACTGTAGTTATTCGAGTTTATCAACGATGAATTTTTCTTAAAATTCATCTCTGTTCATATGATGTATTCAATTGTCTGTCAAAATATAAAATCGACTTTTTTATGAGATAATACGGATATAAATCGATCTCTAAAGTTAATCATAAATACTACAGTTTTATTACTGAAATAAATATTATCATTTTCGGATTAATTTAATTATAAAAATTTCAAACTTACAATTCAGCAACATCAATTGGTTCCCATTCGTTTTCATTACCAGCCTTACGATAACATAAATAAAGAAGTGTAGGAGAATAAGCCTTAGCTATAGCACCTGACAATCCACAATCGGCAAGTGTTTGATTATCGTCATCCATTGGTTGTTTTGTTGAATCGACTATTAAACGTATATTATTCGATGGAACTTTTGTAATACCTTCAATAATTTTTTTTAATTCAACAACTGTTGATGATTCTTTAGCATCAATAAAGAGCGTAAGTTTTTGCCGACGAACCATCATAAAAACGTCCATTGTAAAAGTAATAATACGCTTTAAAATCTACAAGAACATTTTTATTGATAGATTATATATATATATAGTATCATTTATTCGAACTATGAAATATTTTTATATGAACAATATAATTCTTTTTTAATTTATTAGATAACACAACCGTTGTTCATCTATAGCCACAACTAAGACTCATGATCAAATGAAGAAATCATTAAACTTTCGTTCAATTAGTTTGATCCAATCGTATCCGATTATATTTCCTCTAAGCAACTAGCGCTGATTTGAATAGAATTTCATCTCTATATGATAAATATCGTTTACAGATGTCATTACTAGTTTATGTTTAATAATTTAATTTTTTTTTCGATATTTTAAAACATGTGCACATATTTCAAGAAATATGACAAGCAAAAAAAAGAAATAATTATAATTTATGATTAAATAGTACATTCATTTCGAAATCACTATCATCGTATAAAATCATTTGAAAAAGGAAAATACATCATAATCGAACATATTGATGATCATCATTCTGACACATTTATATAGAATATTTCTTTTTCTTATTAGTAAGAATATACGAGACAGACTATGATGAATAAACAAAAAATATTCATATATTCGCTTTAGGTGAGTACAAAAAAATGTGCAGTAATAACCGAAACCATGAAAGAAAAAAAAACGCAATAATATTAGTTAAGGTAGAAGGTAACACATTGATTTATTCCGATTAGATTGATATTGTCGTTATCGTTACTGCGCGTATATGTTTTGAATACTCTTTCGTCGTTTTTTTGCTTTTTTTTACATATTTTCTTGATTTTCTTTTTATGTATTGAACGCATAGAATTGCAATGCCGAAATATAATTTTATGATATCGAAAGCGGTTGATCTGGTCGCTCGAAAATTAGCTGGTATGGATACAGATACAATTGCACGTTTAACATCAACTTTAAGTGAAGAAGCACAAATGATATCCGAAGAATTACAATATAGTGGTGAACAGGTTGATTCAGAAATTTTAGCAGCAAAATTAGAAGGAGTTATAGCACGAATGAAATATGAAGCACGTAATAAGGTTGTATAGAAATATATTTTATTCATTCCTATTAAATCGTTTATTATTTAAAAAAAAAGGGTCCTGATCCATCACCATATGAGTTTCCTATTTTTAATGTTTCTCATAATCCAGAATCACCTTATCCTAATCCAATTAATCATTTATATGACAAACGTTATAAAGAAGCTTATTCAACATTTATTAAACAGAATCAACCTTCCTCGTCACCTTCACAAAAAACTAATTCTTCCACACCAACTATACCTCCACCATCACCAACAACACCGTCATCACCATCATCACCTAAAACAGGAACAGCAAGTTCTAATCCTCTTTCACATTCAAATCATTCACAAGGACAATACCAACAACAACAATCACATAGTCAACCATCACCACAATCTCCTGGTTTTTTACCTAGTCTTGATTATCAACAAGGTAATGCTTGGTTATATATGAGTCCATATGTTATACATCATCAAAATAATAATTTCCTTCAACAGCAACAGCAACAGCAACAACAACCACAAGGTTCCAGATCAACGCCATCAATTTCAAGTAATACACAACCATTATATCGCTCATCAACAGCTGATGATTTATATTCACGTTCAGTATCTCGTTCAGCAAGTAATAACGACTTAGATCAGTCTAAACCATCCGGTAAAGAACAAATTCGTGTTCGTGTTATTAATGATAGTTCAGCATCATTAGCTGATTCACAAACGGATCTCTTATCTAATCATCAATATCAAACACAAAGGTCAATATTAAAACCATCTACAGATTCTAAGGATAATAAAGATATATTAGCACAACAGACAATGTATGTAACACCAAATACAGCGATGAATCAACAAGCAATGCAAAATCCATTAAAACCTGGTAATAATCCACAACAACAACAACAACAACAACATCATCATCATCATCATGTTGCACAATCATCAGCAGCATCAGTGCCAGAACGTGTAATTCTAGTTAATCGACATGCTTCAGGCCCACCACATAGGCATTTTCATGCACCTGGTAAACCTCGATATTATACATATGAAGCTCGTTCATCAGTAGGAAACCATAGACAACCGTTAGCAGTAACTGGTTCGAGTACACCATCAACTGCAAGAAGTACGACATCATCAGGTGTCTATGCATCCCCACAACAAAATTATTATTCAGGTCAACAATTATTTTATCAACAACCAAAGGTCTATGGATCGACACCGAATCAATTATATTCAACAGCATCACCTTATGTACCACGTGTGAATGGATTTTATCCATTTGGATACTATCATTATTAACTTCAATAAATGTCTTTCAATACTGTTTTTAAATAACTAATAGACTGAGAGAATATTGCTTGATGAAAAAACAGTAACTTTTCAATTATATGGTAATTATATAATTATAAATTGACTAATTAAATTCTTTGTTAAACTATTTTTAAATATAATTGACTGAGTATTTACAATGAAGAAGATTGTAAATTATAAAAAATAGCGAAATATTTCTTTCAAAACTATTAGCAATCGGCTTTAGTGAATTATTATATTTAATATGATGTATAAACTTAATTAACCTTAATTTTAATTTAAAAAAAAAATAATATAATCAAGTTAAAACTAGATTAAATTATTCGAAAATTTTGAAAGAAAAAGAAAAACACGTGACTTATATTGACTGTTTTTCTTTCGTTAACCTAGACTCAGACCTATATTGAAGGTATTTTTATTTATATTTTCAAGTACAACTATTAAGTGTGGACGTACTTGAACATAAGAAATGATTAAAAACAAACTATTATGACTATATGAACTAAAACTATTAATTATAGAATAAAACAACTAAAGTTACTATGTGATTAATGAAAAAATCTGTACCTTTTTAATATATTTTATGACAATTAATTTGAATACAGATGAAATAAATCAAGACTTACATCAAACACTACAATTTGATAAGATCTATTTAAAATATAAACCAAACGATTTATTTTTTTCATTCTAAGAATAATATTTCCTTTAATTACTACCAATAATAAATAATTGTTTGATCTTCTTAGACAGACTATATGATATCATGAAATACTAAACTTAGATGTCGCTAATTTTCGAATAGAATCAAAGATGATTTTTTTTCTTTGGTTTTAACTCTTACCTATATAAAGTATTCATGAAACATCCAGAATGTATCTTACGGAAGAACAAAAAAAAGAAACGAAGAAGAGTTCTTTCGCTTTTATTAAAAGATAAAATCTTCAGTTTTTTTATTTTTCGTTTTGTTTAGATTTATTTTTATTTAAATAATAAAAAATAAATAAAAATGAGCAATAGTGATAATCAAAGTGAAGTTGTTAAATTGCAACAACATCTTGTTCTACTTCGTGAAGAATATGTTAAACTTCAACAACGTCATAAAACATTAGAACGAAATTTTAATGTTCTAAATTCAACAACAAAACTTGATCAGAATTCTTTTGTTTGTCGTTTACTTAAAATTGTCGCTGATTTATTTAATCGAGAACTTTATAGGTATGATAAATAAAGTAAAAATTTTGAATTTATTTTTATTAATAGTGATATTACAATTAAACTTGATGGTGAGACTTTATATGGTCATCGATTTATTTTAGCAGCACGTAGTCTTAAATGGGAACCACAAGAATTAGGTGATGCACCTGATCTTAATTTATCTGGTATGAAAAACTTTCTTGTGGGTTTTATTTTATTTATTCTATTAGATATTCCATATGATGTTGGTTTTCAATTGATTAAATGGGTTTATTCAGATGAAATAGCTGAAAAACAAAATGAAGATTTTCTATTAAGTTTAATGACAACAGCTAAACGTTTTGAATTAAAAGAATTAATTGATCAGTTTGTAGAGATTAGCATTATTTTGTATTAGAAAAAACGAACACGAATTTTACATTTGAATTTAGATGTGAAGTAGCATTAGTATCAGTTATAACAGTTCGAAATTGTTTAAAATTTTATAAAGTTGCAGAAGAAATTGGTGCACAAGTTTTACAAACACATTGCAGTCAATTAATTAGTACACATTGGGTTAATTGAATATCTTTTAAATTTATAAATATATAGAATTATTATTTTTGTTATAGAATGATTTTACAAGTGAGGATTTTCAACATTTACCTGCTCCAATGACATATAAATTATTTAAACAAAAAACAAAATATTCACTTCATCAAGCTATACGCATGAAACGTGAAGACGTACTATTTCTTTACTTAATTGACAATGATGCAGACGTAAGATAGATCAAATGAAGACGAAAAACAAAATTTTTTTTCTATCTTTTAGTTAGATGTACGTGTTAATGAACTTGACGATCATGGTGAATTAGCACTTGAATTAGCATTAAAAACAAAACAAGATAGTATGGCAGAAAATCTTGTACAACATAAAGCAGATATTAATCATATTGATGCGGAAAATCGAACATTACTTCATTTAGCTATTAAACGAGGTAATAAAGAAAAATAGAAAAAATAAAAAAAATATTCATTTAATTAATTTCATTAGGTGATGAACATTCAGCAACATTTCTTATAAAACATTCATGTAAACTTGATCATCAAACAAATGTTGCACGTGAAACACCATTACATCTATTAAGTGGTCTTAATCCAGCTGAATTATTATCAGATGTTATGGTTGGCATGTGTCGTGTAGCACAACTTATGCTTGAATATGGTGCTGATACACAGAAGAAAGATACTCAAGGAAATAATTGTCTTCATAGAGCAATACTTGCTGATAATATTCATGTTTTTCGAGAATTATTAAAAGCACCAAAATTATCTTTAGATGATAGAAATAAAGATGATCATGTACCTCTCTGGCTGGCACTTCAACAAGCTGAACAAATGCGTAAGTTTTTTTTAATATTCTCAACTAGAGTTTTGGTTTCATAATAAATACAAATTTTAAAATCTGTTATTTAGTTGAATATTACTATATAAGATAGGAATCATCAAGTACGATTGCTATTTATCGGCACAAGAATGTTCTAGTTCAATTAGACATGCATTCAAACTCAATCAGAGAGTTTACATATCATAATAATATTGACAACATCTTATTTTTGACCTTGCCTAGTACTGTTTTGATATTTTAACTTTGAATCGATGGAAAAATATGATGTAAAACGATTCATTAGATAAGAACGTTTTTCTTTATTTAGGCAAAAACGTCCTACACAATTTAGATGTATATGTCTAGATCTGATAAGAAAGATTTCGTGATAACAAAGAAGCTGATTTTTTTTATATGTAGTATTAGCGTTAATATACATGAAGAACAAATTTTGTTACTATCAAATTTTAAGTATAGCTTCTTATATTTAGATTCAGATTTTAATCAAGAATCATTTGCAAGTTTACTTGTTACTCGTGGTGCTAGTGTTAATGCAATTGATCCATCATCGACAGCAAATGAATCCCTCTTACATAAATGTGCTCGTCATCATTATCAACAAGCTGGTCTTTATCTAATAAAAAAAGGTGCTAATATCAATCATGTTAATAATCAAGGTGAAACAGCTTTACATTTAACATCACAATTTGGTTTAGAACAATTTACAAATGCTTTACTTGAAAATAAAGCAAATCCAAATATTCAAACACGTAAATCATCAGCATTCAATAATAATAATAATGAACAAAATTCTACTGTTGGCCTTCAAACATCAATTCATCGTGCTGTTTATGCATCACAAGAACATATACTTGCAATTTTTATTCAATTTCGTGATAAAATATCGGATGAAATTTTAAAACCAAATTTTAATATTCAAGATGAAAATGGTCAAAGTGGTTTTTCATTAACACTTTGGATGAATATGTTAACAATATCGAAACAATTATTACAAATTCGTCATGCACAATTAGATATAAAAGATTCTGAACAAACACCATTATTAGCACAAGCAATTAGTAAACAAAATATGCCAGCAGCTTTATTTTTACTTGAACAAGGTGTAGATGTTAATGAAAAAACACATGGTCTAACACCAATACAACTTGCTGTTAAACATCATTTACCAGCTGTTGTTGAAGCACTTTGTCGTAATGGTGCAAATATAAATGTCATGGATGAAAATGGAAATAGTGTCTTATGGAATGCATTAGATTCAGGTCAAGAAGATATTGCTGCAATACTGGTGAAATTTTCTTGTGATAGTACACAGTAAGTTTATTTGTAAAACAAGACTTATCGTTGTGATAATGAATGAAAATAAAATTAATTTTTTGTATTTTAGATGGTCAGATGGACCAGATAATTGTCGACAAACACTCTTACATCGAGCTATTGATGAAAATAATGAAAGTGTTGCTTGTTTTCTTATTAAAAGGTATATCATGTATTTGAAAATTACAATTTTATATTATCCTTTCGTGTTTTTTTTAGTGGTTGTGACATTAATTCTCCTCGTCAACCTGGTGTTAATGGTGAAACACCTGAGATATGTAAAACTCTTGAAAGTCCTTTACATCTTGGTATATTTAAAAACAAGCGAAATTCAATTCTTTTTATTTTTCATTGAATTTTAGCTTCTCAATGGGGTCTCGATCGAGTTGTGTCAGCATTAATTGAAAATCATGCGGATATAAATAAAAAAGTGTTATTTCAAAAAGTTTTTAATTGAATTTATTATGAATCTATTTTTTAGGATGCAGAAGCTAATACTCCACTTCATGTTGCTATTATTAATCAACATACAACTATAATAAATTTATTAATTGGTGCACCGAATTTAGATTTATCAATACGTAATAAACAGAATCAAACGCCATTTGCTTGTTCAATGGCAGCAAAAAATAATGAAGCTGCAAATCTTATATTAAATCGTGAACCACGAGCAGCTGAACAAGTAGTTTAATAATATGGAAATTTTAATATAAAAAAATCTATTGAATTTCTTTCTATACAGCTTGATAATAAAGGTCGGAATTTTCTTCATATAGCCGTGCAAAATGGTGATATTGAAAGTGTTCTATTTCTTCTTACGGTTCGTGTTAATGTTAATAATCGTATACAAGATGCTAGTCAATTTACACCACTTCATTTAAGTGTACAAACAGGAAGTGAAATTATTCTTCGAAATTTAGTAAAATATTTGTTTTGTTTTGGAAAAACTTTGTCTTATTTCATATTTTAATTTAGATACTTGCAGGTGCTAGTATTAATGATGTTACAGCTAATCGTCGATCAGCTTTACATATCGCAGCAGAAAATAATCGCGCTGTTATCTGTGGTATTCTTCTAGAAAATCATATTCAAGCTAATTTAGTTGATGCAAACCAAAATACTGGTTGGAATAAAAATTTTGTGATCTTATTTTTTAATTCTTTTTATTTTATATAGCACTTCATTTAGCAATACAGAATGGTCACATAGATGTAGTCCGCTGTTTATTAGCAGAATCAGATGTTGATGTATTAACATTGAATGCTAAGTAAGAGAATCTTTTGGGATTGAGAAAAAATATATATATCTTTTTTCTAGGGGAATGAATTGTCTACATGTTTTAGCTGCATTTTGTAAAAATAATACACAAGCTATTTTTGAAATTTTATTAAAACATCATTCAACATTTCCACTTGATATTCAAGATAGTCAAGGGAATACAGGTGAATTTATTTTTCGTTTGATATTTTTTTTTTCAACATAAATATTATAATATAGCTCTTATATTGGCTTATAAAAATGGTCAAGGTCAATTATGTCGTGCACTTGTAACAGCAGGTGCTAATTTAAGTATTTGTAATAATGATTCATTATCGATATTTACTATACCTGCAGCAAGTCGAGCTTTACTTGTTAATATTCTTGGTAAGTCTTTTTTTTCAAATTTATTTTAGTATTTAATCTATTATTATTAATTAGATATAATTACACGTGAACCACCATGGGGTGAAGGTGAAACTTGTTTAGAATGTGGAATGAAATTTACAATCACAAATCGAAGACATCATTGGTTCGTAAAAATAAATTAAATTAATTTTAATATTTTTTTTAATTTAGTCGACATTGTGGTCGAGTTTTATGTAAACGATGTTCTGTGAATGAATTACCAATAATGAAATTTAATTTACAAAAACCTGTAAGAGTATGTCAATTGTGCAATGATGTATTAACTCTTGGTGTAATGGCTGCTCGTTGATTCTTTTTTCTTAATATGTTCAAAAAAACGATCAATTTCTTTTTATTTGTTGCATTTTTTTCTCTAATTAAATTTTTATTTGTAAACATTGACTAGTCAAATCGGCATGAATGATTCTTCTTTTTTTTCTTAACTGTTAATCTATTTTCGCATTTTATACTATTACTGATATATTGATGTGTATTCTTTTGTATGATTTTATTTGCATGATTCACTTTTAAAAAGATAAGAAAATATAATAGATAATAATGATAATTTGATTAAAATAATCGATATTATTTCGATTTTAGTCTATAAGGAATAATATATTGCAGTATGATTTAGAATTTTTGAGCTTTAACGAAGTTGATTCGATTAATAGAATTGATTCCGGAAGCAATCAACTCTATACTAATAGTTATTGAAGGTCAATTCGATCTGAATTAGTTGCTATTAAAAACATTTCAATTACTTAATAATTTATTCTACTAGATTATATTTATAGATACTAATGAATCGTCATCGTTTTTCAACAGAAGAAATATCAATTTTTCGTCGTTCATTATTAGCATGGTACGATATTCATAAACGAAAATTACCATGGCGAGATTGGCATGATATTGATACAAATATTGTTGCTTATCGAGGTTTATATAGAATAAAATAATATTTTTATTCGCTTTATCTATTTTGTATTTCAAGTACTTGTTTCGGAATTAATGCTTCAACAAACTCAAGTAGCAACTGTAATTCGATACTATGAAACATGGATGAAAGTAGATAGAACATATTGAAAATCTTTTTCGTTTATTTTTATCTCATAATATATTTAGCAATGGCCAAATATTAAATCATTAGCTGAAGCTTCTGAAGATGTAAGTTAATCCTTTATTTTCGATTATTATTATTATGCATATGAATTCTCTAGGATATTCTTAAGTGTTGGGCGGGTATTATAATTGATAGTATTTTTTATTGGTCTTATTTTTTTCATTTAGGTCTTGGTTATTACAATCGAGCACGAAATTTATATAAATGTGCTCAATTGGTAAATATATATAAAACAAATTATTTTATTTAATTAAAATTTAATCTATTTTAAACAGATTATTAATGAATATAATGGTGAATTTCCAAATGAATTAGAAACAATGATCAATCGATTACCTGGTGTAGGTCGATATACAGCTGGTGCTGTTAGTTCTATAGCATTTAATCAGGTTTTCTTATTTGATTTTTTTTTGCTTTTCCGAATAATATCAATTTGTTTTTATAGGCAAATCCAATTCTTGATGGTAATGTCATTCGTGTTTTATCTCGAATGCGATGTATTGGTAGTGATTTAAAGAAAAAATCTACAACTGATTTTCTATGGTATTATAAAGCAAAATACTTTTTTTTTGTCTTATTAGTTTTTTTAATACTGATTAAATATAGGTCTTTAGCAACTGATGTCGTATGTCCAGAAAGACCAGGTGATTTTAATCAAAGTCTTATGGAATTAGGTGCAACAGTTTGCACACCACAAAAACCTAAATGTAATGAATGTCCGGTTCAAAATCAATGCTTAGCATATCAACAACAAGTAGATTATAGTTAAAAAGTCGTATTGATTAATAATTGTTTTAATTATTATAGAAAGAAATCGAATCTATTCTTGATATTGAACAATGTTCGGCAAATTGTTCATTTTGTTTAAAATCAAGTGATGTTGATACGAATCGTTCGCTTGTTGAACATTATCCACGAAAAAAAAGTAAAACGAAACAACGAGAAGAAACATCATTTATTCTTATTATTTATCGTTTAACACCAAAACTTGAATTCTTAATGATCAAACAAAAACAATCAAATCTTCTATCTGGTCTTTGGTCATTCTTAGAAATAAGTTCTTCCAAAAATCATCTGGATCAAATGAATGAACAAAAACGAAAAACCTATATTATCGAAGAAATTCAACAAATGCCAACAATAGATACAATACCTAGTATTAATAATATTAAATTAGCGGGACAAGTAATCTTAAAAAATTTAATTTATGAGTTAAAATTATTTTTTTTCATTCATTAGTGTCGTCATCTTTTTTCTCATATTGATAAGCAATATATTATCTATTATACACATTGTGAACAAAATGATGTATTAATACCTTCAACATCAATGCAATGGTTTAATGAAGAACAAGTTCAAACATCAGCTATATCAACAGCTATGAAAAAAGTTCGAATATTATTTTATTTTTTAGTAAAAAATTTTCTTTTTCAGGTATTTAATGTTGCTTTACCTCAAATTAAATTAAAAACATCAAATGGAAAAAAAGTAAAATCAAGAAAAAAGGCTGAATTATTCATTACTATTTTTTCTTTCTTCTAGAATGGAACTATCGACAATTATTTTAAGAAAAAAAACTCCAAAGTATAAGTTATTTTTCAGATATGTATATTGTTTATTGCTAACCTTGACTTTATTTCTCTTTCTATGTCAGATCTTTTTTTTATCTTCTTATGTTTAATAATATTGTTGGATTTTGAAACCCAACTCATTAAAATCTCGAATGAAACTGAATTAATAAAATTTATTTTCTAAGATTTATTATGTAAATTATGATATTATATAATATATTTGCTATTAATCTTTTCTTTTCCACAATAACCTTGGATAATAAAATAAAATCGACAGATTGAATAGAAAAAATCTAAACGATAATTTATCATAAAACAATTATTTCTGATTGAAAAATCTAATTAAATATTTTTTCTTCTTCCCCTCCTTCTTCAATCCCTTATTGATTTTATTAATAATCACAATTATTATATTTATATTCCATCCTATCGAAGTAAATTGTTCTTATTATATTTTTATATTCAAAAAAAGAAAAGAAGACAAGAAAGGAATGTATGTGAATACATTACACAGATACAGACAAAGACTAGAATAAACAAGAATAAATTTCTATGCATACATGTATATATATATATAAAGATTTCGATTCATTTAGCATTATTTCACGGTGATAAATGATCGTTTAATGGTGATTGAGAGTTTGATTCATCACCATGACTTGAATCATCTTGATTTAAAATCGGTTCTTGTTTAACAAAACGTCTAGGTGAACTATTCCCATTCATATTATTTGCAAACGGTACCATACGACTCATTATAGCTCGATAAGCAGCCATTTGTGGATCAAGTAATGATGCTGGTGTATCAAAACAATCAATATCAACAACAGGTATAGTTGATTTTTGTTGTTGATGATGATTAATATGCATATCATCATCACCATTTGTATTTTCATAATCATTCATTGACATTGCGGATGAATGATTATTATTACTATTTGAAATATTCAATGGAATTGAATCTTCTTGTATTGATACTAAAAACAAAATGATGAAAAGATGAAATTTTCTAGATAATTGATGTAGAGATATATACAAACCTCGTTGACTTTTAGCCATTTTTCGTTTATTTTGAAACCAATGTGTTACAATAGCATCTGTTACACGATCACGTTCATTTAATAATTCATTTGTACCATCAATACGAGTCCGTGCTTCATTACATATTCGAGCTATATCTTCACGACGACGTGGATCAGGATATGGATTATCAATAAAAGCTTTTTCAAGTATCTAAACAAAGAAATTCATTATTATTGTTTTTGTTTTTGTAAATCTTACATCAAGATGTTCAGGTCGAAAAGTAAATCGAGTACGTTTCGGTGTATCAAATGAAACAGGTGATAGATTATTATTCGTTTGAGATTCAGCAAGACGTGGTACTTTCGTTGATGTTTCACATGATGATGTTAAATTCGTTAATAATTCCGCAGATGGTTGAGCACCACCTAAATAATAATAACAAAATTTTTCTATCATTTAACTTTTCTTTTCTTTAAAAATCAAATTTTAAAACTATAAATAAAATGATAATGTTTATAAATCTCATTATAATACGACATTTGTCTTTCCTTCATTTTTAACATTCAATGAACACACATATATATATATATATAAAATCGTTTTCATTTCTATATATGTATAAATTGCTAATTAAAAACAAATTCGATTCATAATGTACATATAATCAGTTAAAGATAAATACTCATATTTTTTTTCTTTTTTAATGATCACTAATGTTCGCTTTATCGATCGAATAAATATTTAATGAGAAAAATAATTGATAAAAATGAGTATTTCTTTTTATTTACCCATTGATTGAACAATTTTTTTATATCTTATATACCATCGACATATAGCCATTCGACCATTCTCCGATAAATCAAATAAATCACCGCGTAAAAATTTCGATACATATGCTTGATTAACAGCTTAAATAAGTATAAAATATAATTAATTTATTAAACGGTTTTTTTGATTTTATTCAATGAAGAACAAAAAAAAGTGAAATCTATCTAACCTGCCATTCGAGCTATTTGAGATTGTTTAAGATCATAACGATAAACAAAAACAGAGATTTCATTGTGAATAGCTATATCACCTTTACTAAAAAGAAAATAAAAAAACACTTGCTTTGTTTTACAATTCATGATAATAAATTCAAATGTTAAGTTTTAAAAAAATATCCTTCTTAAAGATACTCATTTTTTTGAAAAAATTTTATATGATTTTGTTGTTTTTTTCTCGTTGATAAATATTAGTTACGCTTCAATTATTTAATAATTAGTAAACTAATACTCTAATTAATATCATGTAAAAAAATATAGGAAAACATACGCAAGTAATTCTTGTAATTCTCGAGCTTCTTCTTCAAGATCATTTTGATTGATTGTTTCATGTTGATTCGATGGAGTTGAATTTATTTCATGAACACTATTTCTTGCTGGTCGAACACTAGTATTTGATGAAGTTGATGATGATGATGATGTTGGATGATAAGTATGTGATGAATGATAACCATTCGTTGTTCTTACAGGTGGTAATCCATTAGTTATATGACTATGTGGTCTTTTATTATTATTATTTAATACAGATGATGGTGGAGATGTTTGTTGAGAATTAATTGTCGATGGTGATACCGGATCAGTTGGAGGAACAACTGTAGATGATGATGATGATGATGATGTTGATGCTGATGATGGAAGAGTGAGTGGTGGAGGAAGAGGAGGCGCACTATTAAATAGATTTCCGAGTTCACGATCAAGTCGATCTAGTTCATCATAAGCTCGAATTATTTGTAATTTTGTTAAATGACTATTACGTAAACGTCTTAATAATTCCCACTGTTCAACAGATAACTGTAATGATGTTGTCGTTGTTGTTGATGATGATGATAATCCATCTCGACTATTCGATGATGCTTCCATCGTCATCATAGAAATATCTATAAATGTCTAGAAAAAGAAGAAATATGATTTCAGTGTTTCAGTAATCGGCGATTAACATGAATATGAGTCTCGTTTATTCGCGCTCGATTTGCATATTCGAATATATATATATATATATAAAGAGAGGCAGAGTTATGTGAGAATAGAGAAAAGAGAGATAGGCCAAGTTTAATTGCCATCTCATATATATATATATGTGGATCTAACCGTATTGGCACGGATATGTATACATATATATATATAAGAATCAAAAAGTAATCTACTTTGGTTCGCTTACCTTCATTGCTCGGATTTTTTTGTCTTTTAATATTTCTCATCTCTTTCCATAAAAGCAAAAAGAAAATCGAATGGGTTTTCTTTTCTTTCTTTTTTTTTCAATGGAACAAGAAATAATAATTAAAAAGAGATTAACGGGTTTTTTTTCGTTTTATAAGTTACTATTACCTTTCATTGATCATATCAATGTTGATGTCTAATGAAGAAATAAGTAAATGTATAAAACAAGAACAAACTAATTATCTTGAGTTTTAATCATCTATGAGCAGGACACAAAAAAAAACTTCGATCACATTCTTTTATTACAATTCTCTGTCTCTCGTTCTTTTTGCGTGCCCTGCTAATATATTCGAAAAATGAAAACGAACAAGACGAAGAAGTGAATTTCTTCTTCTTCTTCTTCTCTTTTCCTGCATATTCACTTCTTAGTGATTGTATATATGCGCGCCAATGCCTATGAGTGAGTGATGGTTAAGGAAAAAAAATAAGAGAACAGACTGAATAAAGATGTGTATAATGTCACCCATATAGTTAAACCGTCTTTGTTTATTCTTGTCCAATCGTATGAGTTGAATAATTAGAAGACTATGTATATATATATGAGTTAGCCTGTATGGAAAAAAGTAATATTATCCAGAGAGAGAGAGAGGGAAAGGGGAGAGGGGAGATAGAGAGAGAGAGTGAGAGGGAGAGAAGAGACTATTCTCGAAAATAATATTATTATTATTATATTAACAACAATGATGAAAATAGTTGCTCTAGTCAACGAGAAGAACGAGTGAGAAGAACAGAAAGAAAAAGAGGGGAATGAGAAGATGTCTAATAAATCAGACGGAGAGCCTCGGTCGAGCTGGCGGGCAGTTTTTTTCTTCGTTGTCGTTAACTATCTCTAGTCATCACCGCTGTCGACCGAGCGCAAAGAAAGAACGAAGCAATTGGTGATGGCGCTATACTTTTTGTTCTATAATGTGCTTCTTGTCCTATAGTCATAACCAATGAATAATTAGAGAAAGTGAGTCGAATATATAGAAGAAAGAAGTAAAACAATTATTTCTATTTTAATAAAAAAAGAAAAAAAATTTTCTATATTTAAAATTATTCTTTTTTTTTAATTAAAAATTCTAATAAAATATTTCTAATATGTATATATGTATATATCGATATTGATAAAATTTTTACAATGAATTCATTGACATGAGAAATATATTTAATGTATGTATGTATGAAGAGCTTTATTTGAGTGGATTGACTTCATTGGTTCTGACCACTTGCCATGTATGTATGAAGAATAAATATATTTAATACCTATGTGTTATGCTACTTAAACTAAGAATATTTATTTATTGGATATTTAAGTAGGATTTCATGTTAATCATTCAAGCGTAAAAGAAAAGACACATCCTTTTTATCAAAATTATTCATTGAATTTGAAAAAAAAGAAATTTTTCTTCATTTATCGCTCCATGAACATTTAAGAGTTGTGTAAACATATTCATTTTGTTTTTTTTTATTATATAGGATATAGTTATTAAATAAATGTTCAAGAGTATATTTATGTCAAGTTGATATTAAAAATGTAAATGATAGGATATTATAATTTACAGCATTATTAATATTTGAAAATGTTTTATTTACAGAATCGTTTGTCTCTTTTTCTTTTTGTCCCAAAAATAAATCATAAATTTTTTTTCAAGAATGTTAAGTAAATGTCTTTTAAGACAAATGAAATGATTATTATAAAGACTGTTAATGGAATACTAAGTAGTTATATTTAATTTTATATATAAAATGTGAATATATATTTAGATTATTCTATTCTTTGAATTGAATAGTTTCAGTTTTGTTCTATTCTAATAATAGAAAATTTTAATATTCAATTTGGGTTTGATTTATGTATTGAAATAGATTTTCTTTTTATATATATTATATTGAAATGTTTTATTATCGACAGCTGGTAATAAACTGTTTTTCTTTCGATTGATATTTTCATAAGTAACAATAGAATGATGACATATTGTCATGTAGAAATGATATTAGTATCAAAATGTCGAAAAATATGATTTAATGGTTTCAATATTTTTGTAATATTTGTTTATATTGATAGAAAAATGCAATAAAGATGATTCATTCTTTGTATAAATTAATTAATTACAAAAAAGGATTTTTAAATAAGGGTCAATTTTATTTTATTTTTTCTATTTATAGTATAAACTAATCATTTTTTCAATTAAACATTATTCAACAAGTGTAAAAAAAACATGATTTTTTTATTAATACCGTCTTACTTCAAGTTTCATTTCTTTTTAATCTTTGAATGATGACATTAAATAGTTTATTATTAACTCTTCGACGGAATAATATCCGTAATTTGATTAACAGATTTTGAGATTTCATTAATTATGTAATAGACAACAGAATATAATTATAAGAAATAAATCAAAAGATAAAGCAAATCTACATGTTAGACAATAGATCTATAACAATCATAGGTTATCTTTTGTTTATAATAAATGATCATCTTATTCTTCTACATGTTGTCCTGATATGAAGAGTAAAATAATTTGATAAATATGCGGAATAAAATGGATTAAGAAAAAACGACATGTAATGTTCAATGAAATATTAACTATTAATTATTTAGACACTTTTTTTTTCTTACACCTGAATAACAGAATATTCTTCATTAGCTATGTTACATCAATGCAGTCCAGGAGAAAATCGTTTCATCAAGTGGAAAATCAATATACAATTACAGATGTTGTTCCCGGATATGCTAATATTATGTTGGCTATTAGGATGTAACAAGACATAAAGCAATATTTATGTGAATGTACATACATATAATTTAGGAAGATAGATGATTAGGTTATGTTGTAAATAATAGGAAGGAAAGATAATTTCTTGTATACAGAAAAACTAAAAATTTTATATTGTGTTAGTTTGATGAAGATGAATGCTCGTATACATTTATAAATGATTTCGTATTACTACGAAAAATTTCATATTTTTTTAATCATATCTTATGACTTGATTTTTATCTTTTTAATAATATCTTTCAAAATTGATATTGAATTCAATTATTGTTTAATCTAATCATCGATACTTTTTTTTTTAATTAAATTTCATAAAAAAGAAATTATTTTGTCATCTAATCTAACCAAAAAATCAATACTTGTTATGTATTTTAAGTGAAATATGTTTAGTGTATTACCATGGAAACAATGTTCGACGGATAACTATTCGGAAATAAACAAAATCATTTATTTTGTCTTTCTCTCTATCGACGTATTCTTCTTTAGTCCGTCCGATAGGATCAAAATGAAATATTTACTACATTCGTCATCGAAACTATGGATTCTTTATTATCCTTACATATCTATATAATCGACTAGAATTTAGTTATTTACCTATTTATCATAGAACGATGGCTTCTTTTCTTCTTATTTGTCTTAGTACATTTCTTTTAACAATTCAAATTTATGGATTACCTAATGGTGCCCCAAAAAAAGCTTGTGAAGGTTCTATGTTACCTCATCATCATAAAATTCAACCACAACCATCAACAACAAGTCCAATAACAAAATTTAATGCAACATGGAATGCTGACAATGAAACTATGTCTGGTATGAACATTTGATTTTCTAATAAAATATTATTATTGATTTTGTTTTTCGGAAAATTTCTAGTTCATATTGAATCAAAAAAACCATTTCAAGGTATATTTGTACAAGGTAGAAAAATGAATGAGGATAAACCAATAGGCAAATTTATTGATATTCCATCAAAAATGCATGTTGTTGATTGTCCAACTGTATGTAAACAAAGATTTCTATTTTGTTAAAATATAATTTATATTGTAGGGTGATGGTATAACTCATGATTCACCTCAAGAATGGACAAAACTCGACTTAACATGGAAGAAACCAGAATCTATGAAGACTAATGAAACTATTCAATTTTGGTAAATAGTTTTCTAAAAAATAAAAAACTTTATTTTGAAAATATTTCTTCATATTCTAGGGCAACCGTTGTCGTTGATTTTAAAAATTTTTGGGCTTTAAAAAGTATTGAATAATATTATGTAATTGTTGAAAAAAACAAAATTTCTTTTCCCTTTTTTAATTATAATAAACTCGTTAATGAAATATATCATATGAATACATTTTCTTTTTTTTTGATCGCAATATATTCATCACAATCGAGCAGATAATGCATTAATTTTTGTTTTTCGACAAATTAAATATACTGATGAGAGATTATTGAGTGACGTAAAAAACAAAATTGCATAAAACATGCAAATATATCGACATATATGCTGATATTCAAGACACAAATTTAATTAAAGATTATAATAATGTCAATATTATATTTTAATTTTCTCATTCTATCAACAGAATATCTTTTCTACTTGTTAACAAATATTAATACGAGATAGAAAAATAACCTTATGACCTGATATAAAGTATAATACGGAAAGTAATGAATCAAAAGTTCTCAAGTATTGATTAAAATGAAATTATATTTATTCTTATTATTTGATATATCATATTCTAATTTTAATTAAAAATTTTTCCGTAAGATGAATATTTTCTAACGATTTTACTTTTTCTTTATTAAATACAATGGACAATGGATCATCATCTCCGGTATATCTAAGATTTATAAAATTTAGTATACTGCTCATATTTGCTATTCCATCAACATTTTGTTCAATATATATTATATATAGTTCTATTCGATATCCATCAATACGGCAACATTTCTATTATGAAACATTAATTTTTCTAAGTTTTTTAGTTTTATTAAAATTGATATTCAATATATCTGTTTCATTAAGGTACATGTCTTTTTTTTTGAATATAAAATATATATTTTATTTTTTCATTCAATAGTTATTATGCTCGTGGTTATATTTTACCTCAAACAGTAAGCTTCTGTCATTTTTGGCAATATGTTGATTATACATCTAATGGATGTATTATTTGGTGTAATGCTATATTTACAATTGAAAGATATATACTTGTTTTTTATCCACATTATCTTCGTTCGAAACGTCAAAAAATAATTTTACATTATCTACCAATTTTTATATCGAATTTATATTTAATTATATTTTATATTTATAGTATTCTTATTTTTCCTTGTGAGAATTCAAATGAATATGATAGAGAATTATGTGGTAATGCATGTATTGATGCTAGTTGGAGTTTATCAACATTTGATTGGCTTTTTAATTTATTATTACCAATATTTGTTATTATTTTTGGTTCATCTATTTTATTACTACGAGTTATATGGGCACGAAGAAAAATGCAAAGAAATTTAAGAAATTGGTCTAAAAATTGGAAAATGATTGTGCAATTATTAGGAATTGCTCTTATGTATACTGTTGTTTGGTTACCATTATCAGTAGTATCATTAATGGCTACATTTACGGGTAGTGAATCTCTTGAATCAATTGATGAGAATTACTTGTACTATCTAACTTATTTAGCTGATCTGAGTATACCTGTTATTACATTTATATTTGCACCAGAAATTAATCGTCGTATACGACGTGGACAAGTACAACCAACACCGACATGTATGGCATCTGGAAAAACAAACTAATATTAATAACTTTCTCATTCTTTCATGATGATTTTCTTTTTCCTCGCATTGATTAAATACATTGGATTGTACATAAACTTTTGTTAAGGATATACTAAAGTTCATACCTTAAAAGATATAAAAATGAATTCTATAAGATGATAATATAGTATAGAATTATTAAAAGTGTCACCGTTTCTACGCTATATTCTCATCATATAAAAACTCAACTAAATTTCGTTTTCCATCGGCTTTTATTTAACCTAAAATTCACTTTTATATCTCTTGAAGTTCAAGCTCTATACTTCTAGCAAAAGATTAGGTACAACCTGGTATTTGTATATATATGTATACGTCTGTACCATGAAGAAATATTTTATTCATTTAAATTGAACTATTTATAAGATGATGACACATCTGTTTATTTTAATCATTCACGAGTTATAAAAAGTCAAAGTAAAAAAATTAAAAATATCATGAAAAAGTAGATAAATAATCTTTAAAATGGTTCTTTGAATATAATATTCTGTAACTGAACATGTACAATTTTCGTGCAAATTCTATCAATAAAAATTGTTCCATTTAAAAATGAGAACGAGAAGTTATATGATTTTGTAGAATACATTGTTTAATATTTTATCGTATTTCCAAATAGTGAAATCACCAAATTAATAAGATCAGAAAAAATCTTGTTCAAAATGGTTTACTACGTACGACAACTAGCATGAACTGATTAAATAGATAACATGGTCTACAGATTTAACTACGGTCCACTTGTTTTATAAGGTATAATCAAAGATCGAATGTATGAAACAAAAATATCAACATATTCAAAGATACTATTATCATAGAAATAAGAAGCCTGATGGTAAAACTAGATTGAAGATCGTATCATTTCATATTTACATGACTATACCTTTGCAAAGACATAGAAGATGAACATATTGAGCAATTGTTTTTATTAAAAGTTCTTCACCAAAAATATATTACCAGGATATATTTTTATAAGTATTATATTCATGTTGTATTGTTTTAATGAATGTTTTTTAGAATTTAAATATATTTTCTTGTTTTTTAATTAACTTGTATACATACACTTGTAAGAAAATTATTATAGCTACATCTTTTTCTTGTATTACTTAGTGCATCTGATATGAATATACGGTCGAACTGACAAAGCACGAGAATGAAATAAAAAGAAACTGCGTTATTTTTACCGATATACCCTGTAATAAGAGATAATAATGTGAGAGTAACACGAATATTATCACTTTATAATGTCAGACTAAGAAACTGGTAGTCGATGCAGCTTTTGTTATATTATTTTACAGGTGTCTTTTTTATTTAATCCAATGATACTAGGGGTCTAAGCTGACATTCTAAAGGTAACAGGTAGCTTTGTATTGACATGATAAGGAAAGAATTCTACCTTTTGCTTTGTTTAGAAGTAAAACAAACTGATAAGTAGTTTTGATAAAAGAAATATATATAGACGATTTATCTTTGTATCGAACATATTTAAGGCAAGAACGACTAAACTTTTAATATAAAGTAAACTTCGAAGAAAAGAAAGAAGAATAAACACATGGTTCATTTAAGTATTAAAAAAACGATAGCCATCATTGGTGCTGGTCCATGTGGTTTATCACAATTACTTGCGTTTAAACAAGCTGAACAAGATCAACTTGTTGAACTCGTTTGTTTCGAAAGACAAGCTGAATGGGGTGGTTTATGGCAATATACTGCTTTAACAGGTACAGATTCTTGCGGTGAACCAATTCATTCAAGCATGTATCGACAGTAAGTTGTTATAAACCTCGTTAATATTTTATTAAATTTGACTTCATTAGACTTTGGTCAAATGGCCCAAAAGAAGTTTTAGAATATGTTGATTATACATTTGAACAACATTTTGGTGTTTCTATTCCATCCTATCCACCACGTGCTGTTTTATATGATTATATAACAGGTCGTGCAAAAGCTGGTGATATTCGTAAATTTATTCAATTTCGAACAGCTGTACGAAGTGTTGATTTTGATGATAACACTAAAAAATTTCATGTTACTATTGAAGATCTTACAAATCAATTAACAAAATATTTAACATTTGATCATGTAATAGTTGCATCTGGACATTATACAATACCAAATATGCCTGATTTTGAAGGTATATCAAAATTTCCAGGACGAGTTTTACATTCACATGATTATCGTGGAGCTGATGAATTTGTTAATAAGAATCTATTAATTATCGGTAGTAGTTATTCAGCTGAAGATATAGCTATGCAATGTTATAAATTTGGTGCTCGTTCCATTACAATTAGTTATCGTTCCTGTCCAATGAATTTCAGATGGCCAGACAACGTGAAAGAAGTTCCATTATTACAAAAAATTGAAGGACGTACTGCATATTTTAAAGATGGAACAAATGTTGATAATCTTGATTGTATTATTGTATGTACTGGTTATCGACATAATCATTCTTATATGGCTGAAAATCTTCGTTTTCGTACTGTGGGCAATCTTTATGTACCACCTAGTCTTTATAAAGGAATTTTTTGGTATGCTGAACCTCAACTTGCTTATTTAGGTATGCAAAATCAATTGTATACTTTAAATATGTTCGATATTCAAGCTGCACTTGTACGTGATGTTTTTCTTGGATATGTTACATTACCAGATGATAAAAGTCAAAAACAACGTCAGAAAGATATTTCTGAATGGCAAGCACGTGAACAAACACTTTCTTTAGATGATCATGAAGCTTTTAGTGATCTTCAAACGGATTATATACGTGATATTGTTAGTTGCTGTGATCAAAATACAGTACCAAAATTTGATCTTGAACGATCTAATGCTGGAATGTATAAATTCTTTCGAGATAAACGAGATAATATCTTAACTTATCGTGATCAACCATTTCATTCAATTTTTTTTCCAGACAAGGAAGCACCAATATCTGAAACACCTTGGATTAAAAATACGGATGATTCAATAGAAGGATTTCTTCAATCAATTAAAACTGTATAAAGCATACAACAATTTAATTTAAACTAATTTTCTTAATGTTATAAATTTGAATATTTTTTTTGAAAAATAAATTCACTTTGTTCATACTTGTATTTGATAACAATTATAATATAGTTATATTTATTACGAAACTATGTGTTAAGCTCGAATTTGAACAGACTTTTTATTTTACGAAAATTCAGGTTGACCTTTTCAGCAGTATTCTATTGAGAACTAGAATAAATATGTAAATCAAATAAGACTAGAAGTAGGTATACACCAGTCCTATAAGATGGATGACAAACATGAATAATTTTTGCTATATAAAATACCCAATCGTCGCCAGTCCTTCCAGCCATTTAAATCTACTATCAATTAGACTATACAACGCTATTGTTAAACTTTGAAGAATTAGACGAGAAGAAAAAAGGACTGGGGACGACTGGTAAAAAAACCAAAAATTTCCGATTTTTTAATAGTCACCCCCAGTCCTTTTTTCTTCCCGTCTTATTTTTCAAAGTTTAACAATAGCGTTGTATAGCCTAATCGATAGTAAATTTAAATGGCTTGAAGGACTGGTAACGACTCAGTGTTTTCCATAGCAAAAATTATTCATCTTTGTTATCGACTTTATAGAACTGGTGCATACCTAATTGAAATAATACTATGTTAATCTAGTCTATCGATTTGTTTATCCATAAGTAAAAAATATCATCTGTCAAATTTTCATGTCTATATCAAAGATCAATTTACGTTTATAATTATTATTTCTTAAGTAGATGTTGAACAATCTTATTAAATTCAGATAGAGACACTTATATTTTAATCAGTTTCTTTCTCATAATGAAAGTTGGATAATGATATTTAGATAGAATAAGATATGCCCACACTCATCCTCGATTAACTTTAATATATGTAAGAAAATCATTCATCACGTAAATGTCAGTGAAATAGTAGAATGTGCGGAAATATCATATCATATATATTGACAATTTTTGTCACTACTGGACTTAGATTGCAATCACAAATAAATCTATTCATAATGATTACATCTATGTACCTTGAGCAAAATGTTTCTTTTTCAGAAGAAAAGTGCTTGATATTTGAAATTAATTACACGATGATTTTATATTCTATTTAACCACACAGAAAAAAATCTTACAATTAGAAATAATCTAATACATATAGCAATGAAATGAAACACAAGGTAACACAATAATTAAAGTTTTATATCTGACAAAAAAAGACATTTGAATTAATTTAACATTTTTCCAAAAACCAATCATTAATATTTTCATACCAAATACGTTGTTTATTTGTATTTAAACGACAGCATATTTCACAAAATCGATATGGTTCAAGATCTTTCGCTTCATAATAAATATCATAATAACGTCTCCAATAGTGATATTTTTCATATAAACTTCTATTCGTCGCTATTGAATATAATGTTTTTGCAAGTTTATCATCGGATGAATAATCATCAATGTGAATAAATGAATTTGGTGGAGCTATACGTACATAGTTTTCACGTTCTGGTCCACTAACAATTGGTATAGCACCGAATTTAAGTGTACGCCAGAATTTTTCTGTTATATAATCTGTACATGATTGTGATTCAAAGGCAAGATAAAATTTAGATTTTGATAAATAATCTCTTTCACATGTTGATTGATAATTACATTTATCTTTTGATAATACTTGAGCATGTAACGAAAATGATTCATTTGATTTTATACATCTACCAAAGGCAGATATTGGAAAATATTGACGAAGCGAATGAAATTTTTTTAAGCGTTTTTGTGGTCGACAGTTTGATACAAACCTAAACATACGAAAATGAATTTTCTTTTAAAATTTTTGCATTTAATTTAGATGTATTTCTAGCTAAATTCAATAAAACTGAATTTTCGTGTGTATATATAAGAGACAACAAAGTGGATAGAACGTGAGAAGTAGTATGGAATCTCATAGGCAATTAATAATTCATATATCTGATGAACAGTCACAGAAGATGAAATACTCATATAGAATTTTCCATTAACTAATGGATACTAAGATCACGTCAAAAAAATTGAGACAATAATTCGCATATTGCCTTACTAATCATAATAAATTCAATTTAATTATATCTACTAGAAACTACAAAGAGATTACATACCAAACAGCTTGATTATGTCTTTCATTAAATTGTTTATTAACCCATGAGTTAAATTTTCCTATAGACCATGGTTTCTCCTTGGCAATTGTTATTCCATAAGCTCCTAAAGAAGCTTCTGCACTTGTTCGATATGACATTGTCCAATTAAATTTATATTTATTCAATTGTGTGGAGTTTTCTTTTGGTTCATCATGCCATAAGAGCCAAATCTGATCTGAGTCTCTTTTTATTGAATCAAGTTTTTCATAATCTAAATCTTGTTTATGCATTAAAAGTACTTGAGCCGTATTTTCCTGTGTTCGATCACATGTATATTTACTAATATGTGAGAAAATAAATAAGATTATACATTATTTTATTCAACTTACCAATTTGTATATGGACATGTTTTACCAAATATTTCTTCATTTGTAGATGAACAAAATTTTGGTTTGCTGAAAACATTTGTATATCCAACAATTAAATGAGAATTTAAATCATTTTCATGTTTTATTAATGGTAAAATTATTTTATGTTTTTTATTTACTGCTTTTGCATCATCAATAAGTTTAAGTTCATTTTTTTTTGTTAAATGATAAGTGATACTTGTATTAACTATATGATTATTTATTACATCTATTGGATACATAACATTTAAATCAAATATTACTAATTGTTGTTCCTGATTAGTATACGGTAATAAAACAGGTGTCATATTTATTTGAATGCAGGTCATAAAAATCATTACAATTATAAATCCAAATAAAGGCCATCGAAAATGAAATAAGTAATGACGACACCTAAGATTAAATGTTTGCCTTGTATGGATACGTTTATCCATCATAAAGACGTATCGAATATACTTTCGTTCAATAAAGATTAATACTCCTATAAAATAAAATACAATAGACATTCAGATATACAAAATACTTTGAAAACTATTTCTCTAAGCGAATGCATTTTTTTTTCAAGAAACAACTTTATAAGTCTGATAGACAATATGTAAATACTGTCGTGCATATTTATAGGGAATTTTTTTACTCGATAATTTTTTATTTATTCAGTGTTTTTGTTTCTTTGGACGATATGATTAAGAAAATGGACTTATTAAAAAGAAAAAGAATCTCTTACAACATCAAAAATATAGTGAATGCCGTCAGAATTTTATCCCCAAAAAAACGAACGAGTTTTACAATAGATTATAGAATCCTTCTATGGAAGCGTATACATTCTAATATTATTTGCATGGTTTCTCTTATTTTGATCTGGCAGAAATGTTTATTTATTTATATAATGGATAATTTATCCGCTAATGAATAAACAAAAAAGAAAATAGAAGAAAATTGGCGACGACTAAAACAAACATATCAAATCAGAACGAATGGTTTGTACTGTTAATGGATATTCTTTGGATTATCTTTTCAAAGTATTGTTCATTCATGATTCATAAATAAATGAAAGAAAGCAAGAATAAAAGTACATACCACTGAAAATCGAATAAACTATACGATATAAAACAGCAGCTGGTATGAATGAATTTTATTTTCAGGACACCTTGCCGTCTTGTATGACTATATACTTTTTTTCTTTTCCTTCCTTTGTGCTAGCTTATGCACGTTTAACTGGTAAATAGAGCCATATCTATTCTCTGATTTGTAGTATAATCATCGTTCTCCATTATGGTTTCTTGCTTCTCGTTTAAAATTATACTTTCTTTTTCTTTCTCATTTTGTTTCTGCTGTAATAAGAACGCTGAATTGCCGACATCTAACATACGGTTCTGACATTTTTCTCTCATCATCAATGTAATCATGTATAATAATCTATCTAAACAAATTAGCTATTTGATAATATTATAAGTTCTCACGTATCAATCATGATATTAGACAAGAATAAAAACTCTTTACTTGAATATTATTAGCATTTTTGTCAGAGAAAAAAATATATTTATAAAAGAAAAATTATATTATAATTAATAAATTTTAACATAACAATCGATTCAAAAAAGAAATTGTCACTTATTAATATTTACTGATAAGAACTACTCATAAAGCTTGCATAAAAAATATCTAAATAAATCTTTAATTGTTGGATATAGCACCAGGTCATGGATAATTTCAAATTATTGTCGTTTCGATTTCAATTTATTCCAATTATTATTTGATGAAATAATATCATCGATATTATTTTCTTCGTTCGGAATATTCGAAATCATCGTTGATGAATGTGTTCGATATAATAAATTTAAAACATTTGCTCTTTCGAATAAACAAATAAATTTATGTATATATTCTTTACTTCGTTCTTCCCAATGTTCCATATATATTTTGGATTCTTCTTCATATGTATGAAATTTTGATTTAACTGTATCAAGTTTTGCTTGTAATTGTAATTGATTTTTTTTAATAAAACCAACACTTAAATCTTCAGCTGAATAACCACGAGCTAAATTTCGTCGTACATACATATCATAATCACGTACAAGACGACAAATTATATCAGATGTAGAAATACCATCAGTACGTTGAGTAGGAATAAAAATACCACGAGACTGAAAATAAATCAATAAGAACTAAATTAAATATGCATTGAAATTTAATAAGTAAATCTGAATATTTTAAATTTATCTTATTGACTATCGTTTTATAATTATGTAAGAATGTCTATCTTCAACAATCAAATGCAGAATAATTCAATGAGATGTTTAATTAAGTATGAGATGGAAAGAAACTTGAAAAATAATTTTTTATTTTGGAGATTTATTTTCAATTAACTCACATATTGCCTTTTAGTATTATGCATAAAATTATTCTCTTACTTTACTTTTTTACGAGCCAGATGCATGTCTACTTTCATTTGAATTATTACAGTTCTAAGAGATTCTGTACCTGAGTTAGATCATCTAGGAAGGGAATATAGTTATAAGTACAATGAAAAATTTCTATTATCGTTGAACTATTTCGAAATAAGTCATCAATATATTATGATGATCATACGTAAGTTCGTTCTATCTAACGTAATAAAATATAGTATTGTATTGAATTTTGTCATTTATCACTTACTTTAAGATGTTGATAAACATCGGTACTATCTTCAGATTCATATGGTATGTCATCGTGAGCAACAAAATCGATTTTATTTTGTGTTAAAAATTCATCATCAAGCACCCATGGTGTATCTGTCACCACTTCGTCAACATAACGACAATGACGAACACCGTCATAACGTTCGGTATCATCCATAACAGTTTGACCTCTTTTACTATTTGTTATTTTATCATTGCAAATACCAGCAAGTAAATATACATTTTTAAATGCATTTTTTGCTTGCATTAACTGTCGAGCATGACCAGGATGAAATAAATCGTAAACACCTGATATTTCAAAATTAATAAGAAGAAGAAAAATTAGAAGAAAGAAAAATACATTTTTATTATCTTTACCATTAGCAAGTATACGAATTTTTCTTGGCGCTGTGCCATTCTTAGCCATATCTAATGTAATTCTAATTGAATAATCACATTTCTCACGTTCTTCTATAGCTTTTTCTTCATAACACAATGGTGCTGGATCTATATTCTGACTGGTATTCATATTAGTTTTTACACTAGATTGCATTGAAGATTTTTTATCTGTTTCATTATTAGCTTTCACTTTCAATTCTCTAGGTAATGATGATAATTGTGCACAATTATTTTTATCAGATACAGAAGAAAAACCTTCAATAGATGCATCATACCATTCATCAACATTTGTCAAATCAGATGTAGTTGCTATTGTTCTGTCAACCATTGGCTTCTTAATATTAATTATGAGATCTAATCTAAAATATAGACCATTTCGACATTGAGACTCAAATTTTATAAACATTTTGACACTTCGATTTTTAATTAGGAGAAAAAAAGTCCAAAAAGAAAATTTTCTTTTTCAATAGAATCATTTTTTATTTTATTTTATTTATACAATAAGTTTATTATCTTGATATTTTAGTTTTTACATACGATAGATTATGTCAGATAATGAAAATCATACTGAAAACGATAGCATCATTAATAGATTAGAAAAAAAAACGGAAATGAATTTATACAAATTTCAAGGTGATGATTTTAATCTACATATCGGGATTTAAGAGAGAAAAAAACGTGAATTACATATTGACGACATGACCTTTAGATAAGGAAGGAAAGATAGGCTGGACTATATGTATGTATTGAAATAAAAGAAAACGATATTGATAGATGACACTAGTAAATGGTAAAGCAATTAATATGGTTATCCGATCTCGAGTGATATGGATTATTTTTAATTTGAAGAAATTTTAGTGACAAGCAGATTATATGTGAATCAATGTCTCTAAGAAAATAATAATCACACAAGTGTCTATCTACACTTGTCAACACTTATTGTTGTTGATGATTCATTAGATTACCTTTTGTTTTGCTTCTTTCTTTCCTTTCTTTGAAAAGAAAAGAATAAGAGGGAGTTTAATACAGTCTCGATTGAATGCCGATCGGTTCATAGACGTTCATTCGTTCATCCGTTTGTTCGATGGGACACTTCCGTTCATTGATCAGCATGTATATACAAACGTTGATATGTACGTGATATTTGCGCGTACATGTATAACAAAGTGTATCATTGATTAATCATTCAATATTTGTTTATTTGCAACAAATATCATACAGATATATTTAAATCAGTTTATATTTCTATAAATCACATTTTCTAGATTTTCTTTTCTTTCTGTGTCAAATTCAACATTTACAAAATGACAATAACGAACAATAATCACAATTCTCCACCGTCCAAAATCGATGTAAGATAATTTTGATATTCGAAATTAATTTTAAAGAAAATAGGTCATTTTCATCTTTACTGGAAATATACCTTTAGATCAGTATTTTAAATTGAAACAATGAACAATCTGTTACCTATAACCATAAAAAAGAGTATCATATCGAACTAACGACTTTTTTTTTCACTTTGAGTTATGCGCTTTCAAGAAATAATAGAATAATTCTTTAACAGAAAGAATAAATTGCATATTAATGAACATTGTCAGTAGATAGAAATAGAGAAAGAAAAGCCGAGGTAAAATATCGTGAGTAGGCGAAGTGTCTCCTGAACTCTGTAAGTTAGATAAGAAGAGAAATAGAAAAGAAAACCCACAATATGTCATCATCATTGTTCGATGTAGAAGAGCAAACAAATTCATCGAATGCTTGTTTTCAATTTATTCCTTTAAAACATGATCATGAACATTTACAATATAAATCAAATCCTCAATCGAGTTTTTATTGTATTAAAAATACACAACAATCTTCGTTGTGTTCTTCAATAGCAGCATCAGTTTCAAGGCCAGGAAATTCACTTTCTCTATTCAATGTTATTGCACCAATGCCTAATAACATTAATGTAAGGAACCAGCTGGTGGTTTTTTCTTCCTAAATTTGGTTTGCTTAGCCCCTCTTTATTTCTTTGATCATAAAAAAATAATAATAAGAAGCAAAAGAAGAAGAAATACTATGACGACAGTGCCAGGTCCTTCATCTTCTCCAAAACCTAGAATTGTGGTTCCTTCAGCTGATAATAAGCCTACGTCGGGATCAACGAAAAAAGATACTTCTAGTAAAACTAAACCTGAATTTATTGTTCGAACAAATTATCCTGAATCAAATGCCCCATTAGGTGTATCTGTTTCTAAATTTAGCAAAAATCATATTCTGGTGAGGAGTAAAGCAAGAATTTTGTTTAGTTTCTGATCATTTTATTTTCATATATTTTTATTTTAGTCTTCACAACATCGTTTATTAATCAAAGGTGGTCGTGTTGTTAACGATGATGGAACCACATTTGCTGATGTTTTTATTGAAGAAGGAATTATTAAGTAAGTTAGAAGTAAAATTATTATTATCTTATAAATTCATTTTTATTAACTATAGACAAGTTGGTCTTAATCTTATTATACCAGGTGGTACAAAAACAATTGATGCTACAGATAAATTAGTTATGCCAGGTATTTTATATATAATATTTATTTAATTTTTTACACATACATCTATATATATATATAAATTCTTTTAAGGTGGTATTGATACACACACTCATCTTGAATTGGCATTTATGGGTACAAGAGCAGCTGATGATTTTTATACAGGCACCAAAGCAGCTATTGCTGGTGGAACAACAACCATTCGTATGTATAAGAGAAGGAGATAAGGAAGAAAAAAAGAACACATTTTTAGTCAATATTAATATTTTAAAATTGTATTGCACGAATTGTTTGTAATTCACCTAATTCAAGCGATGGATTTTCATATACATAAGATTGTAATGATGATGATGATGGCGGCTTTTGTTCTATTGTATGATTTAATGGAGAAATAAGTGGATTTTCAATGATTAATGTTGCTGGTTCGTGTTGTTTCTGTAGTTGTTGTTGTTGTTCAAGAACAGCTAAACGTCGAGGTGGTGCTATTAATGTCATATCATTATGATAACTATTACTAATAAATGATAATGCTGAATTTGGTCGAAGATGTTTTGCAATATGTTGATTAATAATTACTGTGTGTAGATAATCTTCTTCATGTTGTTGTTTTGTTGATTGAGAATTGGATGGTAATCGGTTACGACGATATCGTTTACAACAACAATAGGTTGTTATTATTGAACTAATTAATAATCCTGTACCAGCAGTAACACCGATGATGACGAAAATAATATCGGCCATAGCATATCTAAGGAAGTAAAAGATTCTCTTTAGTAAAATTGTGCATGTTTTTCTTTCTGAGTTCAATAGTAATGTGTGAAAAAATATGTCTGTGTTTTTTCTTTCTGACGGCTGATGGCTGCGAGATGGTCAAATCAATGTATTAAATGTACTTTTTTTCTTTTTTTTCATGTTCTCTCTTATTCACCTGACCTGTTCAGCTAACTTCCTGTGTCCGAAGTATAATGACGAATGAGAAAGATAGAATATTTACAATGACAATAAAGAGAATGAATCTGTTTTCATACAACATATATGTATATATATATATATATGTATATTGCATACGATTGAAACGACATCATCATCGATCATGACGATGATGATGTCACGAACTAAGGCGACAGCTGATAAAAGATATGCATCGTTCACCATATATATATATATATGGAGTATGTAGTGAACATATAACCGGTAGAAAAAAAAAGAAAGAAAGAATAAAAAAAAACCACAACATGTTACCCTTGAATTTATCTTTCGAATCGTTTTTTTTACGCTTAATATACATACATGTATATGCCATCATTAGCTTTTTTATTCATTTCTTGCATATATTGATCAGATCTGTTACGTATAAGGCATTCATTTTTCCTTTTGTAGGTCTCAACCCAAACAAAGTGATTAACTGTCTATCATTCTTTCATTTTTTTTTCTTACTTTTGTTTCTTTCCGTTCATTCAATCACTACTGTCGTTTATTAATTTGTTCGAAAGCTAAAATGTAAAAGAAGAAAGGGAAAAAAAAACGTGAAAAGAACAAGATTGCATCACGATCTTTTTTTACTACATACTTTGATGGTTGTTATGATGTAATACAAAAAGACATTTATATTGGCCTAGAAGACTAATCAATAACTTTAATATGTTGAAACGTTGAATATAGATGTTGTGATTATTATTTTTAATATGTTGTCGTTGTTTGATAACCATCAATTGAATTTTTTGACATATAGACAAGATATTATCTAATTGTTTTCTTTTCTTTTAGTTGATTTTGTTATTCCAACAAAAGAACAATCACTTATTGATGCTTATAATCAATGGCGTGAACGAGCTGATTCGAAAATTTGTTGCGATTATGGTTTACATGTTGCTATTACACATTGGGATGAACAAGTCGGAAAAGATATGGAAATACTTACGAAAGAAAAAGGTTTTTTGATTCAAATTTTAATATATTGATTTATTAATTATTATTTAATATTAAGGTGTCAATTCTTTTAAAGTTTTCATGGCTTATCCAGGTACATTTATGTTAGCAGATGATGATATATATCAAGTATTTGCTAAATGTCGTGAACTTGGCGCAATTGCTATGGTACATGCTGAAAATGGTTCAGTTATTAAAGAATTAGAAAAGGAAATGTCAAAATTAGGTATTACAGGACCTGAAGGTCATCTTTTAAGTCGTCCAGAAAAAGTAAACTATAAAAATAATAATAAATAAAACAGTATATAATAGATCGATTATATTTTTATAGCTTGAGGCTGAAGCTACAAATCGAGCTATTATGATTGCTGAACAAACTCGGTAAAATTTCTTTAGAATTAAGTCTAAAAAAACATTTTTTATTCTATTTATAGTTGTCCACTTTATGTTGTACATGTAATGAGTAAGACAGCAGCTGATAAAATACAAGAAGCTCGATTAAAAGGTATAGACTATAGTTGAATAATTTATATATTGAATTTATTTTTATTTGATCAGGTCAAGTTGTTTTTGGTGAACCTATTGCAGCAAGTTTAGGTACTGATGGTTCACAATATTTTAATAAATGTTGGCACCATGCTGCTGCTCATGTAATGTCACCACCACTTCGTAATGATGCAACAACAGCACCTTATCTAATGGATCTTTTGGCTAAGTATGTCCATTAATTTCTTTTTAAAGATAAAAATTATATTATTTCTTTTAGTGGTTCATTATCAACTACAGGTACTGATCATTGTACGTTTAATATAAATCAAAAAGCATTAGGCAAAGATGATTTTCGAAAAGTAAAATATTTCATATTGATTTTAAAAGATAAAGAAAAACCAATATTTAGATTCCAAATGGTGTCAATGGTATTGAAGAACGTTTAGCAGTTGTTTGGACAAAAGGTGTTGAAACAGGCAAACTTGATATAAACCAATTTGTTGCTGTAACAAGTTCAAATGCAGCACGAATTTTTAATATTTATCCTAAAAAAGGTCGTATTGCTGTTGGTTCTGATGCTGATTGTTTAATTTGGGATCCAAAAGCAACAAAAACAATCTCTGCTTCATCGCATCATCAAGCATGTGATTTTAATATATTCGAAGGTTTACATTGTCGTGGTCTTCCAATAATAACAATTGTTGATGGTAAAATTGTTTATGATAATGGACAAGTTCGTAGTTTAGAAACAATATTTTTCCTAATGTATTATTATCGATTTAATATTTAGTTAAATGTTTTACAAGGTTCAGGTAAATATCTTCATACAGCATGTTATGCTGATAGTGTTTATCAAAAATTAAATAAACGCGAAATAATTCGTGAACAAGTAAAATAAATTTATTTATTTAATTTTTTTTTTGTAAATATCAATTTTATTTAGCTTATTAAACAACAACATATTGAACGTGAACCATATACAGGTGATGTTATTGTTATAAGTAAACCAGTTTCCAATGGTGATGCAAAAATAAGCCCAAAAAATCAAGCAATTCCAAGTAGCAATGAACCACATGCAGCTGGCTTTCATAATCGACCAGCAACACGTGCTGGTTAGTATCAATAAATATAAGAATAATGTTTATATATAATATAATTTCCATGTTTTTTAGGAGCAAGAAATTTATTTGATTCAAGTTTTACTTTATCAGGTTAATAATTTAATTTAAAATCTAAATTCATAATCAATAATTAACTTTAGGTGATCAATGGGATGATGCAAACCTTCGAAAAACAACTCGCGTTCAACAACCACCTGGTGGACAATCAAAAGGTATACTATTAAAAAAAACAAGAATTCTTCTAATATTATACTCATCTTATTTAGGATTATGGTGAGAACAATAAAATTTCACAAGATGTTTTATCAATGTTCATCATTTTCTTTTCACTATATTGCATGTTATTATTCAATTTATCATTTGACGAAAAAAAAATCGTTTGATTGCATGCATAATATTTCTAGAACACAAAAAAAAACATTTTTTTCTAATTTACTTACATATTTGTTTTAGGGATATTGAACCGAATGGTTCTTCTTAATCATATACATTTATAAATATATCAATGGGAATCTCTTCTTTTTCTTTTTACTAACAGTATTTTATCAACATATTCTTTACTTTATAATGTATTTCTATTGTATAAAAAAAACAAACATTTACATTTTTCTGTTACATTTAAACACTTTTTTTTTATTCATGCATTGATATTATAAAATTGTATTAAAAACTCTTTATTTCGAAATAATTGAACTACTCTTTTCTTTTGTATAACGTCAAAATAAAACATAAATATCATTTATTGATGTGTTGTTTTTTTTTGTTGGATAAATTTTCAATGAATAAGAAGGATTAAGACAATATGTGAAACCTCGGAAGAAAACCTAGTCAATGAACAAAAGCAACACTAAGCTTCTTAGAAAAAAAATAAATTCAAAGTCATTCGGATAAAAGAATCATCAATGTCACATTTTCTTACATAAAAAAAACATTGCTATAATTATTCTTCATTTTGAAAACATTTTAGTAAATGAAGATTTATTTATAAGAATAATTCATTCAGGTTATACATATTTATTGACATTGTAAATATTAACTAAGAAAATCGATAGCATAATAAAGTTGGAAACATATTTAATTACAGTAGAAGAAAAACTTATCATAAGTAATATATATATATATATACTATTTTCGATAAGCTTGAAGGATTTATGAATGTCAGTACTTTTTTAAGCCATAGGGAACAATATATATATTTTTCCTTAATATAATATTGAAAAACAAGAATAGTCATGTTTGACTTTCAAATTCCTTATATTTATTAAACAGATTTTCATGATAGATAAAATATATATCTATATATTCATTCTTCAAATTAATATCAATATAGTTTGTGAAAATGACATGTTGAAATTCAACAAAATGGTGTTCAATATGCACAGTACATTGTGTGTGACTTAATTCTATTCGGATAGAACTTAACATAAATTCCAAAAGATCAGAAAAAAAACTCAAAAAAAAAAGAAAAATGTATTTTTTGGTTAAAATGTTTCATTTATGATATTGCGTTTTTCTTCTCATGACATATTTTGTTGTGCAGCTTCATCATCATTGTTAGCTGTTGTACGCTGTGCTAAATATTGGTCCAAAACTAAAGAAAATAAAATATAGACATATAATTATAATCAAAAACTCTATTCATACTTTCATTGTCAGTTGGATATCGTGGGTAATCATTTTTATTATGAAGTGCTTGATAATAAAGTTCGCGAAGAACATAATTGTACAAATCATCATTATCACTTTCAGCTCGTTTTCCCCATGCGGATGACATACGTTTACCCCACGCTGATGACATGCGTTTACCCCAAGCACTACTCATTCTTAAAAAACAAGAAATGAAACAAAATATATATATGAATAAATAATTAAGCTTGTTAAATTTCAAATATCCATGGTAAAGGCGGCGAAACTAATAACGCTGTTTTATATTATATATATATATTTGTTTTATTCATATATTGAATAAGGCAGTGCATATTTCTTTTTCTCGACAATACTTTGAAATAGGTTACTAATGACATTGACTTCCGTTTGTCAATATTTTTAGCAAACAAATATAAAGTGAATATATATTTATTTTAAATTATTCCGTGCCAAGTAGACAGAAGTTTTTTTTCTTTTTTCAAAAAAAATTGACTTTCATATTAAAGTATATCGCATATAATAGAAAATTTCATGTCAATATAAACATTATAGTCTTAGAAAATCCTAAAATGATTTATTAGTTTAGAGACCAAATAAGCCCACCGATCGATTGTTCGTGTCATGTAAAATATTTTCTCTCGCGTTTTTCGTCTCAGGAAATATGTCTTATTCTGTTTAAGTCTCTAACATGGAAAAAGAAAATAGATTCGATTATATGGTAATAAGTAGACGATAGGAGGATTCGGTAAATGTATATGACAATTTGGATTAAAAGAAAGAAAATAGAACATACAAAGAAGAAAAAGAACAAAAAAGGCTATGATGTTATTAATCGGAAATACTGTGTGACAATGTATAAAACGGAACTTTGATGCATATGGAGGTGGTCTTTAATTTTTTATTGTGATCCTACCGTTTAAGATTGTTATTGTCCGAAAGACTTTGCGTGAGTGTAGCTTGACTAAAGACTGCTTGTATTATAACCATTAATACGGCAAATAAAATGACGTACAGCTTCATATTATTGATTGACAATGAAAAACAGAAGAGAATATGAAGATATAAGGAGTAACGATGGATCTAAAACAGAGTTTTCCCATATATATATATATATATTATATAGATGAATGAATATAAAAATTAGCTTACAGGAAAATATTTTCTCGTTTAGTTGAGATTAGGGAATATCTTATGCATGATGTAATACACTCAAAAATTTTATGGTAAATTAAAAGGTTTTTTTTCTGCGAAACCTTCTAATATTAAGTTTCCATAGATAGATGATAAGAAAAGGATGTGGTTCTGTAGATGTATAAAAGGTGAATGAATAGCATTAGTAGAAAAAGAAACAGAGATAGACTAGAGATTTCTCTCAGTCTATATTTCTCGTTCTCCTTCTTATTCTCTCTTTCTCTGCCAATCTCTATTTTAGTAAAAAAAAAAGCATTTTTCTCTCCTAATCAATATCTATAACAATTACCAAAAATTTATAACTGTATAGATTTTGTATATTGAAGATAAAATATTTGAGAACAAGATTCAATTTAATTCATTATCTTAGTCAACATCAAACGAAAAAAAAAGAAGAGAAAAGAAATATGTTTGTCATGCAAAAAAATGAGTTGGATTGCTTAAGACATCTAATCTTTTTTTATGACAACAAGTGAACTCTCATCCAGATGTAAGAACTTCATATATATAAATATTAGAATAATTATTAAAGATATGATCGTGAGTTTTCTAAATATTTTGTGGATAAATACAATAATTAACAGGATTATAATTTCTACATTGAATTTTTATTTTCTATTTATTTTCTTGCTTGTTATTATTTCGAGTCAATCTTGAATAGAAAAAGGATGTTATTATCACACATCAAAGTCATTTGAAAGGGAAAAAATAGCTTATAATGACTTATTTTTCCTAAGAAAATGTCTACACGCGGACGAGCTTTGTTTCACCTTGTAGTTATAATGGAATATAATTACTACAATACAATTGTATATTACAACTAAAGAGAGAAAGATCTATTCGATCCTAATCAATTGATATATACACAAATCCTATCTACTGAACGGAATCAATAATTCCTCCATCTGTTAATCGAAATAAATCATATATAACATATTACGACATTTATGATATAGTTTTTTTATAAACAATTGCCGATTTATCCATCCATACTGATTTATTTCACAGACACAAAAAAATACTTGCTTTTTTCGTCAATCAATACTTCGGATAGATCATGCATTGTTAATATTCCAATTATGTGTTAATTAAAAGAATTTTAACGAATTATGTTTTTTTTTGTTGTTGATCTAACTCTTATGCTTGAGTATAGACAAACATGCCTGTTTAATGAATCCTTCGTTAAATGGAAAATACAGATGGGTTTTCTGCGTATTCAATCAAGCGCCAAATTCAATCTGTTTTTCATTTTTTATACACAGATAAATCTCACCCGCCCACAATAAATATTATTTTGACATTTTTTTTTTTCTGTACTGAAAATTTATAATTCGAATTAAATATGATGCCTAATAATACACAAGCAACTATTGTTTATGTTTCATATGAAGGCTGTTGTTATGAAGTACGCATACGTAGTGATAGTGATGCACGTATACTTGATATACTCTATGGTTTACAACGTGCATTATGTATTCCACAATATGAAATGATGTTATGTTTTGGTCAACAACGTATTGATTGTCATCAATTTTGTTCACTTCGTTCTCTTGGTATACCTGAACGTTCAACACTTTATTTATATCGATGTTTATAGAAAAAAAGAATGTTTTGTTTAATGTTAAATTATTTATTTTGCCTTTTTTTTTAAATAGTTGTTCAAGAGAAGAAGAAAAAATATGAATTTTTTTATAGCAGTAAAGAAGAAGAACATACAACAAACAACAATAATAGTAATAATAATAATAATAGTAATATTGAATCATCAATAGAAGGAGAAAAAGAAATGAATAATGATCAAATGTCTACATGTTTTAAACGTTGAATGATATCTAATAGTAAAAAAAAAAGATCATTATCATTATCATTCGTTTTTTTTTTGTTCTTTTCTTTTTTTTTGATACACACATACATAGACGAACACAATTAAGTTAAGAATAAAGGTAAAAAGTCTAACTTTCTATGTACACACAGATGACATGAAGATATGAGAATTGATCTTTTTCATTTTATTATATGTTATTGCTATTCCCATTTGTTGACGATGATTTCTCTAAATTGCTTGTCTGCTGTTGAGCTTTTGAAATGTAAACATTTAATAATTTGAGCTTTAAAAAGAAAAATGATATTATTAATAAAAATAATCGAAACAAAACTAGTCATTGAAATTAAAAAGCATTATTCTTATTACTGAATAAAGCATTGTTTTTGCATAGTTTAATCATAGTAAAAAATATGGGTTTTATTTAAAAAAAAGAGTCAATCTTAATTCATCTGAAATCTTAAAAGTCATCCTGATCTGAATACTAAACAAAAACAATTAACCTTTTTAACTCTCAAATTATTTCGACCGAAATAAATTATAATAATCTATGGAAAATATGTGTCATATTTATTCGCATGAAACTGAAAGGGTTAAATGGAATATAAAAACTGAATCAATTGAGGAAAATTATAACACACAATTTATTTTCAAATAATCAGAATAATAAATAAAGCGAAAGAGAAGCAAGCAGCGAAAACAAAAAAAAAAGGACTATTAAATCTCGATATCATCTTACCAAAACTTCCTTTGAAAATCGAGGCTATATTAAAATAAATCTCATAATCAATCTCAAATTTTTCTCAATTAGATAACGTTACAACAAACTTTTTTCATTCATTTTTATTCTATTTACCTTGCTTGCACTTAATTTATGCAAATGAGCACGAAGACTATCACCAACCACTAAATAAATTGAAACCAAACAAAAAACAGCTGCTTTTCGTACACTTGATGTTTCACTATCCCATGACTAAAAATTTATACAAACAAAAGAAAGAATTATTTATATTCAAATGAAATTCTAATCAATATTATAGCATTTGTCATATGCATATTACATGCGAACTCCGGAATAAAACAAAGCAATGGCATTAGAAAGAAAAAAAATAAACCACCAATTCTTACGTTGTCTCCACCAATGAAATTATGGGAATGAAAATCCCATACCTTTTATTTATTATTTCATTTAAATATTCGTTTTATTTTATATATAAAAATAAATCTTACCGTTAAAAGTGGTGGTATCATTTCAGGCATTAATTCTGTACATATATCTTTATTCATTAATTCAATTGTTTTTTGTAACATTGCAATAGCTGATTGATTCATTGGATATTTAGCTTGTTCTATTATGGGTTTAAGTACTCGAACAGTATTTTCAGCTGGTAAATATTCAGCTGCAGCATGAGCTGCTTGTTCAGCTGAACGAGTTATCTAAAAAAAATCATACAATATTTTGTTTTCTAAAACAAAATTTCTTAACTTACTTCACTTTCGATTTCACTTTGAGCTTTTAATATTCGAAATATAGTTAGTTCGATATAATTCTTAAATAAACTTGTATGATGTGTTAATAATTCACGTATTATACGAAGACTATAAACTTTATATATTGTTTCATCTTGTTCATTATCAAGAATTTGTGTTAAAGTATTTAATGTTTTACTAAATGCTAAATTCCATGTTTCGGAATCATTTAATTTCGAAAATTTTAATATACAACGTAATGCATGTTGTCGTTGTTCTTTTCCTAATGTTTGTTGATTTGCCATATTAAGTGCTATATCAATAGCAGCTGGACGATCAGTAGCATCAAGAATACTCTTTAATATTTAAAAAAAAAAGAGTAAAGTTTAGATTCAATTTCAAACAAAAATAAGAATCACATACATCTGATGCTTCCGTAACATTACTTTGCGATTGATTTGAACGATAAGCTTGTGGTGTATAATGTCTTGTTGAATTTGAACGTGTATCTAAATGATTTATTTGAATAAAAATGAAGGAAATAATATTTTATATTTACCTTGATAATTTGTTTCTTTTAAAGGATTTGAATTTGTTAATAATAATAAATCATCTTGTCGATGATTGATATTTAATGCTTGCATATTTTCCATTAAAATACGCATATCAGATGCATATGATGGTGCTTGAAGTTCTGAATGAATTGAACTTGTCATTGAAGATGTTAAATTATTACTATTTGATCGTTGAAGAAAATCAAATCTTAATATTGAAATTTTTGATTTCAAAAATATAGAATATAAGAAAATAATTCTATTTATACTTATTATCAAGTTGAGAATGTGTTGATGATTGCATGTCATTAGCTGGTCGAAGAATTTTTGCAGCAGCATCCTAGAAATAATCGTATTTCTAGAAATCTGTCTAGGATAGATAAGATCTTTGAAAAACTTTTAGAATCTAATATTGTAGAGATGATAGTTTGTTCCGTTGAGTAGGAAACAAGAATTAATTATAACAATTGATATGAGAGATAAAGATATTTAGTTAACAACTGATTAAATAGAGATATTTAATAAAACATCAGACTTATATTAGATAGTCAAGGTAATTTCTAATGTATTTGTTCTCAATTCATTTAAGTGTTAATCAAATACTTCTCAGTTGTATCAAAACATAAAAATTATTATGAGTGAAATATCCTTGAATATATATTAGTTCATTATAACTTCGTTTGTTATGTAACATGTCTATATTTAATTTTAAATTCAAACAAAAAGAAACATACTTGATAAGTTGTTGGTAAGGCAGTGAGCATTATTGTAAATTCTGGTCTATTTAAATTATAAAGAGAAAGAATAACACCTTGAGCAGCCTAAATATAAATTTTCTCTTCTTTTATTTCTTCATTGATTTTAAACATTTTCTTTGTTTACCTTTCTCATTTCTAAACTTTTGGGTTCATTTGACCAATTGATAATTTTTGATAAAGCAATTCGTATATCTGCATTATTAGCTATATCAACTGGTTCCATATGTTGAATTATTTGTTGTAAATATCTTAGAAGTATTTCTTTCGCTTTAATACCCGGTGCTGATGAATTATCATTAATAAAACGTATAAGAACAGTAAATTGTGCATGAACATCAAATGATGCATTAACAATAGTTAAACATGTTTTTAATTTTTTATAAACTGAATCAAGTAAATCTGGTGCACCCAAACGAATTAATAAACGTGTTAATAATGTATAAAGCCATTCATTTAATTCACGTTTATATGCTGTTATAAATTCAGGTAAAACATCAAGAAATGCTGTAAATACTTGTGAATGTGGATCATAAAAACGTTTTGTTAATAATTCAGTTAGACGTTTTAATTCATGAGTACTAAATACACGACCAGATCGTATCATATGATATAAACTAGCAAGACTTTCTTTTCGTTCAGCCCATTCTGTACTTTGCATTCGACGTAAAATATCTGCTACATCCTATACACAAAAACAAAGATTATATATTAAAATAATAGTATTTCAATTGAAAATATACTTCAAGTGATCTTTCAGAACATATACTCGATGTTTCTGATGCATCATCACCACTATCAGCACCCCAAGCACCATTAACACGTCGTGAATGATCGACATAATCACTTCCTGGTGCTCGATATCCATATGAACCTATACATAAAATTTATTTATTAGTTACTAATCAAACAAATTGAATAATACAAAAAAAATCTAAGTACTAAATTGTCTCTAATCGAAACAAACAAATAAGAAGAAAAATATCTATTATGTTAACATACGAACACATTTACATTTATATATATATATACATATCTACAAACTTACGAACAAATCGACGTCTATTTCCACCACCACTAGCAGTCACCGCTGAAAAAATTTATGTTTTTTGTTTAAACTCTTAGTTTTGTTATTTTACTTATTTAAGAAATGAAAAAAATTAGTTTTTAAACGTACGTGTTCGTCCTGGACTTGATTCTCGACTGGATATTCTTGAACCACCACTTGAACCAACAGGTATTTTTGATCGTGCATTTGTTGGTGTACGTAATGCATTTGATAAATAATGAGCTGATTTTAAAGAATTTGGAGATGTTGATCGACTACCTGGTTGTGATTGAGAAACAGTATGGGTTGGACGAGAATTTACAGTAGTAGTAGTTTTTGCACTATTTGTTGCAGCTGCTGATTGAGCAAGAAATCGAGGTCGACCTAAATTTAATTTTTCTTCTATTGAATCAAACGATTTAAAGTATTCAAAAACATACCGGTTGTTGATTGAATAGTAGGTGTATTAAGATCTAAAATTACAAAAATAAATAATTATAAATATTAGTTTTCTATGAGATCTAACTATTGCACAAATTCATAGTCTTACACGTAATCTCTTGTTGTAGATTTATAATTATTCATTGATTTTGAAGTGAATGATTCTTCAATAATCAATGAATAATAATCTCTCACCTTGTATCGATTCTACTATTAACATGCTAAATATAATTTTATCATTTGAACTATCTAACTGAATGTTGATGGAGACATGTCAAAATTTCTATACAAGCAAAAACATTATCAATAACAAATAGAAGGTCAAAATTCTGCCGAGATTCAATAATTCGATGACATTGCAGGCAAGGTCAAAATGTTTCTTGCTATTCATCACAAAAAAATAATCTATTTTCTATAAATAATTAGCACATTTCTATAGTATCACACAAGACGTTGAGGCATACTTTGACATTCAATATAAAGAAATAGTTATTATTCATAATGACAAAATTCAAAAATAGAAAGAAGATGTTTCATTGATATATTCCTCCAGTAGAAGGTGATTGTCACTTCTTGACATTTCACGTCCCTGTAGGACAATTTTGTGCTTAGCATGATTTTGATCTGTATTAGAAATGCTGTAGTATATTAATATCTGCAATCTCATAATACTGTGATATTACACATATACAGGATATCATTCTTTATTTCAATTACCTTGAAAACAAAAAAAAAATTCAAAAATTTTCATTCATCTATGACTTCTTCAGATTTTTTTTTCATTGTATAATTTTCTCATAAATAAACTTAATTATAGCAATAATAAACGAGTTTAGTGCAATATGAAAGGATATACTATAAGTAAACTTCGTGCGTAGAATTTTATTTCGAATATTTATATTAAAAAATTTCTTACTTAATAAATTATTTCTCTTTCGTAATGCAAGTTCATTCGCACTCGATGATCGTGCTAGAGCACTCGGTGATTGTTGTTTATCTAGAAACAAATTTAATAAGTTCATCTTAGGAAAAAAGCATTTAAAAAACAAGTATCATACCATTAATCACTGCACGAGCTTGTCTAGGAGTAACACTAAAATGAATATCAGATATTCAACATTAACAAAAAAGAAAATCACAACGAAGTAAATTCTTACTCTTTAATACTCCGTAATTTCGAAGTACCTGTACTTGTACTTGCTAATGAATGTGTACTCGATGAATTACTCATCTCACCCTATTTTATTCATTAAAAGAAGAAAAAAATCAGAACAATTTAATAAAACAAAAAAAAATTATTTCATTTTTTTAAAATTAACTAACCAATAAGGTTTTCTTTTTCGAAGCATCAAGGGAAGCAAGCAAAACATCAGCTAATAAAGGAAAATGATCACGAAAAAGTCCAAAAGATTTTCTTGCATGTGATCGAGCATCAGCATCAGCATCAGATAGACCTTTTTTTATTGCATTATGTATTAATTGTCCATGTTTATCCAAATAAACTATATCCCATGTAGTAAGCATAATAACCAATAATTCATATGTTTGTCTAATTGAAAAATTTAAAATTAAAAATCAAAATTTCTCGAAATTTTATATCAAACCTTCGAATATCTTTTGCTTTCGATTCAACTCCAGCTAATATAAGTGGAATTAATTTACCTGCTTGCGTATGTCCTATGATATAACGCAAAGCAATTGAACCACTTGTTGAAATAACTTTTGCACTATTTTGTATTAAACTAAGCATAGCTGGTAGAATACTTTCAGCTGTACGTTCAAATCGATTTGTTAAACGAACAGACATGTATGCTAATGTTATACAAGCTTCTCGAACAATTTGTGAACGTAAATCTCTTACAGTTGCAACTAATGGTAAATCAAGTTGACGAAGACTACGAAAAAATTCTTCATATTGATCGGCGCCACCGGCAACGATTGATCGTAAACGTTTAAGCTAAAAAAATTTAAAATAGACTACAAAAATGAACTTTATTTTATTTTCTTACAGCTTCAACACGTTTTTCCCAATCATTATTTGTATCGGCAAGTGTTTCACGAACATTTGTTAATTGATTTTCAACATCTTTACCAGATGATAACTAAATTGAATAACATGATATGTGTCAAAATAAAGCAAGTATATCAATCTTATTCATTTACTGATGCAGCATGTGATGATTTAAAGGCATCTTCGAATATAGCTTCATCAACGGCACCACTAGCTGCAGCTAAATAAAATATGAAAGAAAAATATTATTTATTTATTATCGCTTGTATTCTACTTGATACAACACGATTTGGTGGTTTACGATTCATGATCAAATCTTACGTCATCAACTAGAGATATAAATATATATATGTATGTGTGCACATAAAATGAATAATGTGACTTAGTGAAACAATAACAGACACACACACACACACAAACACAAACACACATACATATATATATGTTATAGAAAGTAGAAGAATAAAGAAAGAAAAAAGGAAGAAGAACAACGACTGGTGCAGATTTAAACGATAAAACAACAGTAGTTGAGATTGATTAATGAGGACAATACGAAAGGTGACAACGATACAACTATGGACAGTATACCTCCTGTTGATAATGTAGATGAAAATGGACGTGGTATACCCGATGAAGAACGTGACCGACGATTCGTTGAAGAAGAAGAAGAAACTGTATCTATATCTATTTCTATACTCCATTTCGATTTTATTTATTTATATATGTATATATTCAATTGATATAATCTTTTATTTAATTACCTGCAGACACTGGAGGAGCAGTCGTAGTTCCTGGTCCCGGTCGTGATCGAGATGCTGAACCATTTTCAGGGTTAGCTCGTGGTTTAGCTGTTGATGTTGATGGTTTTGGACGAGCTAAAATTAAATTTTTTTGAAAAATTTATTCAATTAGAAAATAAAAAAAAAATAATAACAAAAACGAAATATAAAAAAAATCTTACGAGGTTTACTAGCCAAAAATAGAATATTCGTATTAGGCACCATATGTGAGTGTGATGTGCTTTCTTTCTCGTCTGATTTTTTCATCCTTTACGATCGTAGATGAAGTTTGAATATCAATGAAAACTACATATATATCACCATCTTTTTATCGTTTGTCGTTGCTTTGAATTGTTAAAAAATTTCAAACATATAAACTCAAGTAAGTATGAGAAAGAGAAGAAAAAAACGATCAATTGATAAGTTCAATAAACCGATTACTGCTCAATATGATTGAAAAAACGAGAAAGAAAGAAAAAGGTGGATGAAAGTTGACCAATTCAATATAGGGAACGATAAAGGAAAGAAATCGAGTAAATGTATATACAACAGGTTAATAAATTTGTGTGAAGAAATAATCTAGACCTTGTATATGTATATAATGTTTACCTGGTAACGATTTCCTCGCATAACTTAACCGTTGAAACCCAGTAGTAATTAATGGATGTAACTCATCATTCTCATCTTCAGTTAATGGTGGTAATTGAAATTGAGTTGATGATGGACCAAGAAATTGTTCCAATAAGGACGGATCCATAATGATTTCAAATTATCAATTCGTATCGTATACAATCAGAAAAAAAAGAAGGCTTCGCGACGATCAAGTACGATGGTGTCGGATTGTAAGGTAGTTAGTTGAAGACACACATATATGTATGTATACGTCCCTCACACACACACACACTCCCTCTCTCTCGTTTTTTTTGTGTGCAGGGTTTTTTGTCACTCACATATATACAGTCACGATCAACTTATCTTCATTTATATCTTACGTTGTATGATGAACATATATATACATACACCTTACACTTTCAATGAAGCTGATGACTGAGTTAATACAATGCAAATATGATCTTCCATTTCGATTAACGGTCAGCAGTAGTAAAAGATGTTGGCGACAAAAGAATATAGAAGACGAAGAAGAAGAAGAAGAAGAAAAATAAATGAACGACCGCAGTCACTCAGGTCACCTCTATTCACACTACTATTCAAATTGATCGAACATCACTTGACGCACTTATTACGTATTTTTCTCTCTTTCACCTTTTTTTTTCTTTGTCTCATACCCATAAGGCGTTTGAACGAAAAAAAAATCAAAGAGAGACGTCGAGAACGAGTTTCTTTTTATGCAAAGAAGGGATGTATATGAATGTATATATATATATATGTATATATATAAATACACGTGCAAATTCAGATGAACAATAAACTACAAATGCTTTGCCAGACATAAATTTATGGTATCTTTAATACATAATCATATTGAACTTTTTTGTTTCTTACCGTGGGGTAAAGAAGATGAAGCACTACCATCTGTTGAATCAGACATTTTAGCAATCATTCGTCCACTTGCGACAACGTCATCGAATTTATCATAAAGTTGTTTTAATCTTAAACAATAACAAAGAATTTGTTTGAAAGAAAAAAAAGAAAAGTAATCATTTACTTAGCCTCTGGTATGTCCCGCTTAGCTATATCACCTCGAACTTTTTCACCAACATGACGATAAATTTCTACAAGTGTATCGATTGCTTGTTGACGAACCTAGAGAAAAAAAGTGTAATCTATATAAATCAATCATTCAATTAATATAATTTCAAGACATACAGTTCCATTTGAATCAGATACAAGTTTACAAATTAATGGAACAAGTTTATTTAATTGAATTGTTGATGTACCGAATCTAAATAAGAAAAAATGAAAAATATCAATAAATTTCTCATTTATTCATAATTATAAATATGTATCAACTTAATGATAAAAAAATGAAGAACAATTTTATTCTCATTTATTTTACTCACCTATCATTGATAATCTGTGTTGAATAAGTTCGTCTCATCTTGACTAGACAAGATAGTAACAATGAAAGATTCTAATCCTTTTCGTTGTTATCTTTTGTCTACTGACCACTATTAGTAAGAAAATGGGAAATCACCTGCTTATATAGCTTGACTAACAGTCGTCAATACACATAGACACAGTCAAAACGATGACAAACAATACGTATAGAAAAGATCTATAATCCTTTTGATAACAACAACAACAGCAACACTCGCTTAGACAAAAAACGGATAGTGGCGATGGTGATAGTGATCGTTAGCGAGAGAGAGATATGTCATTCTTTTCTTGCATAACATACTCTAACGATCAATATATCCCTATCTCTTTTGCTTTATACATTCTACGCGCTGCCTTTCATGATATGTATAAATAGAATGGAAGTTACATCTTCGTGTCCAAACGAATAAGTACGCGTCAAGGTATCCTATAGTTACGATATAATACTTATATCAATTGACAAGAAAAAAAATGAAACATTAATGACAAAGAAATGTTCATTAATACAACGTGTCTACTATTAGATATTATAAATTATTCTTTTTTTCTTATGTTTTATGTCGTACATTAGCTTGATATATTAGGGGAAAAAAAAGTACTTATTTATCGTTCAACTAGTAGAATAAAATAATAGTAATGAACTTACTCTGAGATCGAAGGATATTTAGTTGTAAACGTTTTGGATTGATTCGTTAACATAGTTCTAGTTGTATATGTTATTGTCAAATATAGAAGAATTTTTACTTATTATTCAGTAATATATTTTTTGTATTTATAGAAAACAGTATGTGAAACATGAGAAAAAAAAGAAGAAACAAAAGAAGGAGAAGAAGAAGAGCAAAAAGTCCGTTTATATATATGTATATGTAGTAAATGTGAATGCAATCAGACAGAAGACATGGTCTTTTTTTTTTTTCTTTCCACAATATATATTTTATGTGTATTGATGGTGCTGCATGTTGTTACTCACGGTCGTTGACCGTCGGGCAGCTGTTCGTACATTTGCTTCTTCCTCTTTCTTTCTCGTACTTCTGCTTTCCTTTTTTTTTTACCATAGCATCATTTTAATTATGGATGCCAGAAGGACGCAGACACATATAAAAGTGTTTATAAAATTCGAGGAGAGAGAGAGAAAGGAGAGTCAAATTGAGTAACTGTCAATTAAATGTACGTTCAAATAGAAGACATATATATATTTGTTTACCGTTCAAGTAATTTCTCGCTACTAGCAACACCCTCACTTTTCCTTGAAAGAAAACCCTGACGGACATTATAATAATAAACAAAGAGTAAGAAGTTCACTACTATTTTTATCAAGACAAAAAAAAAGAACAATTTTAAAGGTCGATTGTTAACATTGTAGTGTCATACAGCCTTCTATATGTTAATAGTTGACTGACATGAGATAAAAGAAAACTCCTTTTTTTTCTCTTCTCGATTCTTTTTACTTCGGAAAATTGTTCTTCCGCATATTTCTCCATTATATACAATGAACAATGTCATTTATCGTTAAACAATATTCATCATTGGAATGTCTACATACTCATTTAATGTTCGGATAAGTAATCGTTGAGTTTCTTCTTTTATACGAAATTGTTTATTTTCAAATGCTAATGGTTGAATTAGATCCCAGATTCGCTTAAATAAAAATTTTAATTTAAAAAAAAAGAAGAAAGAAATATATATATACTTGTGGGGTATATTTTCTCATTAATTTTAATAGTAGATGACTAGCTGCGTCTCGAACCTTAATAAAAATTACATAGAATTTATAATTTGTTTTTTAATTTTTTTTTTGTCTGTTACTTGATCCTTTCCATCACCAAGTCGATCAGTTGTAACTGATACAACTAAATAAAACAAAAGAGATTTTTCTTTTCTAAACAAATATATATATATGTATATGTACCATTATCAAGATAATGTTCAAATTCATATGAATTTAATCGTTCAGTAAATAATTCTAATATCCGAATACCATTAGAAGAAATCTGAATAAAATATTTAATAATAATAATTGATATAATTATAATTGACATATAAATTATACCCGATAATTACTACCTTCAATCCATTTCAATAAACCTTTTATAAATCCTTCGAAATCTTCACATTCAATTGAGTTATTTACATCAGTTAAATAATGTTCCAATGAAATAAAACATTCTAATCGTACATTTGGTTCTTTTGATAAAACATGAGGATAAAATTGACCAAGATTTTTATATTTTGTTATTGCTGACATATCTGCCATCTATCTGTATACACAAAATAACCCAAAATATAACCAAATCAGAAAGTAAATCTATCTAAGAATATTGCATTGGATCTGCTACAACAAAGATAAATAACATGACTTAGAACTAAATGGAAAGAAAGAAAGAAAGAAAAAAAGACAATCAATTTAAGACTTATTAGTCATTCGATCCGAGAATTCTTCTCTCGAAATAATTATTGGAGAAAAATATACACCAATGAAAATTGTTTATATTACCATTCTATATCAATAACATGACAAATTACTTCAAAGATCTTTTGAAGTGTTAGTACATCTGTCAATCAAATTCTCTTTAATAATAATAATAAATAATCCATTAGATGTCACTATTCAAAGTAGAATTATATCAATGGAAATAAGTTTATTTAATTAAACATTTCCTTGAGAATTACAAAAAAAATATTTTATTAAAATATAGCAACTAAATTCTCTATATAAGATACAAATAAAATGCAAAACTACAATACATAAGAGTAATTGTTAATGAGATTAATTTATTTTAATATTTCGTTTTAAATAATGTTCAAATGTTGGTACAATACGTTTATATGTATTTATCATATATGGAGAAGTAAGAAGAAAATCAGCTGTTGATAAATTACATGCCATTGGGATATTCCAAACACTTGCTAAACGTGTTAATGCTCGAATATCAGAATCATGTGGTTGTGCTTCAAGTGGATCAGCAATAAAAATAAGCATATCTATAGATTGTTCAGCTATTTTAGCTCCAAGTTGTTGATCACCACCTAATGGACCAGATTTGTACTTAATAACTGGAATACCTAATACAGCTTCAATTAAAGAACCTGTTGTACCAGTTGCATGAAGTTCATGTTGTATTAATTGATCATGATTTCGTTTAACCCATTCAATTAATTCACTTTTTTTATTATCATGTGCAACTAGAGCAATACGTTTACGTATACCGATTTCAAATGATTGACATTCATCTTTAGATGACATTATTTATTAAAAATATATATCTAAAATCGAAAGATTAAAATATCAATTGATTGTAAAAAAGTAGCAAACTTTTATTTATCTAATAGCGCGATTAAGTTTGATTTATTCTACAATATCAAAAAAACAAACGAATATATCACAAAAAAATGATTAAGATCGTTGAGGTTTTGATCGTTGTCGTAATATAAATTGTCCAACAGGACTATCAGCAAAAATAAAACCAATGACTCCACCAATACCTGCACCAGCCAGAAATCCAAATGAAAATCGAAATAAACCTTTATACATATTCAATAGTCCAATGAGAACAATAGAACCAATAGCAATATATTGAGTAGGTATTAAAGAAGATAAAGAATATCGTTTTGACACAGAGGAATTCTCATTATTTTGTATCATTTTTATCTTTTATCTAAAAGTTAATTATAAATACGAATATGTTTCTCATATCAATAGAAGTAAATATAGTTTTTTTTATTTTTAAGGGACTTTTTTTCAAAAACAATCAATTTATGTTAATCAATCAAGTGTTAATCTATTAAATGCATGATGATGTTGATGGCTCTCGCGTACTTGTTTCAATGCCTCAAGAAAGTCTGCTCGTGTTATAGGTCTTAATTGAGATAAATGATCTTCTTCATTTGTTGTTGTTGTTGTTGTTGAATATTTATTACATATTTCAACAATACGTTGCATTGCAGCTTGTCGACATATTTCATTAATATCACTACCCGTATAATTTGTTGTTTGTTGTGCTAATTCTTCTAAATCAACATCTGTATCAAGATTCTCATTATTTAATACCAATTCAAATATTTTAATACGTTGATTGATATTCGGTGATTGAATATGATAACGTGTTGGCATACGACGTAGAATAGCTGCATCTAAATCTTGTGCACGATTTGTTGCCCCAATGATAAGTATACGATTTGATGTTGGATCAGCGTCATCCGTTTCTAAACCATCCCATAATGTCATAAATTGAGTTTTAACCTAAAAGAAAAACAATGATTTATATCATTATAATTAAATCTATATATATGTACCATTCGTGTACATTCATGATCATCATTTTGACGTGTACGCATAAATGAATCAATTTCATCAATGAAGATAATTGTTGGTTGCAATTTTTTAGCTAATGAAAATATAGCTGCTGTACGTTTTTGTGATTCACCATACCATTTATCTAATAAAGATGTTACCTAAACAAAAAACAAGATATACAAAATATGTTATAATTTACGATACACTTTGTATCTTTGTTTTGTTTACCGAAATAAACAAACGTTTCTATCGCCGGCACCCCCAAGGGTAAAATGTGTGTCGCACAGCATTTCCCTATTTTGTTTCTTCTTTTTCATCGTCAATATAGATATTAGTTTTATATCCTAAGGATGTTCTTTTGTATCAAAAACAAAGTATTAATCGATATCTATGAATGTTTAATTAAAGTTTTTCAAAATGAATATTTACTTGAAGGTTAATAAAATTTGCTCCGGCTTCTCTGGCGATTGCTTTAGCTAACATAGTTTTTCCACATCCTGGTGGTCCATAAAGTAAAACACCTTTTGGTGTTGTTAATAATTTCGATTGACTAAATAATTCCGGATGTTGTAATGGATAAATAACAGTTTGTCTAACATTATCAATAATATCATCTAAACCTCCGATGTCTTGCCAAGTAACTTTAATATCAATTGGATTAATTAAATCTGCTAGAAGACACATTTCATATTCATTAAAATTATTTACAAGTGATTTTGGTAAATTCATTTTTTTCGATATGATTTCTGCTAATTCTTTTTGACGTTTTTTTTCTTCATGTGTTGGATCAAGATGTTTAAGTGCATAGCGGATTAAAAAATAACTAAAAACCATTGAACCAAACAATGCTAACGTACGTGTGCCTAATGATAATATCAATGAGCGCATTTGAGGATCTTTGAAATTAATAAAACGTGATGTTTCAGTTAAATCCTGAGCAAGCTTTGATGGTGTAACCATGTTTTTCTATTCTTTCTGAAAACAAAAACTTAATATTTTATTTTCTTTTATTATGCACAATTTTGTTTTTCTAATATCAATCAAATATTTTTAGTTTTCAACAACAAAACAAAAAAGAGGAAAAAAAAACAATAGAAACTAAAAAAAGTTTGTTTCTACCAAGATGAACCTGTATGAGCCAAACGACGAATACGTCTGAGAAGAAAAATAAATGAATATATATATTTTTATTTTTAATTTTTTCATTGTACCTTGTATTTCGATCTTGATCACGAATCTTTTTATCCATTTCAGCATCCGTTAATGTTTCTAGAAACGGGCAATACTCTTCAGCATCATTATGTGTACGCATACCAACATCAATGATTGGCATTGATGTTTCACTATAATAAAATAAAATTAGTCTAATATTGAAAATAGTTTTTATTCTAATAAACCTATATGAAGATGTTTTATGATACCAACTAAGTTGTCCACGAATACTATATGCAATTGCTGTTACAAATTCACCACCAAGACCTTTAAAAAAATTTCATATATTATTGTTTTTAATATTTATAAATTATACCTAATTCCGATGCTAATACACGAGCAAAATCTTCTGGACTATTTTGATTATCTGACATATCCCATTCAAATCGATCAACTAAACTAACATTGCCAATATGAATATTTAACTAAAAAAAAGATGAGTATAAAATCAATTGATTTAGGATAAATGTCAGATCCATAAAAACTATCGAAAGGTCAATTATACCGTGTGAAAACGAATAGATTATGTGCGATTACTCATAATTTCATCTTACTTTAATTGTGACACGTTGATCACTATTGTCTTTAAGAAGATTATTATGATGGGCTTCAAGTTGTTGTCGTATAGCTTGTGTAATAGCTGGTACAAATACAATAGGATTTAAATCCAAATCATCACAGAGTACTTCAGCAAAGATTTCTGGTGTAATTAATTGTTCTATACAAAAGAAGAAGAGGATAGATATTATAAAACAAAATTTTCTTAAGAAAAATCAACCATTTTTATTCCATGTAAATGTATCTCGTAATTTTTGTCCTTCGATATCCATATCTAATCGAATAGGTACAAGATCTTCGAGTTGTTCAGCATTGTCAAGATTACGTGCTGTATCCACATAATCAAAGCTATGAGCAAAAGAAAAGATATATTTTATGATAAAACAAAGTCAAATATTCATACCATATAGGGAATGTCTTTTTCTTTATCATTGTTCGATTTCTATTTACAGGTGTAGCAGTTGGTACAGCATCCAAATAATGAGAATTAGTTGAAAGTGTTGGTAAAGTTGTGGTTCGTTTTGGTTTATCTCTAATATAGAAAAAAAAGAAGCTAGTCTTTTTCTCTCCAAATAATGAACTACTCATACGTTCGTGTTACGGTTGAATCTGTATTCATTGTTGATGCTCGATATTTTTCGTCGTGTCCACCCAATATTTCATCAACTTCACTTTCACGTAATAAAGTTAAATTTGTTGGTAATGAAGATTCCGAGCAACCTTAATTGATAAGAAACGTTTACAAATCATAATGAAGAAAATCAATGATTAACCTTGTTTAATTAGCCATTTCCGTTCTTCCAATGTAATCATACGTCGCCATAAAGATGGATATTTTTTGTAGAGTGTTCCGCGAAATAAACGTAAATAGTTACCCACCTTACAAAAAAAAAAACGAACAGAACAGAAAATGAAAGAATAAGCAAAGATACAGTCTAAAAATTTTATTTACTTCTGATCCAATATACATTTTTTCTTGAATATCAGGAAATTGATATGGTACGGGACGTTCACCATAAGTGTTCAATGTAGTGGTCGATTTTTTGGTTGTTGCCATGACTGCTTTTAAGTATAGATTAAAGTAAATATATCATTAAAATCACATAGAATTATCTATCAGTACCTTCACGATGTGAAAACGTATGCTGGTATTTGATATAGGAGACAAATAAATCTATAAACTAAAAAGATATCTAATAAAAAATAAAAGTGCATATAATAGAATATTACCTTGGACGTATAATTTTAATCATTTATATAAATATTTTCATGGCTATTTTTGATACCAAGTGTTTTCAAGTATAAATAAATAAATAATAGGGTTTAGTCAACTTTAGATTTAATGCTATATTGAATACGAATACATATAAAATTAGATACTAGCATGAATTCATTTCATTGGCTACACTATTAAGAACTAATAAGAATGCCTATAACATAGATGTCGTCATGCAATCCTTTCTTCATTCATGATCAAGAGGTCTAGCAAATACATTTTCTTGTATTCTGTATTCATTTTTTAACATCTATATATCTAAATTAGTTTATTCAGAATATTTATTGTACAACAAATATTACAAAAGTGTACATAAAGATGATCGAGGCACAGTTACATCAGATTTTTCGTTTGAAATGGGCACGAAAGGTTTAATATCTTCTAAAAATTGTAAATATTCTGCAATTCCTATAACATTTCTTTCCCCATGCTTTTCCATCGTAGTCAATTCATTATTAAGAGATTGTAACATTGTTGGTGAATTTGTCATACACATTTTGTATAATGCAAGAAGACGTGTACCTTTCATTTGTGAACAGATAGGTAAAAAATTTTCAAGTTGCTGTTTAACAAAAAATTGTTGAACATCATCAACTGTCCATTGTTCAATATTTGAAGGTAAACAATGGTCACTAAAAATTAAAGATAATTTATATTTTATCGTATATTATTAATCTTACCTTTTTGCTTGATAAGTCGCTTTTAATACTTTTTTATCTTCTATAATCTGTGTATTATGTGATGGTTTACTAACAGACGGCATTTCATGATGACGTGCAGAATTTTGATTCATGTCTATCTTTTTTTCTTTACGATTTCGATCAATTTCAATCATTAATTTATCGTAAGCATCATCAAAACCATATTTCGGAAAATCAATACGCATTCTACCTGTAACAACAATGCCAAGCCATCCATCAGGCCGATATTGGGATTTCATAACTAATGGAATTATACAACGTTGTCGTTCTAATGCATAATATGCTTCCATTTTACAATATCCACTTTGTTTATATCCATCAGACATACAAATAAATACAAATTCAGAGTTTTCAATTGCATTAGACATCGCTTCTAAAGGTGTTCCATGCATTTGTTCACGATCTAACCATACACGAAAATTATCTTTTTGTAAACGATCATAAAGTTGAAAACATAGATCTTTATCTTTATGTGAATAACTAATCATAATATCATATGTTGTTTCTGAAGATTGATTCGTTTGTGAGACTTCTGTTGTTTCATCTTTGGTTAATATCCATAATAAACTTTCAGCTGCTCGTTACAAATCAGATTGTGTAGGATTTTTAGATACTGTTGTAATATATTCAATAAAACTAGTATTTTCTTTTAAATTTTTACAAACATTTTTATCAAATGACATTATTAACAGGTTTTCAAGTGCTCGCTGTTGAACAAGTGCCTCAAATTTAGTCTTAGTTGCACATTTAATAAAAAGTTGTATGCCATCTTGTTTATATACTTCATCACGAATTTGATCATGCTGTAATAAGACTATTAAAGAAAATAATTAAATAATGAGATTAATACATAGATAAACTTACTTTTTAAACTCGATAATAAGTTTTTCAATCGTACTTCCCATCCTACCCAATTCATTACTTCTCTTAAATGATCAAGAAATACTTTAGCTATAGCTCCTGGATCATCAAGTCGTTTAATATCATCTTCTGTCATTATTGCTGCTAATATTCGATAGATATTAAATTGAATTTCTGCTTCATCTTTATACATAGTACATAATTTCAACATTGTTTGTGTTAATTTTTGACTTTTTAAATAATCCAATACGTTATCCGACAATGTTCCTGTGTAAACATACTGAATACAATTTTGATGAAGTTTTGCTGATCGACATTGTCCTAATACGATTTGAATAGCAACGTTGATTATAGAAACTTGTACTTCAAAATCTTCATCGTGCGGCATAGTCATGTCTACGCGATAAAGAAATGTAGTAGTTACATCTGTAAGGATATTAATAGCTGAATTAGACCAATCTGTAAGTGATACTGCATAATCATTAAGTAAATCATATATTGATGGAAGTAAATGTTTACGTAAATCAGGTGCATTTTGTTCAAGTTGGTTTGTACTCAAACATGAAACGTAATGTAATAATACTGAGAAGACAAATGTTTCAGGTAGAGAACGTTCTTCAGATTTTGCTGATCTTTTCAATTGATTAAAGATTTCAACTGTATAAGAAACACAAAGACATTTTATTATAACAACTCTAAATAATGAATTTTCGATAAGTTGACTTTTATTATGACTTTCAATATTGAGATAACTATTAAGTAGCCGATTTATAACAGGAATATGTGAATTTGTAAACATAGGTTGTCCCATACGAGCAATTGTATTTAGACATTCACAAAACTCTTCAATTAAAGATGTTTTCTCTAATTGATTAGAGTAACACAGATTTGTAAATATTATTGATAAATTTTCGAATATATTAGAATCATTTGAATCATTAAAATAAGTTAATTCACGCCATTGTTGAAATAATTCAATAAAATAATCACGAAGAAATGTTAGTATTGTTTCATTGAGATAAATAACGTTAGTACATAATAATGTAACTACCTTATTTAATTCCTGACGAAAAATGACAATATTTGATGACTTCAGACGAAGTAATTCAGTATCCAAATCATTTAAAATATCATCATCTTGTTTATAATATTCACTATTTTGTTTCCATGTTTCAAGTGTAGTACAATGCTCAGTAATCAAATCACTCATCGTGTAATTTCATCTAGCTGACAACAAATAATGTTATTAGAATAACAGATTTTTTTTCTCTGCCGGTTACCATAGCTTGTTCTTTATAGTTTATTTTTCTCGTACTTTAAAGATTTGAGTTACATTTTAGTCGTTCACTGCGCATATGTCGATGAAAAACTCTGTTGTTATATTTATGTTCTGTTCTGTGTTATTTTTATAGGTTACAATAATTTTAAAAAAAAAATAGAACAAAATATTCATCTAATCAGGAGAGGGGAAGGGGGTGTTGGGAGTGTAACACCCTCCAGTCCTACACCAAGTGTTCAACAACTTCTGACTTGATTGAAATTTTTCGCACCATTCTTTGTATGTTGGCGTTGTTGAATGTTTTGATTGGTCTCCACTTTTCGGTTCCAACGCCACTTTGCACTCTTGCTCGTATATGACGGTCGAAGCTTCGATGATCGTGATAACTGTGAATTCATCTGAAAAAAAATGTTAAGTAGTTATGAAATACTATTGTTTCATGATGTAAAAGATTTCAAGGACCAGAAAAAAACTTACATCTATAGCTAGATCATCTTGAGGTCTTTGAATACGTTGATGAATGGGGTGAAACCAGAGTTTGTAAAAAAGAAAAATCATCGCAAATATTTCTATAAGTGAAAAACTAAAGAGAACGGTATGAAAGAAAAGTGCGCCTCGACGAATAATGGGTGCTTGATTGTTTTGAACAAAATAGATTTCTTCTTCAAAATGAATATTAATAGTCTGTTGCTTAGAAGAATATCGCAAATATTCTCCCTTTTCTGCAAAATATAATTCATCCGAGAGAATATCGGTATATGTAATAAATGGAGCCCAAATTCCTCCGTATGATGTTCTATCATTTCGGTTTAGTGGTTTTGTTATATTAATAACTTTGATAAGACGTACGACGAAATCAGTCGAGCGTGCAATAGTTTGATTATTTGCATAGAAAAGAGTACATACATCAAGTTCGTGCAATTCATGTACTGCGTAATCTTCAGTTTCGTTATAGGATTTTCCATGTAGACAAAGACGAAGTGCTCCGATAAAGTACGGCCCATTGATACCAACTCGAACAAAGGACTTATGAGTAGGCAGACCAAAACTAAACGAACCACTAACATTATTTGTTGACAGTGTACAATTTGTTTCGACTCTTGATAAAGGAGTACCTGTACGTCTGTTACGTTCAGCAATGATATCATTACATTGAGCTCGTGTATTTACCAGATGTATAGTCATAGTAAACGGTTGTTTGTTGAGCATATCGAATATTTTCCAATAAGTACCATCAGGTTCAGGTAAGGGTAGTTGAAGTGCATTGTCAAATTTCGAATTTCGTTGATTGTTATCACATGCTTTGTCGACTGCCTCTGCTTTCTCGATAGGATATGAAGAGAAGTAAAAAATAGCAAATATAGAACAATATATGATAATAGTAAAAATGACGATTGATACGAGACCACCAATCCATCGTTCTCCTTCTCCAATAAGATCCGTATGTTTGAAAACGGTCTTTGCTCGTTGACGGTAGATATCGATCAGAGTTGGACGTCGTCGTTTAGTAAGAAACATAATAACCCACACCATTAGACATAGTATTGTAGCCATTAGAGTCCAGAAAAGAGGTGTAAAAATCAAACAATTCCATTTCATATTAGTAGAAAAAAATTTTAATAATAATAAATCATCGTAGTCATCGATAATAGGTGTATCCGGATAACTAAATGTTTGATTATACGAATTAAAGTCAGTTAAATTGACTTCATCACTAGCGCCCAATGGACAAAACGCAGTTGCATTACAAGGTCGACATTGAATTGCCGAATAATTTCCAGGATTTTTTGTACGTGGTGGACAAATCATGCACGGACCAGGACCAGATGTATTCTTAAAAGATCCACTTACACATGGTCTTGGTTGCATGACATACAGGTTTAGCGAGTTAGTTAATACGAGCTTCATAGAACAGAAGCCGGCATCAGCAGATGGAATATACACGATATCACCATTTTTTACCTGGATTAATAAATTGTTCGAGCGTGTTCGAATACGACGAAAAGAAAATTTGCGCCGCGAATTTGAGCGTTGAATACCACTCAAGGTCTGTTGATTATTCGGGATAACAAAACTAGGTACAATTGAATCATGAGTTCGATTAAGAAATATGTTTTTATATACTTGAATTTCCGATTTCATCGAACTGTTATTCGTTGATTTAAGCATGAGAACAGCGAGTGTTTCATCATCATTGAGCCAGCTAATTGAATGACCAAAACCGTTCCAATTTTCGGATTCACTAATCTCATGAAATTTTGAAACAAATCGAAATGATTCATTACCACTCATATATCCAATTGTCACTTTATTTAGCTGACCGTCACCAATAGCTATTGTCGTTCCTGAAGGATTAATTGAAAGTGACATTTTATAATCTTGAGTGTAGCTAGTTCTTTCAGTTCCTTGAATATCGTTCTCATCAATAGCACTTACATTAATTATACGCAGTGGTTGAAGTTCAAATATATAAAGGCATTGTTTACTTCGAGAATAATTTTCAATTGAATGAAATCCTACAACAGCAGCCCAATCATTTTTTAGATCAAATGCATAAGGAGTACACGATCCATAACTGTTACCGAAAACGATAGAATTAGTTTTGTTAATTTGATTGACTTGATCGGTAAATAAATCATAAGAAAGCATAAATGCATCGGCAAAGACGTAGGCAAATTTTTCCTGTGGATCAACTTTTAGAAACATATGTTCCTGATGACCTTCGTTCCATACTGTCGTATGACGAAAAACAGGGTGTAGTTTTGGATTATTATAACATACCGTTAGATTCACAGTAATTCGAGTTACTACAATAGATTTAGATGTCTTATTTTCGGCAAGTTGAACGAAAGAGATAATATTATTTTGGTCCATTGTTAAGACTGAGAGACCGTAGATATTAAGTTCGTTATGTGGATTGTTAATAATACATGATGAATTTTGAACTACATTCGATATCGAATAAAAAATATAAGTTTTTCGAAGATTCGAAACGCCGATGATAAAGTTATCGCTAAGTGCTACTTTAAGATCATGGTTCTCTTCCTTCGATTCATACTTCATCGCTAATGTTTCCCATTTGAATGTCAATAGTAGTAGTAGTAGTAGAAATACAACTTTCATATTCATCATTAGATATATCACCACAAATGTTTCAACCTAAAATCAAAGTAAATGTACAAGAGGTAGAAAAATACGCAAAGAAAGTAAATAAAAAAGAATCGGTACTACATACATTATGTTAAAATCATATATTCATCATGCTGATATAACAGTTAGAGAAAAAAAATCAGAAGAGAGAACATATGACAACTACTCAAGATAAATGTTGATGAAAGAAAACAGAAAATGACTACTCAGTTGTTTCTTATACCGTTCTTTTCCTCTATAAATATCAGTTACAAAATAAGCAAGAAAATTATTCTTCTACAAAACTTTGTTGTCGTTTTTATATTCATGTAAAAACACCGTGCAACATCTGATCTTAATCAAGATCATTGATTTTTTTGTGTTAATGAGTACATATGGAGCTATAATGAATCTAGAAGTAAGAGATAAGGGCATCACAGCTTGCTCTAATGTTTACTTCCATTTTGTCGATGCAGGGATTCCGAGATAAGAGTCGAGTAGTTCGGTCGATAATTAGAAAACGGAGAAAAATATGTTTTTTCTTCATTGTGATTAAGAATCGATTATAATATATTATTTTGAGTGATTTAATCGATTTTTTTAGCCGCCGTGGTTACGTTGTTCGACACATATCTATCTTTTTCAGTTACTCACATCACAGCCTTATATTAATCAAATGGAGCATCATTAACACAATGTCATTCTCCATGAGATATTACACTTGATCCATTTAACTATCGAATTCAATTTTTTCAAATTGAACAATTAAATGCAACAACTATTGTTGGTAAGACAGGTAGTTTAGAAAATAATTTTACTCTTATTGATAACCCCTAAAAAACGCGAAATTTATCTTTTTACTCCGAAAATTTATGCTACACTCCTCCCCAATGTTGGCTGACTCGCACTACCCCTGAATCTGATATAGGATTTAGTTTGAAAATAACAATGTATAACAGATGTATCGTATATGTTCAAGAAATATGTAGAGCATCAGACTTAAGTAATAGCTCAATTATAATTATATCTAAATTAATATTCATTATATAGCAGAGATGAACACAGTACACGTTTTCACCGAATCGAACCATGCCTGTCTATGTTACATCCTGTATAACTTTACGTCGTGTTTAAAATGGAATATTATATTATACAGTAATTAAACTTGATTTTTTTTGAACATTGCCATCTCTAATTTCATAAGTTAATAGTTTACCCGTTCGAAATATCGATGATTTTTATATTAATAGGAAAATTACAATAATTTAGCAACGGTTGGATTTTATGTGAGTGCAACATTTTATTACAGTGTTGCCTATTATTTATCACTTGCAAATAGAAAATATAAGTAAATGATGATGTTATATTCATCTTTTATCGTCAAGTATACTCACATCATTCTTCACGTAATGTTCACATTATAACTCGTTATAGAAATGTATTCAACTAACTGATCGAGAAATTCTAATTGTATCCAGATGTAACGGAGGCATTTCCAACAAAATCATATGGAGACATGACAAAAAAGGATAGAATTATCATCAATATTCAAAAATTATTTTGTGGATTTAAACTAATATATGCTGAAAGACGAATGTATTAAGCTGTGTAGAGGAAGATAATAAACAACATTATTTGTATAGCATTTTGTACTTTTTACATACAATAAAAGTGTTATTGAAAGGGAGTATTACGTACTGATCCTAGTTCTTGATCAAATATCTGTATTTTTCTTGCAAGACAATTGATAATAACTATCTTCAACATCGATACTAAGTTCAAATATTCAGATTTAGCTTGTGGTATCGATCGAAAAACATTAAGATGTAAACTAATTCTTTGAATTATTAAAATATAGAAATTTAAGCAAAGTTTTTCTGTGTAATTGACATTTATAATATCTATTTTACAAAGATTCTTTTTGTTTAATTTTCTGATTCTCTACTTTTACATCATTATTTCTTCTCATTTTTGTTTCTACATGATAATCAATACACTTGCATTCATATAATCAATGACAAATACTACCTATGTCTTCTCAAAAATTTTTATTAGAAAAACTTATTTTTGTGTTCGAATGAAATCGTTCCAAGAATTCGATATATATATCTTTGATATGAACAAATTATCAATGAGATAAATAAGTTTAAATAATATTTCTCTTAATAGAACATGTAACAGATACATTTTTACAAATTATTTCCATAATTCTCTTGATAACACCAATTAATCTTCTTTACTATAACAATCGATAAATATTTACTTATTGAAACATACAAAAAAATATAGAATATATTAAGTCAATATTATCGAGACATTTTTGTTATTTGAAGTTAGGGAATACCTATTGATGTTAATGAAGTCTTAATCTGACTATCTGCCTCAAGATCTATATGAATGAAATATATCATTAGTATCAACGCAACTGAAACATGGTGTTTGTAGTCACATACGAAGATTGATTCAATTCATATAGCTGGGTGTGAGTGTGGGTGTCTATCATCTCATAACCCACTCACACCCACACCCTTTTTATGCTCGTTCTGTCGATTATTCACTATTCGTTTCTATTAATTGAACAAAAGGTATACAAATATGTTACCAATTAGTCTACTATCTTTTTTGTCAAATAAACCAAACAAAAAATACATCAACTTAAAAACAAATATAACAATACAAAAAAAGTCAATGTCAGTATGGATTTATTTGATGCACTATTCTATTGGGGACGAATAACTCGACAAGATGCTGAAGAAATTCCCGAACAAACAGGTTTAAAAAATGGTTTATATCTTATACGAGAAAAATTTGAAGAAGCCGGTGCTTATGCTATTACATTATGTTATTTAAAACGGTAATTAGGAAAAAAAACTTAAAGCTTAAAATTCTTTTTGTTTTGTCTATTATTAAAGATTTTATCATTATCGTATTGATCGTCTTTTAAATGATAATGTTGTTCTTAATGGATCACGTGCTTAGGAAAAATTTTCTCTAACAAATAATGATAGTAGACTAAATGGTCAGCGTCGATCAGGAAAAGTTTCTGAACAAATGGAATTTCCTGGACCCATGGAATTAATAAATTATTTTCAAAAAAATGCCGATGCACTTATTACAACATTATCTATTCCATGTCAACGACCATTTGTAAAATTCAAATTTTTTTTATATCATTTAATTCTATTTTTTTTCCTTCAAAGGATCATAATTTTATACAATTTTGGTGTGTACCTTTACTTACAAGTGACTTGTATATGAGTAAAATTTGTCAAGAAGCTTCAAGTACTGATACTGAAGTAAGAATAAACGATCGAATAATTTTATTTATTAAAATATTTTCGATTATTTCTAGATACCAATTAAAGAAAAATTAACATATAAAAGATATATTTATGAACGACGAGTATTAAAGTATTGATTTTTTATATTAGTGTTGTATGATATAATTATATATTTAAAATCTTAGAGGTTTACATGAAGGTGAACCATGGTTTCATTCTCGTATTAGTCGACAAGAAGCAGAAATTCGTTTGAAAAATGCGGGTGGAAAAAGTGGCTTATTTCTGTATGTATATATATCCATATATATTTGATTATGTCAATGTATTCGTTATTATTTAGAGTACGTGAAAAACGAGGTGACAAACGATCTCGTGAATATTATTCATTGAGTCTATGTTATCAACGAGAATATCATCATTATATAATTCAACAAACAGCAAATGGTCGTTTACAATTTGCATCAGCTAATAAATCTATGCGTATCAATCAATTCGGTAGTATTGTTCAAGTATGTATAAATTAAACGAATAGAAAATTTATTATAATATATACTAATATAGCTCATTGATTACTATTATCGACATCAACATGCAGGACTCTACTCGGTAATCACTGACACTGACGCTTTCAGTGCTCCGTGAACACTGACACCGATCTTTTGTTGGCACAGTAGCCACTGATACTTCAGTGCTCAGTGAGCACTGATCCCGATCTTTCAGTGACACGGTCATCACTGATACTGATGCCTTCAGTGCCAGTGAACATCTTTCTCAGTGGAAGTCGGTGATCAGTAAACTGACACTGTACATCTCTAGATGAACGTTAACTTGCACTGAATACCACAAGTTATTGATGCACTTCTACACAGGGTTTACTCGGCTACAAAACATAAGGGTCAGATGATTATCGCTGAGCTTTCTTGGTAGTTACTTGGTATCATTGTAGTTTGACTATCTTTTACGATTCCATTATAGGCCTTTGTTTTCAAATAAATAACTGACTTCTAAAAGCATTCTCCTCGTACTCGATGAAATAACAAAGGGAAATATCAAGTAGATCGTCCATTTTAATTATTTAAAAGGACCACTAATAGAGAACCACTGCCTATTTCTTTACATAGATTCTATATAGCTTTCAACGATAGACACTCAAACGAAAACTAAGGTATTATCTGCCACATATCTTAAAATGTACACAAAAGAAACACATTTTCAGACATTCTTTTGCTGTAAACATGTTCCGAAGTAACATTTTCCCGATACGTTTTATTTTGACAATAGAAAAAATGATCGGAATATAGCGGTAAGATTTAATACTGATATTCTCTAGAGAACTACTAATCTCACATCCTGTACTGAAAAGATGATGCTATCATTGTTCTTTAACTGACATATATCCTAAAAAGGCAATTTGCAAAATTTGTGCGGTACCCTGTACGTCTCTTTTCCGGTACGAAAAAAAAAACAACATTTATTTAAATCAAACAATAACACATGACTCCACTGATTATTCTCTTACTACACATCACAATAATCATAGCCATGTACAAGCTATCGAAATAAAAAGAGAAGTGTTATGTGCAAAGCTCAGCTCCTTCCGTGAACCATCAGCATTAAATCGTTTCCCTTTAGCACGCAACTTATCGTCTTTCCATTTTCCCAGTAACAATATCCTAACTACCTACCACAATTACCAATATAACATATAGACACTTGTAAAAGAAAGCGTAGTAATCCGTGAATATATTATCTCGCCCCGTGAACCATCAGCATAAACCATTTTGCCCATACCATACTTTCTGTTGTTTTTCCATTCTCCCAATATCTATTTTCTTGCCGTATATCATGATTACCAATCCACTATACAGGCACTTGTTGTAGAAAGAGTAGCAATTTATGAATAAATAGACACGTATTGATCTCCAATCGCATTACGAAATGTGCCTTGACCATGTCTTTTATTGTCTCTCCATTCTCCCAGTGTCTGTTTTCTTACCCTCTATCATGATTACTGATTCAATGTCCAAGCACATGCCACAGAAATAACAGTAATTCATGAATATATCAACTCGTATCGATCCCCACAAGCACTACTGAATGTACCGTGACCATGTCTATTGTTGTCTTTCAATTCTCCCAGTCTCTATTTTCTGACTGGGTATTATGACAACCAATGCAATATACAAGTACTTATGTCAGCAAGACTGATGATATGTGAATATATCAACTCGTATTGATCTCCATAAGCATTACTGAATGTGCCTTGACCATTCCGTTTACCATCTTTCCATTGTCCCCCTGTCTGTTCTCTTACTCTATATCATTGTTCCCAATGCAATGTATAGACATTCGCAGTAAGAAGAGTAGTCACTTGTGAATACATCAACTCATATCGATCTCCACTCGGAAAAACCTCTTTCCCTTCACCATTCTGTTTGCCATTTTTCCACTGCCCCAATGTCTATTCTCTTACTGTATATAATGACTCCCAATGCAATACACAGGCACTTGTAGCTGGAAGAGTAGTGATTTGTGAACGTATCAACTCGTACCATGAACTGTCAGGAGCAATCAATTTGCCTTCACCATTCTGTTTGCCATCTTTCCATTGTCCCCCTCTCTATTCTCTTCCTGTATATCATTATTCCCAATGAAATGTACAAACGTTTGCAGCAGGAAGAATAGTGATTTGTGAATATATCAACGCATATTGAGCTCCATCACTATAAACCTCTCTCCCTTTACCATTCTGTTTGCCATCTTTCCATTGGCCCATTGTTTATTCTCTGACTGTGTATCCCGATTAGCAATGCAATCTACAGGCACTTGTAGCTGGAAGAGTAGTGAATCATGAATATATCAACTCGTACCATGAACCATCGAGAACAATCAATTTGCCTTCACCATTCTGTTTGCCATCTATCCATTGTCCCCCTGTCTATTCCCTAACTTTATATCATGATTCCGAAATCAATGTACAGGTATTTGTAGAAGGAAGAGTAATGATTTGTGAATATATCAACACATATTGGGCTCCATTACTATAAACCTTTTTGCCTTCACCATTCTGTTTGCCATCTTTCCATTGTCCCCCTCTCTATTCTCTTACTGTGTATCCCAATTAGCAATGCAATCTACCGGTGCTTGTAATCGGGGGTCTAATGAATTGTGAATATATCAACTCGTATTGATCTCCATTAGCATAAACGATTTTGCCTTTACCATGCCGCTTACCATCTCTCCATTGTCCCATTGTCTATTCGCTTACTGTATGTTATAAATAACAATGGAACGTACTGGCACTTCTAATATGAGGACTAGTGATTTGTGAATATATCAACTCGGATCGATTTCCACTAACAGACACCTTTTTTCCTGCACCATTCTGTTTGCCATCTTTCCATTTCCCCGATATCTATTCTCTTACTATATAGCATGATTCCCAATGCAATACACAGGCGCTTGTAGATGGAAGAGTAGTGATTTGTGAATGTATTAACTCGTACCATGAACCATTAGGAAAAATCAGTTTGCCCTCACCATTCTGTTTGCCATCTTCCCATTGCCCCTCGTACCATGAACCATCAGGAGCAATCAATTTGCCTTTACCATTCTGTTTGCCATCTTTCCATTGTCCCAGTGTATATACTCTTACTGTAGTTCATGATTAGTATTGCTATGTAAAGGCGTTTGTAGCACAAGGAGAATTAGTTTGTGAACAGAGCAACTCGTATCGATTCCCACTAGCAAAAACCTTTTTCCCTTCACCATGCGGATTGCCATCTTTCCACTGTCCCATGGTCTATTTTTTTTCTGTGTATCATGACTCCCAATGCAGTGTACAGATAATTATAACAGGAAGAGTAGTGATTTGTGAATATATCAACTCGTACCCTGAACCATCAGGGGCAATCAATTTACCGTTACCATTCTCTTCACCATCTTTCCATTGTCCCAGTATATATTTGCGTACTATATATTACGAATGTCAATGCAAAGTACAGACGCTTGTAACAGGAAGAGTAGTGATTTGTGAATGTATTAACTCGTACCATGAACCATCAGGAGCAATCAATTTGCCTTCACCATTCTGTTTGCCATCTTTCCATTGCCCCAGTGTGTATTCTCTTACTGTAGATCATGATTAGTATTGCAATGCAAAGGCGTTTGTAGCACAAGGAGGATTAGTTTGTGAATAGAGCAACTCGTATCGATTCCCACTAGCAAAAACCTTTTCCCCATCACCATGCGGATTGCCGTCTTTCCACTGTCCCGTGGTCTATTCTGTTACTGTATATCACGATTGTCCCCGCAATGTGCAAACACTTGTAGCTGGAAGAATAATTATTTGTGAATATATCAACTCGTATCGATCTCCATTAGCATAAACTATTTTCCCTTGACCGTTCTGTTTGCCATCTTTCCATTGTCCCATTGTCTATTCTCTTACGGTGTATCGCGATTAGCAATGCAATCTACAGGTGCTTGTGATAGGAGGTCTAATGATTCGTGAATATATCAACTCGTATTGATCTCCATCAGCAGAAACCTTTTCCCCTTCACCATGCGGAATGTGATCTTTCCATTGTCCCAGTGTCTATTCTCTTAATATGTAGCAGGAATTCCAATGCAGTGTACAGACACTTGTGACAGGAAGACTAGGGATTTGTGAATGTATTAACTTGTACCATGAACCATCAGGAAAAGTCGATTTACCTTCACCATGCGGATTGCCATCTTTCCATTGTCCCAGTGTCCATTCTCTTAATGTGTAGCATGATTTGCAATGCAACATACACGAACTACTAACATGAGGAGTAGCAATTTATGAGCGTCTCAACTCGTAGGATTGACCATCAGCATAATCCATTTTGCCTTCGCCATGCATTTTGTTGTCTTTAAACTGTCCCAGATGATGTTTTTTTACGATGTGACGGTAATATACATGCCGCTCTTTTTAATTATTTAGATATACACAAATAGTTTAAGAATATCTGAACTCGTATCTATCGTCATTAGCGTAAATGTAGATACCTTGACCTGATATTATATCATTATTATAATCTCCCTCGTAGTTGTCACCTGCTTTCTCATTTTTTGGTCCCCAGGTGAATTTACCTTTACCATGTTTCTGGTCGTTTTTCCATTGTCCCTTTGAGTATTCTCTTATTGGATGAGAACGATATAGAAACAATCTGTTTCAATAAAAATGACATTGAGAAATAATTTTTGAATAGAAGGACTCGTAGTGAGAACCATCTGTATGATCTATTTTCCCTTCACCGTGCTTTTTTCCATCTTTGATTTGTCCTTGGTATTTATTGCCAAATGAATCAGTGTGAGTAGTGAACGTGTTTGGTGTTGTTTGTTGAAAGGTGAAAGGTTGCTCTTCCTTGTGATCACAAGTAATTTCTTCTAGATGGATTAAATGCATTGGTGAATGATCTAGTGGATCACCTTTCACACGAAGTCGGGTACCTGGGCAAAGAACTACTTCAGTTTCAGCTGGAAAATTGGTATATTTTGAGATATCTTTTCCGTTGATTGCTTCAATTAAGAATACTGTTGACTTGGATCCAAGAAAATGCTGAATAGTACTAAGTGATGTTGAACATGAGCTGATCGTCCACCATATAAATTCATCGCCTTTCTTAAAGAGTCTCGTAATATCTTCTGGAACACCACGCCATAGATTCTTTCGAAGAGTAGGTAACTTTTGTACGGCAGAATCAAATAGCTTAAGATAAGCGAACCACGGCTCTAAAGAAGATCGATCTTCAGCACGAAGAGCACGATTAATAACTTGGTAGAAACTATTGCCTCCCCATTCCATTGTGTAAAGGTAAATTGCAGCTGATTCATCACGAGTAAGACCATGTTCAGAAGGAAAATGACATTTATTTCTCGCTAGTGTGCTAAAATCTTCCAACTGATCAATTTGAGATAAGATGGGTTTGATAGCTTCTTTTAAAGGTAGTAATTGATCAGCTAGATAGCCATAAACAGGTGGTAATCGTTTAGAAGTTGATTCTATATCGGTGAAGCGATGCATTTTCTCTGTAATTAATGATTAAACGTACATATGCATTGCAAGATAAGGGTAATTCTGTTAGTTATTTTTTATGTTGGAAATTTCGCAATAAACTTAAAAGTAAGAAGTTTGCTACCCTTTATTTATGTTCTAAAATTCTTATCTATTCCTTTTCAAAGAAGAAAAAAAATTCGTGTTCTGTATTTGTAAGAGTAATAGATGGTGGTCAAACTGATAAAGTGAGATGAAGAGGCGAAGAAAAGAAAAGAAATATCATGAAAAAAATATTTGCTTCATTCGCTTCACATCGATGGATGACGTGTAGATGAACAGAATAAATATTTTTGAAGGGTGCAAACAATGTAGAAATAAAAGAGACATAGTACAAAGCATGCATTATTTTTATCAATTTTTTACTTGAAAGCTGACATAATAAGGTTTAAACAAAATTTCAACATACTTTCTGGTTTGTTAATGAAAAGATTTGGGTTTTAAATTAAGAATTGATATCAAGACATTTCAATATCTATTGCTGTTCGTGTTATATGACTGAAGATTATTCTAATGTGTTATAAATAGAAACATGATTCATCGATTCTTTCTTTATTTTAAATTATTTGTGCACTTTGGTGAACTTGAAATCGGTTTATTTTCTCTTAGTGTAAAGTGAAAATCGATTAGTTCATATTTAAACACTTTTATTAAATAAAAAAGAACTTTTCATACACACGATAATATTGACTTTTTTTTACAATTGTTTTTTCAGAAGAATACGTTTTTTTGAAAAAGTTTGTCTTTAAATAACGTAATAAATTTGTTTTATTTAAATAGTAATTAATGTATTATTGCACAAGGAAAATAATCTCGTAAAGATTTACAATAAATTTTTTCTCCATAGAAAAAGATTTCACTTATTTTAGCACAATTAATTCGTAAAACATCTCTTGTAAAATTATGTGTTACTCTTTCTAATGATTTGTACTTGATATAAATCCCAATATTACTATGAAAATATGTTTTTGTGTTGTATAAAAATTCTTCTATATAATCATCATGAACTTCTCCAATATGAAGTGTAACAAGATAATTATATTTAACAATTGTTGAATTATAATTATCATTTATTGATTTATAAGATTGTTTATGTTTTTGTGATTGATAATTAATTAAAGATAATTTTTCCATAAATGGAAATGATTGAGAAATTTTAATAAAAAATTCATGTTCAAAAGAATATTCATCATATAATGATATAAAACGAACATATTGATATAATCCACCTGGAAAATTATTTGTTATCTCTACATAATATGGCATTTCAGATGGGTATGAAAAAACATGACATTGACTCTTTTTTTTTTAGAAAATAATCAACATAAGATATTTTCGTATATTGAAAATCTCTAAATGTCTCCTCAATGTCGTTTTTAGATGGTAAATTCATTTGATCATTTTTATACATGACTAAACGAATATCAAATGTAAATAGATTCAATTGTGGTAAACGGTCGATAATATTCTTCTGTAAATCATTTCCACCAATAAATTTATCAGTAACATAAATTGTAAGATATAAACTAAGTTTTTCTATATTTGACATTCGATAAATAAGTGACAGAAGTGATTCTTTATAATGTAATATTTCCCGAGCACATGATAGAACAAACCACTTTAGATTTAAAATTTTTTCCTAGAAAAGTAAAATAAATTTATATTCTTTTAAAACCAACTTTATTTTCGATTAAATTTGTTGATATACAATTATTAATCAAATCAACAGTGAGTGTATGAAGTTGACTAAACCGACCATCAATGGTATAAAATATCAGTGAGAATTTTGATATTTAACACCAAAAGACTTCAAGATGAAAAACTTCGAAATGAAAAATCAATTGATAAAGGAACAAAATTTTCATATAATGACTCAGAAAATATTAAATGTGTTAATTTGTTAAATATAGAAAAAATACAACTGCATATTTTTACTATTGTAAACCAATAATTTTTATTTCTAGGAGTTGTTATAATGGGTCTTGTTATTTGTTTTTTAAAAATACCAGTTGAAAACTTTTTATCTAAATATATAGATATACAATTAATAATCAAAATATAAAGATTAAGATAATTTTTAATAGAGACAAATTATTTTTCGAAATAATATCGCTGTATTCTACTTTGTTTTTTTTACTAAAAAGAACTTTATTAATAGTAAAAAAAATTATTTTTTTTAAATCTAGTTTTGTATTTATTAAGAATGTTTTTCTGTTACATAGATTTTTATATATAGTTAGTATTTTTTTGATCACTAAAAAGTTGAGTTTTGATCACCAAATTTATTTTTAATTCAACGATCAATGGTAAATAGAAAGAAATACATTATTTAAAGCACATGGAACAGCCAAGGATGTGGGTGTGAGTGTTCTTTTTAAGCAACGGACACCGACACATTTAAAATAATTCCAACCTCACCAACAAATTGCATATCTTTTATTTCACAAACAATTCCTTTTACTTTTACTTTAATATGTGCACCGCCAACATAACTAAAATAGAATTTCTTGTTGAACAACTTGAATATAAAACTTCTATATCCTGCATAAACTTTAATACCTCCAATTCTAGGTGTCTGGAATAAAATATTCAAGATAAATACTATCTTTAGAAAAAAAACAGCATTCATACTGTTTCTCCAAGGTCAAGTTTTTCAAATGCAAAATCCGATAAAGCTGACGATGCTCCTCGAATTAATGGACTCAATATATTTATCAGCATATGGCCAAGCTTGTTCAAGCTATCGTATGCTGAAAGAACACTGATGATTCATTATCTGCCATCAGCTGTAAAATTCAAAAGACAAAATCACATATCAATATATATGATGTACTGATGTATAAATTTGAAACAAACAAAACTATAGTTAACTATTAATTTCACTAATGATGCATTTATTTCAACGATTAATTTCTTATTTCTCTGACATTTTTTTTATATCAATAATTAATTATCCGAAACAAAATATTATAATTTTCTACATATTACTTATATTTCATCTACATGAATATTTGTAAACATGTGCATAAAAAACATATATCTGTATTAATTGTGCTTCTACAATATATTTGACTATAGCATTTATTAATTATTAGTACAATATAAGATTTACTACAAACATATAGTTCACAACAAACAGGAATGAAAACATGACTAAATCATATAAATAACCGGTTAAATAGACAATGTATTTTTTTTTGTTCTCTTAAATGAAAAGGATAACAGCAAGAAATATTTTTTTTAAAACTACTGCATACGAGATGTATGTATATATATATGATCACGTGCATATCATATTCTAATTAAACAGCATTAAAAATCGCATAAATAATGTTAAGAATAAATAAGGAAAAAAGAAAGATTAAGCCCAGATTTTGCAAAAAATCAATTTTTCGCTGTTTGTATACATTCTGATCATTGATTGTTATCATATACATTAGATAAAAGGCTACAAGAATAAAAATAGACAAGTGTTAAAATTTGTTTTTATATCTTGCCTAAACATATATATATCAATAGAAAAAAAGAAAAAGGAGAAATTATATTTTTTTAGTTAACACACATTAAAAGAAAGAAACATTCTAAGATTCTATGTAAGACTGTTCACGAATACAGATATTTTTTTTCTCTCTTTCAAAAAAACAAAGAATGTTAACGCAAAGATAGGGAATAGAAGAAAAAAAGATAAACGAGACAATGTGATTAAACTAACTGCTGCACGCAGCAATAAAAATATTGAATATGGCAAGAATAAATAGAAGACAAATGACGCAATTGTCTATATAATCAAGTTTATGTTGTTTGTACTGATCGTTCGAGTCAATTCGCATAACGTACATCAGAATTACACCTAGAATATAAGGAAAAACAAATAAATCAAAAACTCAAACATACACTACTTAAGAAAATAAAAATACAAAACTATTTTAAGATTCAATTTACACATTTTCATGAAGAAAAACGAATACAAAACTCATTAAAATTGAAACATTATAATTAGAAAAATCATATCGAATAAAAATAAAAGAATTAATAATGCGGCTGGAGTTAAAAGAAGAATTCGTTCATAGCGTGTTAAATTTTCCAATGCTGATGATGATAATATCAATTGTTCAAGCCGTGTAAACAGAAATAAATATAATTGAATAATACCTAGAAACCGCGAAGGCAAGATAATAACGTCGACTACATTTACAATGAAACGAGGATGGAAAATATACGCAATGGATAGACATAGGACATATTAGAAATCGAAAATATGAAAGAAAGTACGATGGAGAAAAAACTTTTATTTTTCCTAATTTAAGATAACTTACCGATGCTAGCACACATAAGAATAGAGACAATGCCAAGTGTAACTTGAGTACCATAAAATGAATTTGCACTGCCTGAGCTTGGTTTGAGAACATGTTTTAGTTGTACACTGTTACTCATGATAATAATCTAACAAAATTGAAAAAAAAACATTCATAACTTTGCAATTTTCTTATCTATATGAATCCATAAAAATTCGTTTACAGATATTTGTGGTATTTATATAAAAACCACGAAATTCTGCGGTTTTAATGGAATTAATTCCCATCGAATATTTTATCTAATATATGCTAATATGATAATTATATGAATAATTTTTAATACGAAATTCGTGACAAACATGCAATATATTGATAAAATATTATTTTCATTTTGACAAATATTGATTCAGAAAGTTATACAGTTTTATATCCTTCTAGGTTTTTTTTTGTTGCTTACCAGAAGACACATGATAGTCATGGCTGTTTTTTTCAACGAATAAAATCGAGGATCTAATAAGACAACAGGTGCTTGCTACGAAATAAACATAAATATGAATAATTAGAAAATATAAAAACTTTTTATTTATCCTTACACTTTTGTCTTGAGGACGTAATGCCGTTGGTATAAATCGTTTAACATCGAATCGATGTTTCTCAGATTCGGATTCACCACGTTCTCGATCAATCATTGGTGCCTTTAAAATAAAATGAAATGCAATTCATAATGTGAAGCATAAGTATATGTATAATAATGTGAGAACACAACGATATAATGTTATAAATACATAGAAAAAAAATAGAATGAGAGAAAGACTCACCTGTGCCAATTCGATGCCGGGTTGGTCGTCTATCGACATTTTTTCTCTTTTTATCGTTATATAGTCGAGGTGTAACGAAGAACAAAACCGTCGCAATGACTTTTATCTATATAGTCGATCAATTTATCAATTAAAAACATTAAAATCATCTGTTTTTCTCGAGCTGTAACTATTCTCTTCTCTCTTTTTTTCCCCCTAACTACGTAAGCAAATAATCATAATACACGATAATAAAAAACAAAAATACCACAAGCAATAAATTGCATTGCGCTATTATTGTCTCTATTAAGAAAGTCTTCAATGACTTTCTTCTTCTTGCTAGCTCGATTATTCTTTGTGATCGATCACCAAATATCCATATCAGTATGATACTGATAGAGGAAGAGTATAAAAGGAAGCAGTATCATCGTGGTAAAGAATAATGTGAGGGAAAAATACGTGCAAATGTGCGCCATTTGTAAAGGACAATCGACAGGACAAAAAAAGAAGAAAAAAAAATATACATGTTATATATTGATGATTCTGTTTTTTTTTCATCTATGTACGTGAAATAGAATAAGCTACATTAAGATAGTAACGAGAAAATAAAATATCTTTGAAATATATAGGAACCATACATGCAAACATGTGCATTGAATGTATGTTGTTGCGCTTCGTCGAAATACCCTTACCCTATCTACCTATTAATACGCTCTTTTTTCTCTCTGTTTTTTTCTTTTTGTTTTTATTATTATTATTTCTCTTTCTTTTCTCATACACTAAAATCAAGTCACGAAAAGAATACCTAGACACCACCGTTTCTGTCTTTATGTATACATTATCCTAAGCTTCTTTTTTTTTTTTAATATTGACATTATTTTTGCTACTTTCATAGTGCACGAAAGTAAAAATAATAGACGAAATATGTTAGATTATTTGCATAAGTCCGCAATTGCTTCTTATAATTTATAAGTTTTCTTAGTTAAGATTTTGAAAATAGAAAGTAAAATAACAATGGAAAGTAGTTGTAAATAGAATGTAACTATATTTAACATTTATTTTTCTTTTACTATAACAAACACATCAACGAAATGCAAATTTACGATAAGATTTCTATTGAAAAGACAAATGATTGAATACACAAGATAATACATCTTCTTTTTTTCTTTTGTTTTTCGATAACAGCTGACATAACTTTGTATGCTGGCATTGATGCATACCAACATGATTAAGATGTACCATTCTTCTCTTTATTACTATCAAGTTAATGTCGAAAACAACGGTTTTTTCTTTCTTTGTATTCTTAAGTATTATAAAACACAAAAGAGAAAATCGCAATAAAAACGCGTTTACGATTACGATAATAAAATGAAAAAATAAAACGATGAAAAAAAACAAAGATTACTTACGGCATATTTGCTTTGTCGATCAATAATTTCATTTTCAGTTGTTGGATGTTTAGGCATGGATGGCATACTTATTGGAGAACCTGTTGTATTCATAGTTGTTGTGGTTGGATATTGTTCGTTTTGATCCATGTATAATGAAGCGTTTACTCTTGGACTTGTTGTATCGCGCCGATCTGCAAAGAATGAATAATTATCAGGATATAATGTATCGGGATAATAAATTTTTGTTAGAAGTTGCGAACGAGTAGCACGTTGATTTGTTGGTAGTAATGATGATATTATTTGATTTTCATCCTCCTCAATGACTGTTATATGATTGCTCATATTGTCAAATGAAGAGTATTTGTCAAATTAAAGAAATGAAATTTTTGCACGTGACGATATTTTTGTAGAAGAAGAAAAAAAACGAAAAAAACAGAAAATATTTCGCATGTGAGAACAGTCAACACAAACACATAAGTGGTAGTTGTTTCGTCTTTTTGTTTCTTGCCTTTTGTTTCTTTACTCAATGGATGTCGAAAAAAGATGCAGCAATATAATATATCATTTGATCATAACAATCGATAGAATTTCTCTCTATCATACATACTATATATTTATTCTCGCTTACTGATACAATTGCTGTTTTATATCAAGGCTATCGTGATCTTTCTTGATGACATCCAATAAGAAATAGGGAAAAAAAGTGTGTGACCCAAATAAAAAGAGAGACTGATCAGTTGATATTTGAGACTGATAAGTAAATAAAGTATGTGAATATATGTTGGTGAAATTGAATATTTCTTTGTATAAACGAACAATAACAAAAAAAGAAAACATTGTTTAAATATATTAGAAAGTGTGAAATAGTAAATTACTGATAAGAAATATAGATAATAATAGGATGATTTCTTTATTTAAATGTTAACTCAAAAAAAGCTATGTTTTAATACCGAACTCACTTTTATCAAATGTTTGAAATTTGACAATGCTTACAAAATTCTTGTTAGAAGGTGGTTCAGCCATAGAAAAAGATAAAGATCTTAGTCGATTAGTATCTGATCATGTAGTAAAGCGCGCATTTTCTCTTGTCAAAAGGTATCTATATAATTAAATATAACGACACAAAAAGGATTCGTAAAGTCGTCACATCTTTCGCTCGCTCTCTCTTTATATATATACATATATACATAGGTATGTATATGCGTGTGTCCTTTGAGAATTATCAATGTCGCGATTGACATTTACTGTATTAGATATTTTTCTCTATTGAAAAAGGAGGACTAGATTTGAATATGTTGTCATTATTACATTTAATCATTGTAATAGAGCAGCTTACCGTAGTATTTGTAATGTAATTTTTCTCGAATCGAGTGATAAATATCGATTGGATAGATAATTTTAAGCTATATAAAGAAAGATAGATTGATGAGTATTGCTTATAAAAATGTACGGAATACAATAAAAACTATTCTATGCTACATTGGTCTATATAATAGTATGAATGTTGTTTGTTATTTATTGTTTTTGACACCATATTACAGGCAATAATATGTCACAAGAATAAACGCAAAATGTGATCATTAATCTATATGAAGGAGGCAAACAAGATCTATATGCACTATTATCAACTAGTATTAATCTCGATATAACAGTATGGTACATCTTATAATCCAGAAATTGATTGACACCTATCGTCAAGCAATGCACCTGCTGTTTTATGTATCAATGGGTGATCTAGTATAATATATAGTATTTAGTTGTTTACTATATAGATTTCTTTTAAATCTGGAAATGAGTACAGTAAGATAAAAATTTACCTTCATCAAATGGAAACAACATGATTGATAAGATGAATGAAAATAAAATATATATATGTAATGTATGAATTCTACTGTCTTATGTACAGATCGATTGAATAAAAGAAAAGATTTAAACTTTAGTCTTACTGTAGACTGAGAATGAGAAAAAGATTAGAAGATGAATATAATTCATTCAAGCTTCTCTTTTTTTCTTTCTTGAATCGTACACAAAGAAGAAAGATAAATAGTAGTCTAATGAAGAATATGTAATCATTACTATTGTTTTGTTGAATGGTTATATTATATACAAAGTGCATAAAAAAGAACAAGAATCAGTCTACATTTATTAAATATATACATAGATGTGATTAATTGTTCAACTATTGTGATATTTATGTACTTTGTACTTCTCTTTGACATTAATCGATACAAATGATAGTAATATTCAAATTAGCGCTAGATCTCGCTTTGTTATGAACCTTTTATCAAATCTTTTAAAACTGTTGAAAAGATTTTTTTTTATAAAATAAAGATCAAAATATCTCTATTCGATTTGAAACCATAAACCCGAAAAACATATGCAAAAGTCAAACTATATCGCAAGCAATGCGATTGGCTACTATAAAAACCAATGTAAACAAAAGGAAGTAATATATTAGTTTTTTTGAGCGCGTTTGTCTGAGAGTGTTTTTTTGTTCAGAGATCATTTTTTTTTCTCGTCATTATTATTCAAAATAAAATATCGAATAGCGAATTTTAATGGCTTCAATTCTACGAGCAGTAACAAGTAGTTCAACACCAGGTGTCGATTCAACTAATCCAGCAAATGATATAGGCAAACGTTTAGCTAAATGGGCACTTGTTATTGGTGTACCGACAGCAGTTTGTGTTGCTGCTTATTTAGTTTATCGTCAACAACAAGATCAAGCTAAAAAATCAGCGACTAGACGTTCACCTCTACCTACACCATTGACAAGTATAACAGGAACAACAATTCCATCAACAAAAGCGGGTGGAGATGCACTTTCAACATCTGATAGTCGAACAAAAGTAACAATTAGATTAGTTTATTTTTATTAAATTAATATTTTCATCATATATTTATTTAGAATCGTTTAACTCTAGCAATTCAATTAAAAAATGAAGGAAATATAAAATATCGAGAAAATAAATTCAATGAAGCTATTATCGCTTATACTAGTAAGAATAAAATTTATATATTTAAATTGATATTATATTAATTATTTATTGTTTAGAAGCAATTGATGCTTGTCCATCTGAATCAAAGGAAGAACTTTCACAATTTTATCAAAATCGAGCAGCAGCATGGGAATCCTTAGTATGAATTAAATTCTATTTCTATCTTTTAATGCAATTTTTTTTATTCGAAAATAGAAAAATTATAGTAAAGTTATTGAAGATTGTTCACAAGCTATTGAACTTAATCCAAAATATATCAAATGTATTCAAAGACGTGCTCGTGCTGCTGAAAATATTGAGAATTTTCAATTAGCTCTCGAAGGTATATATTATTGAATTTCTTAAAAAAGAAAAAAACTAAATTTTGTCTTTTAAAGATTATTCAACAGTATGTTTTCTTGATTCATATCAACCAGCATATATTATGGCTGCTGATAAAGTTCTTACTAATCTTGCTAAACATTATATTGAAACAATGCCACCAGTAAGATAAATTCTCTTTGTTTGATTTTATTTATGTGTCTTTTTTTTGAAGAGTACTGCTGAATTATCAAAAGATTATGTTCGTACATCATTAAATGAATTCGAAGATGATCCAATATTCAATTCAACTATTATTAATGAAATTCGTACAGCTCAGCCAGATAGTCCATTAGCACGTGCATATCAAGCATATAATGAATCTCGTTTTACAGATATACCATCATTATGTACACAAGAAATTGAATTATCCATAAGTTCACCCTATAAATTACAAGCTTTATTACTTCGTGGTTCATTTTATTTACTTATGGGTAATTATAAAGAAGCATCAGCTGATTTTGATGCCGTTATTAATGATTCAAATGCTACAGAAAATGTTTGTATACATATAAATAATATCTTTTTTTGTTTATTTTTAAATAAAAATATTTAGATGAAAATCAATGCAGAATTAAAACGAGCTAATACAAAAATTCATCAACGTGATGTCGAAGGAGCAATGTATGAATATGATCAATGTATAAAAAATCATCCAAATGCATGTGGACCACGTGTTCATCGTGGCATGGTTTGTTTTCTTTTATTTTGATCAATATTCTTTCTTTATATATATGTATATATATTTAGTTAAAAACATTATTAGAAAGCTATTCTGAAGCTCATGATGATTTTAGTGAAGCATTGAATATTTCACCAATAAATCTTCGAGCTAAATATCAAAAATTAATCAACGATGCAAAAATAGGCAATAAAGAAAATAAACCCGATAAAGTTGAACAATCATTAGGAAGTTTTGAAGAATATTATGATTCATGTAAACATGATATTTATTATGCACTTGCATTAACATCTGTAAATAAATGAATAAATTTTAAAATCAAATAATCTTATTTGTATTTTTAGTGTTATTTGGATAATGATCGAAAAGATAAAGCACTTGAATATTTAAAAAAATTTGTTAAAGAAATTCCAAATAATCCAACATTATTAGCACTTAAAGCGTATGTTAATTTGTTTATTGTTGTTACATTCTATTTAATTTAAAATGTAATTTAGTAATTGTTTAATGGCAACAGATCCATCGAACAATGTTGAAGCTGAAAAATTATTTACACATGCTCTTGAAATTGATCCATCGAATGAAACTGTTCTAACAATGTTTGCTATATTTAAATGCAATCGGTAAAAACTTTTCTCTTCAACTTTTACATGTTTTTTTATATTTTAATTAAATAGAAATCAATTTGAAGAAGCAGCTAATTTATATGAACGTGCAATACAATGTAGTCGTGGTGAAGAAAAACTTATGCAATATGCTGCTCTACTTTATGCTATTCGTGCACAAGGAAGAGCTATGAAAAGACTTAGTCTCAATTTTCCAGGTGGATTTCCACAAGCCAATGGGCCGTTACCTAGTTGGATGGGTGGAATGAATTAAATATCAATTTTTATAGATCCAATGACTGTTATAGTATCTTGTTCTTTTTCTAAGTGTAGTCTTTTGTTTTAACAAAAAATTGTTCTTTCTTTTTCTCTTACATTATTTTTACATAAAATTAATGCTTTTAGGTAAGAGATTACAAGAAAGAATAATGGATGATTGTTTTATTTTCAGTAGTTGAACATAAGTCACGTAAAATATTGAGTTTATGATTAATATTGAACTTTATGTCTGACAGAATTCTAATCCTAATCTAAACGCTATTAGACTAATATAAAATATTATTAAAAAAAAAAGCTGAAGAGCAACAGTTCGAGGTCATTGGGTGAACAAAACAGTGCAGTCGATGAATCTTATCAACATAATTTCTAACAAATATTAAAGCAAAAAAACTCAAAACGTATGTCAATATTTTATATTATTCATGTATATGTTCAAAAGAAAATTTCTTTTCGATTACAGACTCATTCTTTTACATTAAAAATAGAATTGTTAGTACTTCATACATACTTCGTTTGACATTATTGAAATGTTTCCTATAGGAAAAAATTTTTTTTTCTATAGTTTATACTTAGTGACTTGGAAATTGACTTGTTTAATATTGTCAATGTCTAATTGTCCTTTTTTCGAATGTCTCGACCGATAATATATATTAATTTCCCGTTGAGTACATCTCATCAAAATTCGAAAATCAATATAAAAATTCTATTATAAGCAATCCCAATAGGCTTTTATTAATAATCTTGTAACAGAATTGACTAATATCAACTGTTTTTATTCAAGATTCAATTAATTGTTATAAACATAAAAAGATAGTTAGATGACAATCTTTTTTTCGTTAGTAAAAGAATCATTAGTTGATAATGAAACACATTTTTTTTTGTATTTTTTTTTGAGTTACTAAATAAAAAGTAAAATTAGTCGTGCGAGGTTATTTTTTTTACTCCATTAGCTTTCCTTTATATAATAAACTACTGGAAAAAACGTGCTTAAAACACTTTCACCATATAGTGTACTCTTCAGATTGAACTAGCATGCTCAGACATATATATATATATAAGAGAAAGAAAAGAAATCTGAATAAGACATGTTTCTAATAATAAATTTGTTCCACTAGTTTGATTTATTAGATCGTCTTCAAATGAATTTTTTTTTCATAAACATACTATATAGATATGCATGCGATATAATCTTATCAGAAATAGATTCGTCAGATCCATAATGCAATCATAATCAAATCTTTACTATATTTTGTATATATATTCTGATAAGAAAAAAAAAAGATTCTCTCACCTGCAGTCAGATTTTATATTTATAATAAGGAGAAGTTTATTGTTATCTTTAGCTTTCTTGAAAATTTTTCATGACAATAAGAAACAAGTATATATATCTAGATTAGGTTTGTCAGCTTCGGAAGAGTCAATAGTCATATATGCTTTTGTAGTAAGTTTCATTGATTTCCGTTCAAATAGAAACACGTCTACATGTCAATGTTTCTATCTATTTAATGGTCGATAAGCGGAAATGACACTATAACTGTGATGGACGGATGCACGCATCCAACTCAGTTGTTACATGCATAAAACGACATGTAAATACATGTGTATATGATGTATGCGTTAAGTCGATTGAATGAACTTATTATATCTCATGGGATGCTACAATAAGCAACAAATAATCGTAATAATCATAACAGTATTCTATTTCATTGGTTTGTCATAGGAAGAAAATGTTATCACTTATTGCCAGTGTCAGTTTTCTAGTAATTAGAAAAACTTGAAACATATCTAATGCTACTTTAGAGATTCAATAATTGTTAATAAGTATATATTACCATATAATTGTCTGAGCGAACAATACTGAAATATGAACAGCTGCAGAACCTATTTTATGTAAATGTTTTTATATACAATAAAATATATAATTCGATGTGACATACAACATCATTAATTAACAAACATTTGTTGATATTGTTATGTTTTGTTAAGATTATTTATTTGATAGACTTTTCCGGATGACTAGTAGATTTACGCTAACTCTCTCTCTCTTACTTTCTTTTTTTTTTCTTTTCATACACTGTTTCCGCTTTATTTTGCTTTTTTTGCTCATTCTTTCCTCCTTGGTGATTTTTCTTCTATTTTCTAATTTTGAAAAATACCCCGAGAACGTAAATTATGTTCATACGCTTTGCTCTTGCAATTCTAGTTGAAACATCAGGAATGAATCTTGCTTGCTCGTATCTTATGCTCTGCAACATGCAAAGAAATATGAGAAAAGGAGCAACAGAAGACGACGACGACGAAAGACGCAGAAGAAGAAGAGCCGGCTTGCGCTAACCTCGTCATCGCCCGCTGCGTCGTCTTTTGTGCTATTCTTTCATGTAACAGAGTCTAGTAGCCAGCTATCCTTTTCTTCCTGGTGTGACATAGTGAAGAAGAGAAGAGAGACAGAGAAAGCGAGAGATGAAAGGAGAAGAGAAGAGAAACGTAGAGTGACAAATGGGTGGCTAACAAATTTGTAGAGAACGGAATGCTACAAGAAACAACAATCATTTTTGTTATGATTATAATTTTGTTCGTTGTGTATATACAGCCATAGTGCTGCTGTCGCTCTCTTTCTCTGTCTCTTGTCATTACGATGTAGATGATGATGATGATGATGATAGTATTGATGATGTGATAGTGATCTTCTGCTAGAGTAGACGACTAAGTAGCTTGTAAATACGGGAGCATACTAAGCGGAAGAATCAGAGACGACAAAAAAAAAGTACTTTTTTTTAATCATCAACCAGTTGAACACCGAACAACAGTAAAAATGAGAATGACGGCAATCCACTGTGAAGAAAATGAATTAAAATAAAAATAGAAACTTTAATGACAATAGGTAAGTAACAGATAACGATAGAGATTTTTTTGTTTGTCTCATAGCTTATGGTTGAATAGCATCATTATTAGTAACATTCATCGTTTTTTTATCATTTTGTTTTGCTATATGTCAATAGTCGTATTGAAACAACATAAGATTTATACTTCTTTATATAAGGTCAACAGAGCAAAAAGATAAAATGAATATACATTATTCATTCTACTAATTACTTCCTTTTTTAAACTTTTTAGATTAGTCACTCTCGCGATTAGCTCATTATTTCTTCTTCTTTTTTTTTTTGTGTAGTACAATAGATGTAGAATAATATAATTTGCACATTGAAAAGTTAAAATAATTTTGATTACTTATTATGATTCGACGACAATACGTTTTGATCGTTTTATTTACGGTTATATTTCAAATATTTTTTTCTACAATAAATACACTTTCATTATATGAAGCAAAATCTAATGAATGGCCATCATCAACAACAACAACAATAACAACAACAACGAATCCAACAAATTCAACCGATAAATGTGAATCAGCATCGATTGATGAATTTCCACCATTATTTTTTACGGATGCACAATTGCGTCATGGTGGTATTCTTGTATATATTATTCTTATATTGTATTCATTTGCAGCAATTGAAATTGTTTGTGATGATTATTTTGCTTCAGCATTAGAACGAATAAGTTATAATTTTAACTTAACACCAGTTTGTATTTAAAGATAACAAAATATATACACACACATACAATTGTATGATTTATCTTTAATAATAGGATGTGGCTGGAGCGACTTTCATGGCATTGGCAACATCAGCTTCAGAATTTTTTACATCAATGGTTGGCGTCTTCTTTGTCAAATCGGATATTGCTTGTGAGTTAATGATTATTTTTATATCTTAGAACTCTTTCATTCCATGAACAGACATCAATAACTATATAATAAATATATATATAATTATAGGGTTAAATCAAACATATATCTTATATTTTATTTAAAATATAGACAACAAATAAGGAAACAGTAATGTTACTTTAATGAATATTATATAAAGAAGCAGCGGAAGAAAAAGAAAAGCTTTTTAGTTTTTAATATTATGTTATTGAAAACCTTTTTTTTTAATGCTTAATAATATTTTATTTCTCTTGTCTTCTAGTGGGCACTATTGTTGGTTCTGCAGTATTCAATATTCTTTTTGTCATTGCTTTATGTGCATTAATTTCAACAACTGTATGCGAAATTGATCCTTATCCAATTGTACGAGATGCAGGTTTTTATTGTATTGCTGTTGCAGTTCTTTATATAGTTATATATGATCAACGTGTTTTCTGGTATGAAGCACTCGGATTAGTTGCACTCTATTTTGTTTATGTGATTATATTGAAATTTAATGATCCTTTATCCCGTCTTATGCGTGGTAATTCAACAAAAAATAAAGGAAATATTTCAAATGAACAAAATCAAGAACAATTACGAGCATTAAATAATAATGTTGAATTAGAACAAAATTTATCAACACGTGCTCGATCAGTTTCAGAATCACTTATGATGAATTCGGGACCATATGCAACAGGAACTGATGATAATGATGATTTGAAACGACATGCACCCTATAAACCATGTAAGAAACGTCTTAATGAAACACCAAATAATCAAAATATAGTGGCTAATGCAACAGAAATATTTGATCCACTTAAATTACCAACAAAAAAATATAAAATTTTAAAATGGGTACTAATGTATCCAGTTCGTTTACTTATGCATATAACAATACCTGATTGTCGAAAAGAAGTTTTTCATAATTATTATATGCTTACATTTGTCATGTCAACTATTTGGGTAAGAAATATTTTATATATCGACAGAGAAAGAAAATAAATATTGAATTTATTTTAGGTGGCTGGTCTTGCTTATCTTCTTGTATGGCTTGTTGTCATTGTTGGTTTTACTTTAAATATTCGAGATAGTATTATGGGTTTAACAGTATTAGCATTTGGTTCATCAATTGAAGAAATTTTTTCAGCAGTTGTTATGACACGACGTGGTCATCCTGAAATGGCTATTTCAGGCTCAATCGGATCGAATGTTTTTGATATCTTAATGGGTTTAGGTATTCCATGGTTATTTCGAAATTTAATGCGTTTTACTCATCAACCACCACCACTTGAAACAGCATCACTTATGGGAGATCCATCTTTAGTAGTATTACCACAAAGTTCTTTAGATCCTGCTGCTAGTTTAAATAGTGATCTATCATTATCTACAAGTGATAATGGACCATTTTATGTTGAAATTCATTCACGAGGTTTAGTATACTCAACAGTTGTTCTTTTCAGTGCCCTTATTACATTTCTTATCACATTCTTTCTCAATCGATGTCGTTTAACAAAATTTTACGGAGTTTTTCTTATTGTTATATGGTTGTCCGTCATAATTCTCATGTGCCTATTCGAATTGAATGTTTTTGGCATCGTCCATCCTGAACCGTGTCGAAATAAACTTATTAAGACTGTTTAGATTGTTTATTTTGATGTTCGTATGTGTATTTATGTAAAGTAAAATTACAAAACAAAAAATACATTTATTTGTTTTCTTTCCAGCAATAAGATGATGTTGATGTATTATTTTCATTATTATTGCTATTCCCGTTATTGCCCTCATGATCTTCATAGAACTCCTGCAAAAAGAAAATAATTGAATTGAACATTAGTATATATATATGATGAGAAAAAGAACGTTACTTTTTTCCATATAGGAACATTTGCTTTGAGTTGCTCGATGAGAAAGGAAACAGCGTCCAATGCATCACGACGATGAGGTCCCGATACATAAATAGCAACGGATGCTTCACTAATGGACACATCACTAATATACCGAAATACAAAAGGAAAGTGTATATAAAAAAGAAGAGAAAAAAAACTTTTTAATCTCTTTTCATATCGGAAAATTATTCAACCTTACATTTTCAAAAATAGTAAGAAAAAAAATAATTCTATGAATAGATGCATTAAGTAATGGTTTATTTTCTTCGTTCGATCCATATATTCTTAATCTATCTTAGCTTATAAAGTATCATTAGTAGTAATTCTATATTTCTTTTTACTACTCTGTTTCTTTTCAAAAGAATAATAATCAAATACGAACCCTAAACGATGGCAGATGGCTATGTGTTTAATATCTCCAAATTGCCGTCGAGCATCATCGCATAAACGTTTAAGTTCTTGCAAAGCCATTGATTCATATGCTTCATAGAAAAGACGAGCTACTTGACGACCTTCAAAATTATCTCTTGTAATGCCTTTATACAAGAAAAATAAATAAATAAATAATTATTAGCGATAAATATATATCTAAAATTGATACAAACCAATAAACGATGCTACAGCACCACATGATGGAGCAATAACTTGTTTATAAAGCTCGTCTAATCTAATTGGTTCAGTTTGAAGATAAATGTAATTCATTTCTAACCACCACCAAACGGTGGAAGAAGTGCTATTTCGCTTTGTTGAGTAAATTCAATTAAATCACTCTCAAGTAGATACTGTTGATTAACAGCTACACGAAAAGAATTTGTAATCAAAAAAGTCTTCAAACTATATATATATGTAAAATAAACCAAAAATTCATCAAAAAAAAATCAATTAATTAAATATATTACATTGGACGATGTTCAATAATACGATCAAGAATCGTTTGTTGTGTGTAAGAAATCGAAGGATCAAAATCAATTTTTTCACTTGATATACCAACTAATTCACGTAACCGGCCAAAATAAATTATTGAGACCTTAAAAATCATATATATTTTATTATATTCTTTTCTATATAATTAACAGCAGCAAATAATCATTTAGCGTTAACTACTTTTTCCTAACCTGTATAGATGACATATCATTATTGAATTTAATCTGGAATTCAAATTCTATTCAATAGAATATAAGAATTTTATTTTATCATAACAATTATCTTCTAATTATTATATTATGCATATAAATAAAAACAAACTCAAGTTAAATAATCAATACAAGAAAAAAAATAGAAGAAATTTGTAATGTTTCGGTCGATTTGTTCAATCATGTCGATTAGTTCTTGTAATATACTATTTGGACGGAATAAAATAAAAATAAAATAAAAAAATTATGTCTATATCTATATTTTGTTTTGTCAAAAATCAAATAATTCGTGATATTTGCTTGTAAGATGATGTACGTTGATGATTATTTGTAAATATTAATCTATTCGTAATATACTGTTGTAATCTTATTAATAAATGACATGGATTTCTACTTCTTAAATATGTCCACCAATTGGAAAAATAATCCGATAAAGTAAACGGTGGACAACCACCTAAACAATAGCAAATAAAAATAAATCTATAGAATAAAATATTTACCATTTATATAAAGAGCAAAACAATAACCATCGAAATTTTCACCGTTTATACAATAATAATATGGTAAATGTACACGATACTGAAAACTGTTTGTTTCATAAAATTGTATAGCTTGTTTATTTGAAAATAAAACATGTAAATAAACAGCTTTGCATGTTCCACGTTTATATAATGTATTTAATAATTGTTGTAAAAGAATTCCAGCTAAACCTTGTCGTCGATATTCTTTAACAACACCTAATATAAGTATATAACAAACAGGTGTTGTTAATGAAAATGATTTATGTAGAATTTGTTGATCTTCATGATTACAATTGCCTAATGGAACTATATCGGCAATAACTAAACCAACAATTCGTTGTGTGCCTGTTTCACATGCAGCTAAAGCAAAATATTTTGTATCATGTACTATATCATCATACCATTTATCAGGATATTCAATTGGAAACCAATCACAACAAAGAGATTTTACTTCTGATTGATCTCCAGGACGTAAAAAACGAAATGATATGGAAATATTACTATTAGATAAAACGTGAAATTCTTTCGTGGATGCTATATCAAATGAATATAAATTTATTGTTGTTGATTGAGATGATGATGATGGTGATGATGTTTGCATACGATATTTTAGATGTTGATTATTATCAGATTGATTTTCTATGCACTCTTGTGTGACTAAATCAAAGAGAAAACAACTATTAAACAATTATGTTGAATTAAACACTTAATTCACAAATAATATAATATATTTTTATCTGATTGAACATGAAAACTATATAATGCTAATCTTTTCTTTTAATTGAGAGATTTAATTATTTGGATACCATAATAATGCAGATATTAAAAACTAAAGAGATTATATAATGTTTTTTTTAATACGGTTTATTATAATATTGAAATAAGGTATCTATATAGTTTTATTTCTACGCCGGAAGGTAGGTTATCATAAATGAAACTTTTCTAATCTATATTTAATTGCATAAAAATCGTTCTTTAATATCTATGCAAAGTCTTTAATACGATAATACTCGTATTAGTTATTTTTATAAGAAGATAATAACTCTACTCATTAGTTTTTCTATAAGCGATACTTAAATATTATATAATGTAACGTATTAATATTTAACATAAAACGACTTACGCGACAGTTTTATATCTTCTTATAAAACGAAGATAAGTCGTCGATAGTCATCTGAAATAGAGAGATAGAAAAAAACATAAGAAACTTTTATTTTCCTAATTTATCCAAATAGTTTAATAAACAGTTTAATGTACAAGCAAAAAAAAAAGTGACTGATTTGAAAAATAATATCTGACTAATTGTTATGGAGTTTCATCATCACTGGTACTCGATCATCTGAAAAGAATCTTAAGGTCATTATAGTATTTAAAGATTGCATTTCATGACCAAATTGTTTTAAACGTTCATTAAAATCTATTTGTAATTTTTGCTTGTCCAGATCAGTTTTACAATTGCTACGTCTCGTCATTAATTCTGTTGCAGTCACACCAATACGTTGACTAAGAAAATCCGATGCTAAACGTACTTGTATACAATCACTACCATCATTAATATAAGCTCGTAAATCAAATTCATTTTTAACTATACGTGGATTTGAAATTAATGATGAAAAACATCCTTTTACAATAAAATCTTGATAATCTGTGATTGAAGATATTTTTTCACGACGAATGATAGATATATATGTATAAGGTAAAGATACTTTAATAATCACTGGTGGAGGTGGTGGTAGTGGTGGTGATGGTAATGGAACAGGAGAATATTGATGATAGGCGAATAATGAAGATGATGGAACATTATTTATTTGTGATAAATGACTATCATCATCATCTGAAATCAATATTAAATGTTCTGGTTCATTCTTTGGTGATGGAATTCGATTGTAAGTAGTTGTCGTAGTAGTAATAGAAGTAGTAGTTAATTGAGTAGTATTGTACGATGAAGGAGCAGGATTATAATCCATAGGATCTCTTGTTAGATGACTATCATTAAGCATACCATCATCATATGCTTGACGAATTAATTCATCCATTTCATCTTCATCTCGATAAGTACTCTAAAGAATATGATATAAAAATTCAATAGTTTAAGAATTAATTAAACTAACAGTTTGATTTGTTTGTATAGTAGGTACTACATTTGTTGAATCGTTTGCAATAGCTTGTATATGAAGTTTTATATTTAATCGATCGAATCGTACTCGACTTTCATCTAATTTCGCTGCTGTTTTTGATCTAAATATATTATTGAATCAATAAATAAATAAATAATCTTTTTATATCTCAAAATGTATTAAACTTACAATGAAACCAATGCTGTTTCCATTGATGCATTTTTCTCAAGTAAATTTTCAGCATAACCACCAAGTATTTGTGTATTTTTCGATGTTAAAAGTAGCATTCCTCGACGGAAAAGAACTGGACCAGTTACAAGAATCTATTAAACGAATGATTAGCTTATGAAAAAAAAAACATGTTGTAAATAACAATAATAGTACTTTTGCACCGGGTAATGTTGTATCTCGATCAAGACCATTAATTGCTTCATATTCTAATCCTCGGAGAATTGTTTTACCATCAGTTAAGTCCAAATAGAGAACACGTTTTGCTGATGGTGGCTAAAGAAATCATCATCAAAGTTTTTGTTTTCTATTCATTACAAACTGACAAGAAGAAAAAAAACACTCACTCACTCACTTTCCATTGTTGAGTTTCAGTTATATCATTATCAATTCGTTCATTATCATTTTGATCACCATGTATATCCAAAACTTGACTATAATAAGGTTCCGATATGCATATAATACTATTGATCTATATGAAAAAAAATCATAAATGTTATGATAAACATATTATCAAAGAAAAAGAATTTAATAGCTATTTTTCAAGTGGAACAGAGATAATTAGATTAACTAATACATCATATCTACATAAAATACAAGATTCCACGAGGCTCAGAATGGCAATAGTATAGAATGAATAAAATCTAAAAACAATTACTTGTAATGCATATTTTCCACTTAATTGCACTTTTTTTGCATTTAAATCAAGATCATTCGGTAACGAATATGCATCAGCAATGAGAGCAATATCTGTATGAAGCCATTGATTATAAATTTTTTCAAGTGTATAATTATTAGTTAAATCAGCTAATTGATATTGATCACGTAACCAAACGATACATGCTTGAAGCCATGTTGATTGTACATCGAATGAATATTTTGAACGAAAAGCACGACGTATATTATCAATGGCATTCATTATACTAAAATATTTGGAAATAAAACAAAAATAATAATAATAATAATAAGATTTGATTTTTCTTAAGAAAAATTTATATTGATAAATTTATTCTTTATCTATTTATTTGTTGAATATATTTGAATATACAAAGAAAAAACAAACGATTGAAAGCGAATTAAAAGCAATAAAAAGAAAAAAACAAATCCGCTTTCAACGTTTCATTACTGTTTAATACATTTCTAGACAACGAAAAAAAAATATATTCTCATGTTAAATAATCGTGATAGAACATATATGTGACTATAATTGTACGAATGAAAAGCATTATTTTATAAATTGCAAACATCTGACAAAAAGAAAAAAAAAAGGTAACATAAATTTTGTTCAATGTAATTTAACAAGCTGGACGGTGTTCACCATAGATAGCTAAGCGTTCAGGTTCATCTATAAGATCATCATCATGATCATGCGTATGACCATGAAATAATCCAATACCTGCACTCATTTCTCCTCGAGTTGTTAAATTATCATGATCTATTGCTAGTGGTTGATTAAAATTATTCAATGCTAATAATACAGAATTATCAGCTGCATCAAGTCGACCAATACCTGATGCATTGGCTGCAACTGTTGATGCCGTATGTCCAACATAAGGTACACGATCCATTGAAGTCATCAATGTTATTGATTCAACAAGTGATTCATCATCTTCGGCTATTGTTGATATATGATTTCGACGTAAATATGACATTGATGACGATGAATAATGTTGTGCATCATAAAGTTGATGTTGTTGTTGCTGTTGATATAAATAATTTGATGGCATTGGATGACCAGTTGTAACACCACAATAATCACGTAAAGAATTTACTTGTGTAGTAAGCATATTCATACCGGCACGCATTAAATTACCTGGATTACGTATTGATGATAATGTTTGTACACGCATAGTATTTAAACGTTGTTGACTGGTTTCACGAAACGAATGAAGATATGCGGCTGAACTAAAATAATAATTAATTTAAAATTTTCTTTTTTTTAGTCTTAAATAATAATAATAACTTACGTTTCTGCAGCCTGTCGAATCGTTCCACCAGCATGTTGCACACCATAATTAAATAATTCTGTTGCGCGGGCCTTTGTTTGTCCCATATGTTCACTAACTTGTTGAACACCCGTTCGAAGTCTATCACGTACTTGCTCAAGTGTTTCACTAATATTTGCTGCTGCTAATGATAACCATTGATTAAGTTCAAAATTAGGTGGAGTACGTGCAGCACTATTTGGTGCCATAGTTGGATAAACTGGAGGTGTTTTCAAATGATCAACACTATGATATGTACGTTTTAATGTAACACATAATGCACCTGCAACAAGTGCCATAAAAAATCCAAAACTCATTGTATATATAATTTGCCATAAAGCACGATTTTGTACATAGATTTCAATATTAAAATTAAATTCATATGTATATATACCAAGCATATTTATACCAGAACATGATATACGATGTTGTAGAGCAGCACGTGCTTTTGTTACAGATAATCGATTTCCACTAAATGCATGTAATGTATGTTGTGTACGAGCTGTGAATGGACCAGCTAAAGCTGTCAGTGTAACATAAATTGGTTCATCATTATTATTAGATGATAATAAATCAATACTAGTTGAATTTATTGATGTTAAATTACCAAAAGGTGTTGACCAAATAATTACAGGTGGTGGTTGAGCACTTATCGGACAGATTAGAATGAATGTTGAAAAACGGAAATATGATGGAAGTGACGCATCAGATAGGCGAGAGTTATAATATGGTGCCATACAATTATTACTTTCACCCTAAAAAAAACAACATAATATTTTCTAGGTAAAATTAGATCTGTCTTTTTGACTTACAATTTTTTGTTTAATACTTGTTGCTTTTTCACATATAATTCTATATGAATCCAATGTACATTGACAATCGAGTGGATTATAATCTAATTTAATATTTCTATTCAATAATAATTCTGGTAAAATCCGTTTTAATTGATTATTTCTTAAATCAATTTCAATTAAATTTTTTAAATTTGAAAAAAGTCGAGCATCAATAATATTTAAACGATTATTGGCCAATGAAATTTTCTCAAGTGAATTTGGTAAAATAATTGTATCGATATTAAATTGTTCTATATTATTTGATTCAAGTATTAATTGACGAAGATTGGATATATCACGATTTTTTGATGTTAAAATTATTGTTTGAAATTGATTATTACTTGCATTTAATAAATGAAGTGTTGATGGGTAATTATCAATTTTAAATTTAACTAATTTATAATTAGTTAAAAAGAAATTTTCAAATTGTTGATGATTTAAAATTGTTTGATAAGTTAAATTCTTCGATTTATATTGACCATCACATATCCATGTTGAAGATATTTTTGAATAACATTGACTATGAACAATAGTTGGAATGATGATGAGATAGGAAATAAAAAGATGAAAAATCATCTGAAAACAAAAGAAAAAACAAAACTATTTAAACAGATTTAATTGTTATCAATTCAAGTTTTATTTTCAATAGAAGTTCATCAAATTGTATTCGTAAACTTTTAATAGTTTCAATTTGTTGTTCTTCATTTATTTCATCAGGAGCTTTCAATTGATTTATAGTTAATTGAAATTCATTATCAAATTGTTGAAGTTCTTTAACTAATGGTGAATTTTCCAACCGTAAACGTTCTTTTTCATAATTATAATCATAAACAAGTGATGCTATTAAAGAATAGGCACGTATAAAACCATCTTCAAATGCATCTTGTTCACTTGATTCAGAACCTTCACGAAAACCATCTTTGAAACGAATTGTTTCAATTATTCGAGCATCATGTCGAGCTACAGATAAATCATCGCCTGTTTCATCAAATATATCGTCCATATCTGAAGATAACAGATAATAATATATAAATTATAAATGCATTGAAAATTTTCAGGTAAATTTAAAAAAATAAATTCATTCATACAATCTATTTTCAATACAGAATTCTATTTATCAGATCTTTTTTTCACTAGTAGAAAAAATAAATATCATTTGTATTATTAATTTAAGAAAAATAATCTTGTAAAAATAACTTCGCCATATTTGATAATCTAATATCTTTTGATTGTGAATATTTTTCTAAACATTGACGTATTTCAATTCTTTGTATTAATTCATTTTTTATTTGTTCATTATAATCACATAGGGACATTAATGTTAACATTGAATTAATAACAATATCAAATCGATTTGAAAACAAATATTTTATTAAACATATTAAAATTGTTGGATTTTTTTCTAGAATTAATTGATTATTTATTTTATCTGCACTCATATTACATAAACCAGCTAATGCATAATGAACGAAATCATCATCTGTATGCATTTGTAAACAATCAAGAAATAAATCAATTATATTTAATTGTCGAAGATAAATATAATTTATTGGATCATATGAAAAATTAGCAAAATTTGCAAGTAATTGAAGTTTATTTTCATTATTTGTTGATATATGTTCATATTCATTTAATAATTGTTTTAAATATTCCAAACGTTTAACACCAAAAGGACCTGTTCGACGTTGTAAAGATTTCGGTGTACTAAACATCTAGAGATATAGAGATATATATTAAGTTTCATTACAATCTGTTAATACTGATGATAATTTAATAAACTGAAACATATCATAATTATGAGAATATATTTGATTACAAAAAAAACACATTATTGAGATTATTTTATTGCAAAAAAAATTGTCACACAAAAAAAGGTAAAGAAAAAAAAATATTTGCAGCACCGTTGACATCTGACAAATGCTGAATAATAAATAATAAATATATATAGTTATACTTCAACAGGTGATGAAGATGTCGTTATATCATTGTCATGATTATTGCTGCATATTATCGCCGGATCCATGCATGAAAGATGTCGACAAGGAGATGTTTTCATTAACATAACTAGATATAATATATATAGTGTGTGGAACATTTGTCCATAATAAAGAGAATTTTGAACTTTAATTGTTGTTTTTTTCTCTTGTGGTTATCTCACCTGAATTATGTGTATCAGAAAATAATGAATGAGAAGGTGATTGAAGTGGAGCATTGTTTTTATCAACAAAACCAAATGTTGTTACAGTATTTTGTCGTAGTGTTGTTAATGATGAATCACCACTACGATGTTCAGCACTTGTTTGATCTGAGACAGTTTCATAATCTTCAGCTTCTTCATCGAGTGTCAATTGAGATATACCTATACAAAGAAATATGTATCAATAATTCAAATCTAGGATCATGATAATATATGATAAAGGACAAAAAAAACCTCTTGAAATTTATCAGATATCATATTTATATAGACTAAAGGTATAGCAAAGAGATAACATTTTTTTCTTCGTTATCAGCAAGAACATATTTACTAAACAAGAGTAGTCCAGATACTTTCTATATAACATACCTTGTGCATAAAAATCTCCGAAAATATAATAACACTGTTCAGAAAATGTTAATTTATGAACTGTATGTCGAATATAACCAGCTTTAAGCATTGATGATGCATATTTTCTTGCATCATTTCGATTAACAAATCCATCGACATATTCGAACAACCAATTAACCAAATCAGATCCTATAAAAATATTATTTATTAAATAAATTAATAAAAACAAAAGATAATGAATTTTTTTTCTAACCAAGAAAAGATTTCGGAATAGGTATTTTAAGCCAAATACGATCACGTATATCAAGACCAGAATCAGGTTCAGCCATGGCTCGTACAATTGTATCCATATCCGAATTAACAGTTAAATTAAGATCAAGACCAAAACCTATTTTTTGTTTTCGAAAATAATAAAAAAAGAAATAATAATTAAATTCTTACGCTCATGATCAGTCATTGTATTACTGGTAGTCGATATAGTTGAATTAACATTTGCTGTAGAATTAATTAATGATTGTCTATGATTTGGTGGATGATGAAGTAATAAATGATGTTGAGGATTATTATATGTATTTTGTACAGCTTGTGTATGTGCAAGCCATGATAATGGATCTACAGGACGTGCTTGTTCATGACGAGGTAATGTAAAATAACCGCGTGGTGTTGGATCCCAACATTTAGCAACAACTAGTTTTATAGGACTATAAAAATAATTAAAAATGAATAAATATTCAGCAACAAATATATAAATATACCCAGGTTTTTGTACAGTTTCGCGAAGAATTTTAACTGCATCATCATTAGATAATCCTTCAAAACTTATATCATTCACTTGAAGAATCATATCTCCAGGTTCAATACGACCATCTTGTGCTACAGCTCCGCTAGAAATACAATTTATATATATATTTTATAAGTCAATAATTTATTTCATCAATAATATTACCCTTTCATTATTGATCCAATATAAATTCCTCCATCACTTCCACCTGTTCTATCACTTTGACCAACAATACTAATACCCAAAAAATTAACTGCATCTAAACGTAAATAAATAATACATTATCTACTTTCAATAATATATATATACATACCTAAATTAAGTGTTACAGTTATGATATTTAATGTCATTGTTGATTCTGAATTAAGACTACTGAACGATGAAGTCTAAATTAATACAAAAAATATATAACAAACAAATAAGTTTAGAAAAATTACTCGATCAAATCCTGGTGGTAATCGATGTTTTTTTGGTCGACGAGGACGATTACGACCATGATATCTTGATGAAACTGCTGTTGAATCCGTAACTGTTGAATATCTAATAAAAATTTTATTTATCAAAAACAAAATTTCTTTCATTAAATCTAAACAAACCTATCATCTTCAGTTTCATCTAAAAATGTTGTTGATTCTAAATCGCTACTGGGAAATGATGCTATGTCATCATTAATTACTCGTTGTTGTTGTGATTGTGGTTTAAAATATTTTTCGTGATCAGCACTATTTCCTGATGCATAACGTCGACTTGTACGTTGTAAACGCGGCTGTTGAATAGCAAATGAACTACTTGTTGTTGATGTTGCTATTGTATCATCCCGATCATAATGATGATGATGTTTAGATTGTTTACTGCCTCCTCCTCCGCCACCACTAGATGTTGTACTACCTTCAATTGAGACAAGATAAGCGAGAATACGATCTGTTGTATCAAACGGTAAAATTTGTTCGTCATTAGTTATTTCTTCTTTAACTTTTCCAATCGAAGGATCATTTGTTGCAAAGAAAAATTTATATTTTGTACAATTACGATCAAGAGCATTTTTAAAATCTTTTAAACGTGGTGAACTAGATAAATTTAATTTTGTTAAATAAGGAGGATCTTGGTCATCGATATAATAAAAGATTTTGATTTCGGAATTGGTTGGAGTTGAACTTGATGGTGGAAGTTGAGGAGAAGGAGGAGATGGGGATGTTTGTTCAACGGGTAAGTTACCCGCATCGTCACTCATTTCATAAGTTTAATATCTGTATAATTTAATACGCATTCTGAAAATATTATAAAAATATATTTTTTTTTATTATCAAAAATGAATTTTAAATAGTTTGGATTTTCGAGATCAGACCTAATACACAACACTAAATAATCAAATGACCAACGAACAATGAACGAGGATGTTATCGGTACAACTAATAACTAATGGCGAATTAGAAATATTACTTCTAGTAGATAGGTGGCGTTGGTAATCAAGCCTCTATAATTGTAACGATTCAATATGTGTTGTTATTATTATTGATGCAGATATTGCCATTATTATCATAATAGGATGCATCGAAAATATTTTGTTGCTTGGATATTATTGTTATCTATTATCTTGAAAAGTCACTTACCATGATTAATCTTCAATAACATAAATACTATACATAGAAAAATGTACTTATCTTATCGGAATTTTTCAACATCGTATAGATATTAACAAATGTAAGTCATTATATGATAACTTGTTGTTGTAACTTTCGAATATACATGATTATTATTATAGGAATATCTATATTGTCTGTTTTCAATGTTTGAATGTAATTCTAAAGCATAGTGATACTTTTGTTAATGCTCATAAACTATACAAAAGATTGGTTGAATTCAATAAAATTAATGATCAAAAATGAATGAACCAATATAACAATACGGTTACATTAAAAATATATTATGGTTCTATGGTTTTGAAATACGTCTGACATATTATATAATATAATTCATTGATACATAGCATGTTACATAAAAATTTATAAATCGATCAACAGTTATAACTACATATGTCTCAATGGAATAATCGTCCAATATTGAGAATGAATAGTTGTAGTTCAATACGATATGTTTCTTGTTATATATAATCAATAAGTAATAAAATTTTGTTCAAAAATGATCGTATAATATAATATTCTTTTCTGTTGACATTCAACTAATAAAAATAAACACGAAAAAATGTGATGAATGTCTCACATTGTAAGGATAGTGTTTATTTAAAATGTACAATCTATCGTTACGATCAATGCTGAATTCAGTTGATTGGCCATTCCATTTATTTAACACCCGAAAAAAATATATTCACACATTGTCGGAAAAAATGATTGTCGATTATATTGTTATATATTACAGTTGAATAAAATCTATTTCAATGTAAAAGATTAACTGATCCATAGGAATTTGTATTCATATGAAAATTAGCAATACGGTGAAAACTTTATATATATGATCTTAGAAAAATTGAGTTTACTAATAATTACTAATAAACAATGGATATTCGGCTATGAATACACGAATTATGTTAAATCTCTAAGGGTAATTACCAATTAGATATTCAATATGTACGCTTCCTAAGAATTCTTTTTCCTTCCCGGTTCTTCTCAAATTGATTAACTAATGCATATGATATATATCATGTTTTTACATAATTTACAGTAGACTTACAACAGATTTTAATGACTATATACGACATACAAATACAAATAAATGGGAAAGTATAGGAGCTTTAAAATGACAATACATATAATTATAAGGATATGATAGTTTATATTCAAGGTAATGTTTGTGGTCTAGTTGTAGTTTGTGGTTCAACTCTTCGATTATTTTTCTTGCACATGATTATTCCAATACATTCTTGTCGAAATTCATTGAATGTTGCCAAATATAATGGAAATGAAAGTGCATAATATGAATACATAAGACAATCGAGGAAATGTAAAAGAGTTTGATTTGATGAAGCAAAAAATGCAAAAGCTACACTTGATGGTACAGTCATAATTAAAAAGAGAAATGTTGTAATAACTAAAGTAATTGAAATTGCTCGATGTTGTATCTGTGAATTTCGAACAGTTGTTGTACGACGAAGACGAATTAAATGATGAATTACACCACTATTGAATATAACCATTAATATAAATGGTAAAAAATTAGAAACACCTAAAGTAACATAATCCCATAATGGATAGATTGTATATAACCAAGAGAGATAACTTATTGTACCATTGACTCTATAATAGCAAACAAAGAGAAGAATATGAAAATTTAGCAGCAAAAAAATGCTTATAATGCATGCAATGATAATCAGAACACTTTTTGATTTACTAAACCATGTTTTATGTAGACGACTTAATGATAAATATCTATCAAGACAAATAAAAACCCGAAGCCAAGCTGATGATTGAGCAGCGAAAAAGCTGATAAAAGATATAAATCTACATGATATTATGGAATAGGTTAAGATATGAAATTGATATATAGTTGACAGATAATGGTCAAGATTCCATCCATATAACATGAGAATATCAAAGACAGCCATTGTTCGCATATAATGAAGTGTTGGTCTTGCTTTAGTATCTCGAAATTTTGCTCGACAAAGTATAACAAATGTCATAACATTAAATGAAGTACCAATTATAATTAAAGTCATGGAATAATAAGCAACAATCAGAGATTCCGTGGATGGGCTAGTTGTTGTTGTGGTATTGTTCGACATTATGCTGGTGAGTTATTATTTGTAAAAGTTAGTTTATTAGAGTTACCTGTAGATCTGAAAAAAATCAAATATGAAAAGCCGATTAAGCTAAAACTGGATTCTTCAACCTTAGGATATTCGTCTGCTTATATCATTCCTATAATTTTACATAAAATCATAATAACTAGTACAACTATTATTGTGTTATTATTTTAACTCTTAAGTTTAATAATTTGATATAATATAGTTTTACTAAATCTAGTTTCTTGTTTAACTTGTTGTGAGATTCCAGCCGACAATATTTATAATTGTTTCAGTAGATATTTTTCTGCTCTTGATAATGCATACTTTATTTATTGAGATGTACCTCAAATAATTAACTCTTTGAAGATGGGTGACACTTATCATGCGTCGTCGTTTCTGAATTTGTTGAAATCACAAGATGCAACTATCTATTTTGTTATTCTGCTTCATATTACTGTAAACTTACAGAACGTATTATATACATATTTGTGATACATCTCAAACAGGAAATGAAGTTAATTAAAAATTAATAGTTAATTATTTCAAAAAATTTCTTTTTGCTCTAATTATTTTTTAAAAACACAAGTCCGTCGCCTAAAGGTTAAGTTTATAATTGATTATGTATAGAATTGTCTAACAATATATAAAACCGAAATTTATATGTAAATTTAAAGTTCAAAAATAACTTTTGTTTCTAATAAAACAATTAATAATATTTCATTTAAGAGAAAAATAGATATTATACTTTTTAGTAACTGATTACCAACAATATAGTTTAAAAATAAAAACTAATAGAAATTATCATCAATGCTAATGTATTAATCGAAATCAAAGTTTTCTTTTATTTCCTTATCAATGATTGTTTTTATGTTTTATATACCGAAAGGCAGAATTAACACGTCAATAGTGCTGAATATATCTATATTTATATATTATTATAGTAAAATATGCTCGTCGAAAGCCATTAGATATAATCAAATTTCATAGAAAGAATACTGTCTAATATCGAGAGGCAGTAACTCATCCATTACAACAATACATGTTTATATTTGTTACATGCAAATTTATTATAAGAAATATTTTTCTTATAGATACTAATAAGAGCAAGTGTAAAATTTTATTAATATAAATTCAGAAATGAAAATATCAACTGAAAGATAATCTCAACTATGAATAAATTCTTACGTATTACATGACTTATTAAATAATCTGTTAGATTTTTAAAACGATTGAAAGAATATGTAAAGTAAAGATACTTAAATCAGTAGAAGTATATAAAAAGCTATCATTAAACTTTCGTTGAAGTTCTGTGACAATAACATAAAATATCTGTAGTTTATGACTATATTTACTATTATGATTTAATATCACTAATGTTTTTTTTCGGTATTTATGCAATAAATATAATGGTAGATTTTATTATTAAGCTACATCAAATAAACACGTCGATTTAAGAAAGAAAGACTCCTCAATTGTTCATAAGTTCAAAGACGAAAATCATTATTTTCAAAGACTTTTGCAAACAATTACATGTCTAATTATAATAATAATTAAAGTATATATAAATACTTCTTTCTTACTCCTACACGATTTGACCTTTATCATAAAAACTCTTGATATAAACGCGTGTAGTGTCTTTTATTAAGAATGACCTGAAACTTGAATAATTTAACCAGTAATATCAATTGTAAAGATTTTCATTGAAATTTTTTTAGCAAAAATATATAAATTGTTTACTTATTCACTTGCCTGCCTGTTTTGTACTAGCACATTTGCCTTAGAGAAATGCGAATAAAGTAAACGTTTTCAATTTTATTTTTGCTACTGCTCATAACTCAATTATTCTAGTAGCTATTAAGCATTTTTTATATCATGATATATAGAATAGTATGGCCTTTCGTATGGTATAAAAATAAATATTTTATGATGTAAAATGTTTGAGACAACAGCATCACAATGCACACTTATAAAAATTGCGTTCATTTTGAGAGCATTGGCTATATCCATGAAAAATAATTAGAATATTATACTAAATTGGCACGAATCTTTTGTTCCATCACAAGACCATTTTATAATTAAAAACTACTTCAATTAATGAAAGTTCTGTATAATCATATAACTTTTGCTTGTAATTCTCTACCTTTGAAGTAGGATCACTTTAGAATAGAAACAAAAATTATCATTATATTATGCATAAAAAAAAAGACTTTTCTTTTGAAAATCTTGTCATTATCTATGCGCGGATTGAATATTATTGATAAGAACTATGATATATAACTTTACTTCTATTAATTTGCGTGTTTACTCATTCACCTGTGTTTTTCTGGTTGATTACGATAGAATTAAAACTACTACTGCTTGAGAAAATATCCTATTCTTGTCAATTAGTAGTATTCAAACATCAGATAATAGTAACATATTATATTTTATACTTATGGAATCATTGATTCCTCCCTATTATTCTTTAACATTAGTCGTAGTTGGTACTATATTCAATTTTTTAACGTTTATTATTCTATGTCGATTAACATGTAGAAATATAAACGTACGATCAACTGTTCATTATATGCGTGTAATAGCAATCTTCGATATATTAATGTTATATGGATGGAATCTTGATCATTATCTTTCTGCAATTCATGGTTTTACTATTCAAAAATCATCAATACCTTCATGTCGACTATTATCTTTTCTTAACTATTTTGCTGCTCAATCATCTGCTTGGTTACGTGTATTTGCTTGTCTTGACAGATACTTAGCATTGAGTTGTTCACATCGGATATGGTTGTGTTATTCAAAAAATGTTCTTATCATCATTCTAAGTACAATTTCAATTATTACACTACTTAATCTACATTTTATTATATGTGGTTGTTCTTATCGATTAAATGGTTCGATCAGTGTTCAGTCTTGGCTATTTCAAACCTATCCGTTATGGGATTATGTAAATTTAGGTGTTTATAATTGTGTACCATTTATATTAATGATTACACTCGATGTTGGTGTGATCTATCACCTATTTCATCTTCGTCATATTAATATTTTTCGAAATTTATCCATTCAACACCGACCTATCTCCACTACATTACTCATAACAACATTTCTTTTTTTAATTATGACTGTACCATCAACTGTCGCCTTTGCATTTTTTTCTACAGCAGATTCAACTCTTCTATATTGTTTAGATGGCCTCCTTTATTCATATCATATACTATCATTTCCAATATATATGATTACATTAGCTGCTTTTCGACGAAGATGTATTAAAATGATTAAATGTAAAAAAAATCAACGAAAGATTGTACCACACATTCAAATTCAATATAAAAAATAATGCGATTCATATGACACAGCTTTTTTTTACTATTATTTAAGTATTCGCAAAGAGAATATTGTAACATGTAATAAATATATTGAATTTTTCGTCTGGAATGCTGAAATCTATATTTAAAAAGGAACTGAAACCAACTATAACAATAGTAATTTACATATAACAACATCCAAAAAAAAAGAAAAGGGTAAAAGGAAACTGTTCTTTTTGTTTCTATTGAATCAATGTAATAAAATTCTTCACTGGCACATATCAATTGTAATCGTTCTATTAGATAATGATGAATCAGATGATGTTCGATGATTTATTTTCTGATTATTTATTATCATTTTTCTATGATATCTTCTTGTTGATATTAATGATAAATTATTCATTAATGTTATTAATAAAAACCATCGAAAACGTATAGATTTTCGTTTATTTTGTTCAATAATTTGTTTTTCATCAATCAATAAAAATTGTTTATCTCGTCGTCGTTTATCAAGTATATTCATATAAATAATTTGTGTAAATGTGATTAATATTGGATGTGTATGCATTGCTTCAACATAAATATATGATGTATATGCTGTATAACCATTATCAATACCTTCTAAACTTCTTCCAAATATACTATAATCCAATCGTGGCATATAAAGTGCTAATGCAATAGATGATTTCAATAAACGTAAAATACATGAAATTATTCCAAGAAAACAATCAAAGAAAAAATTAAAATAAACAAATAGAAAATATGCATGACGATTTTCTAATGTAAATAAATGAGATTCATCATAATAATCATCGTCAGTAGACGATGTTGAAGAAGCAGATGAATCAACATAAATTGCTTGATCTAAAGAAAAAGTAAATGAAAGAAATTGACTCATAAATTTTACAACCGTCTACGATATATTTGTCATAAAAACGATTATCTATTTTTAATGGATCAACTTACCTTGTCTTTCATTATAAATATCTTGTTGATTGTTTTTTTGTTGATGTTCAATATTTTGTCTTAAATTTCTATGTGATCGTATAATTCTTAGGAAAAAATATTTTGTTAAACAATAAACAATAATATGTTTTAATGCAAATAAAATAAATAATGGTGCAAGAATTTTTAAAACAATTTTAATTAATAATGGATGTATAAATAAAATTTTAAATATTAAACATATAATAAATATTGCGTAATTTATAATAACAAAACCATATGCTAAATAACCAACTTGATAACCAGAATAATGAAATGATCGTTGTAAAATTGATGATGATGATACGGAATCAAATTTTTTCTTCTCATATTTTCCACGATAATAATCTAACATATCATTTTGATATTTTTTTAAACCAAGTAATAATTGTATAATATAGATGAAAAATGATGATAAACTTGAGATATAAATTTCTTTTTCAAATGAAAAATTTTCAAATAATTTTGTTGATAAATTTAAATTTGATACATTGATTAATTTAATTATTATATTTCCTGTTAATGTCATAAGAATTTTTAATGTAAATGTACTTGAAAATATAACTAAACATGTTAAATAATATAAAACAAGAAATGAAACTGTATATGTAAATAAAACCAATAATGAAAAACGAAAATATGCTTTTGGTTTATAAAATAAATGAATAAAATTGAAACAATTCGTCTCTTCATGTAATGTTTGAGTATACAAATAATAATTTGTTGATGATGGTTTTCGTTTATTATTAATTAAAAGATTTTTTGTATAGTACCAATCATTATCATATTCAATCGATGTTGTATGATATGTTGAATTTGTTATTGAATTCCATCGATCACTATTACCTAAAATTAAAAGAACATAATTTAAATAGCTGATCGTTAATCATAAGAAGCTTTGGATTCGGGGTGAAATGGATCGAATTCGAACAATTTAGGCATCGAAATGATTCTCCTGATATTAGCGGTGGCGCCAGGAATCTTGACTAGGGTAGGCTCAGATAGAATATCATTGGTTTTTTTAAGATCTGAAAAAAATTTCAGGGTGGGCTGGGCCACCGCAGCCCACGCTCGGCGCCAATTCGCTACATGCCTACATCTATCTCAATATTCCTTTTAGTTCGTCTTTCTGTCTCTATTACCTTTGCATAAAATAAGAAAATGTCGTAATGTTAATGTATAAAATCTTGCGATTATATGACCCAAAGCAACATAATGTGGAAGACATTTCATTAATAAATAATGTATACGTGTAATTTCAATTTGTGTACGAGTTTTTAAACTAATTATTGATGTTAATGTATTCACACAATTAGCTTCAAAATAAACTGATAAGAATAAATCGAATGTTAAAAAAATTGATGTAAAAAATGTTGATAAAAATGTTGGAATATTTAATGATAATAAGATTGGAAAATATCTTGCACCATAAAGTATAATTAATCCTAGACGTCGGACTAAATCATATAATATACCATGATGAAAATTAAAATTTGATGAAAATAATATTTCATATAATAATGTTATTAATTGATTTGATATGATTGCAAACACAATAATTGTATGAAAACGATTTGATTTTTGAAATGGATTAACAATAATTGGAAACGATAAATTTTGATAAAAACTTTTTTTTTTATCAGAATTTATTGTTTGATGAACAATAAATAGAAATATTGTTAATAAAATTGATAATGGTAACATTATTATATTTTGATTCGAATTACTTGAACCAACTAATTGACAGAGATAAGCTTTTGATGAATGATTTTTAGTTTGCTTTTCATTATGTTCATTATATATTGAACTTGTACGTTGAACACATATATAAACAATCGAGATTCCAGCAACAGTAACTGTTAGAAATGATTGAATAAATGTTAATAAACCATCCATAATTGGTTTAGGACGATGACGTTTAGAAGGTTTCATAAGATTTGGCCGAGGAGTTGGTAATGGTGGAGGAGGAATTGTTGATTTTTTGCAGTCAGATGATAATGGCGAAGGAGGATTGTATAGACGTGTGAATTTATTATATAAATTTCGAAATAAACAGCTTGATGAATTATTAGTCATATAATGATCACTAAAATAAAAAAAACATAATCTTATTTAAAATTCAAATATAGAAGAAAAAAAATTAAGTAACCTTCTCACCAATAAATATCTATTTTATCAAAGCGTCTTAAATCTACTTATTTATTAGAGAATTATCCTGATAATCTTACCTATGCTCATTTCGTCGTTGTATTTGTCTTCGTCGACGATCATTCTTATATTTTTGTGATCGTTTACATAAACAAATAATAATGCAAGCTAAAGCAATAAAGAGACTAGCTGCTATAACTTGTATTGCTTCTGAACTATCTATAATAAAAACAAAAACAAAAAACATGTTAAATACAACTAATTATTATTATTAATACATACATGTATCACAATAAGTTCCATTATAAAGAAAAGTACATTCACAATGAAATGTAGTTCCATCATTATTACATACACCATGTATTCCACATTGATTATTTTCAAAACAATGATCAACTTCTGTTAGAAAAAAAAAAAGGATGAATATTTTTGTATAGAAGTAAATTAAATTTTTTGTTACATACTTATTTTACAAAGTGCACGTTCAGTTTTTGTACATTCTTGTTGCATTAAACCAAAAAGAATTGTTGTTTCATTTGGTCTTAATAATTCGACTTTACCACATGGTTTTTGTTGTTGGTAAGGAAAAATAAGATTATTTGGTGCAATTACACTGGGTGGTGTATCAGCAAAATTGACTTCACGTCCATCTAACCATAACCATGATTCTATTGAGAAAGAAGAAGAATATTAGAGACATATTTTTTTTTCTATGAAATAAAACATACGATTTCGATAACTAAAACCAATATAAGCACCAAATTCGGTTGCTGATCGATTAAAATCTCCGATAATTTGTCTGATATAATCAAATTCAATATCATTATCAAATAATGCTAAACCACCTTGATTTTTATTTGGATTTGTATGAAAATGATTTTGACATAAATTATCAGCTTGTGACCATGTTACAAGTTGATTTGTTAATGAATAACAACTACCACGATAAGCAAATAATAATACAGATGATGCTGGACCAAAATCTCGGCAGTAGTCTAAAACAAAAAAAGAAACACCCATGTTCATTAGTCATTCGATAGAGACGAGTCAATGCGATTCACACATCCATATATATATAAATGTATACATAGTCAATTGTCAATTATGCATGCATAATTGCGTACCGCTTGTCGTTCAAGTGCCAACACAACAAATGAAGGTGACATTAAACGAGCGGCATTCATATTTCTAACTATCAATGAGGTGAATCAGAACGATTCAAAAAAAATTTCTATCTGTTAATAAGCCGTATCCGTGTATGAAACAAAGAAATACAATAAGTGTTATAACACACCTTCTGCAATTGACGATGTCGAGTAGATATTATTGACAGTAGCATGAGTAATGTTATTTGTATTTGCCTGATTAACTAGACGTTTTTGTGAAGTATCAGATATAACAATAGGTGGTTGATATCGTGGATTATTATTTGTAAGTTTTGTTTTTAAATGACGATATTCTATAAAAAAAACAAAACAAAGAAAGAATCAAATATCATTCATTAAATATTTGATTATTTTATTGTAACAAAAATATCTTGATAGTTGTTAACTATCATTGTATGGTATTATAATCTTCTCCTCCTCCCAACGGGAATAAATGCCACCTGTTGTGTTTATCATCTTTAAGGTGCTAGTGGCATTTTGATTTGTATCTCAAATCTTTTTTTTTTCTTCTGCCTAAAGCTGTTGACATCTCCTTGAAATCATATCCTCACTTGTCTTTAGGAATTCAATTGATGATTAGCTTTTCAACATCGTAAATCGTTTTATCTATTAATCATTTGCTTACTACTTGCTAGTGTCGGTCTAGTTTCTAGATGATGATGAATGTGTATAATTGTTTTATCATCTCTCCTCGGGCAAGATCAAAACGTTTTGCTTATTTCTGTTATCTATCGACTGAAATCATACGACGCTGTCAATATATGTTCTTCAGACATATATCACCTTAAGCTCATATAAGACAATATCGAAGTCACTTGACTCATAGACTATAATACAAGAAAAGATTGTCAGCTACTGAAATATATATATATCTAAATAGATAAGAGAAAAATATTTATTATACTTACTATCAGAAGTTTTTTGACGAATTTTATGAAGAACACCATTATCATCATTAAGCAGTGTTTGCCGGAATAATCCATTAGTAATTATTGGTGAAATAATAGACAAAATGAATACAAGGAAGAGTAGAAGGCCGAATTTCATATCTATAAATGTAGTCACAACATACAATTGTTTAATCTGTATATATATATATATGATGTCTCGCTCACGTATATGAGTACGCCTATATGAACAACAACAATCATAATTTTTCTTTCTCTCTCTCCCTCTCTTCTCTCTCTTTCTCTTCTCTTCTCTTCTCTTCTCTTTCGTTCTTTTCTCTTTTATTTACATATACCGATTGAACAGTATTGACTTCTTTATGTGCGTGCATGCCTCTTTTTTTTTCGGGACGAATGCGCTTCTTCTCTTTTGTTCCGATTTTTGTGTATTCTAATAATGCAAATTACCATATCATAGTTGATTATAGTTCATATGTTCAAGGCTAATCACGCGAACTGAAAATTAATTCTCTCTTTTGTATTTAATATTTTCTAAAATTTCAAATTAAAGCTTTCCAATCTCACAGCTTCTTGTTAATTTTGTCGTTTTATTATACTTTGTTTAACAATCATAAAATGATGATGTGGAGACGCATTTAATAATGATTGCACAATAAACAACAATAAGAGGAAAGAAATAAGTAGTACCGGATCGTTTTTGAAAGTGTGAATGCGAGAATGGCGATGTCCGAGCAAATATCACGTCTGCTTAACAAAATCTTAAGTCATAAAAATACGAAAGAATGAAGAAAGAGAAATGAAGAGAAGAAAAAAATTCGTCTCTTTATGTAAATGCTTCTTATTGGCAGCATCTTTTTACGTTTATGCAATAAGGCAAGTAGTTGCTAGTACCGTTCAATTAGATGTTACGACAATATGTACCATCACGTTCGCATACTCAAGTATAACAATAAGAAGAGAAAGAAAGAATTATTTCTTTTGCTTGAACTATATATATGTCACTTCTTTAATACATACAAAAAGGTACTCGTTTAATTGAATATTCAAGTACTGTATACTGCTGTTGCCATCACCATGATGACAAAATGAACAGTTGTTGTCTTCTTTTTTTCTGTCTTACGTCATTTCATTTTAATAATTGAAAAAAAATTGAATTTCGAAAGAAAACTCAAATGATTGATCACGCACACTTTTCATGACATCTTAGAGATAAACTAATAATCTATAGTGTAGTATTAACGGTATATAAAATTTGTTCATATACATGTATATGTCTTTGATCAAAGGCAATGATAAGCCAAAGTGGTTGATTTTGTTTTCTGTCTTGTTTAACAATTAATGATGATGGCCTTCGAGAAATCGAGAGAGAGTATAGACAGAGGCGGATCGTTCACAAATAATCACTTAGAAAATGAATGGGTGACAACAATGACACTCGAAAATAGATAATAGTATTCACTTCTGATATGATCATTGAATGAATGAATGAACATATGAGAATTCTTCAATTGTATAGTACTGTTGTTGAACATAATAGTTCATAAGAAAATGGTTACTTATATTGTTGATGTAACACTGACTAGGGGGTCAGTCAACCACTCCGCCCTTCCCTATGTCTCACATGAGTATCATTTAACTAGCAATAAGCAAGTTGGCACACATAACCTCTTGTAATAGACAAGTACTACCAGACGACTATTCTTTCTATCCAATATTCCCTCTTCAGTTGATGAACGGATCGTTTGTGCATAATAATGCCATCCATTTATTTTGTTCGTTGTTAGTATACGCGCGCTCTTGCGTTTGCAAACAAATGAATTACCTCAAGAGGCAAAATATATACAGGTGAACGTGTAATTCGAGAGAACACACTAGTAGTTGTTCTTGCTAGTAGCAGACAGATACGCCCTCGTGTATGTGTATGTGTATGTATGTATGTGTATGCATGCCTCTCTTTACATCATACTCAAGAACCTTCATTCTATTAGGCGGCGACGACTAAAGTGCTTGTATAGGTAAACATGAAGTGAAGACTCTTCTCTTTTCGCAGACAACAGAGTAAATAGACGATCAACAGACAGACAACCTAGGTCATCATGCTCCTTTAGTTTTACTTCTCTTTACCTTCTTCTTTTCTTTTTTTTTTGTATTTATACGTTAATTGAACAAACGATTATCATTGAATAAAGTCATTTATCACTCGCACCCTTAATATAGCAATCATCACTATCATTATCTCAAGGACATGATTTTAGACACACGTCTTTTTACTCTCATTGTCTAAATGAAGATATTGGACAGATCGTCAATTGATAGAAGTACTTTACTTTTGCTTGTCAATCATTTCCTCCTTACATAAGCGCTTTCTCTGTATATACATATATATGTATATGTGCTGGATGAAGTTCGAGTGATAATCGAAAACAATCCATACAAGCGCTTGTATTAACTGCTTGACATGTAATCGAAACAAATTCCAACACGTTCATTCTTTCATTCTTTCTTCTTTGTTAGCTTTCGATCATCATATGTGTGTGTGTATATGTATATACAACGCATCATTCTCATCTAAAGTTAATTCCTGGTGTCATGGACGTTACGTGATAGAGTGAGTATGTGTACAAAGAGCTCAATCAAAACGGAAGATATGATCTCTAAAGAAGAAGTCCTTCGTGTATGTAGATCAAATGTACCGCATACGTATATATACACACCAGACAAGATAACAAGTGCAGCAAAACAAAGAAAAGATTAATCAGTATAAGATATTGAAAATAAACAATTGACAATTAAATTGTATTATAACTTGAGATTGCTTTCTCTTTTCTTTTTTACTTCTTACCTGTTTAAATCCAGTCAAATCACATTAATTTATTATTGATCAATTGTATTATCATCATGACATTTATATTTTAACGTTAGACGAACATTTCCGTTCTTTTATTATCGTATTCATCCTTCTTCTTACTTGTACTACAATTTAAAACGTCGTTCTATTTATGTCTCCTCCTCCTCCGTTTCTTTTCTCCCACTCATATAGATGTATGCATACATATTATATTCATCACAATCACCTATTCGTTATATATATATATATATATATGTATATACATATATAGTACATACATATACACACAGGAGATCAATAATCATGGCGCAAGTAGAAAAGAGATGGAATTACAGCTATTGTTCTACAATATATATATGTATATATAATGTGTGTAAGGCCCACTCTTATGCAAGCCACCTCCTCATTGTCGCACCTTTTTTAAGTTATATTATACAATGATGACGAGTAGACTGACATAGCCTAGCCGATAATCGTCATGTTTGTTTTATAATGAGTATAGCGACTGTTTCTCCATTTACATCTACACCCACCTATGGTGTGTGAACTGTCAGTATGTCTGAAGACATAAAGAATTCCCTTTTTTCTTTTTTGTATAACACCTCATTTGTTCCATTTATTCATTCAATCTGTCTGTCTGATATGTCAATCAAATAAATGAGAATAAATTTTCATATGTCATCATTCCTATCAAAATATGTGTATTTCAATAAACACAAAACAAAAAATACATAAGAGCAAAATAAATAAAAGATGACAAAATGATATTATTATCTCTATACAAACAATTAACAATATACACATATACATTTAAAAAAATCGACAAATCACACAAATAAGATAAACTAGAATTAACTAAGATCTTTTGGTGCAGCATCGACAATACCTTCAGGTCCAATAGCAAAAACTGAATCTGTTTCAGGCAAACAAGGACTATCTGCTACATGACATATACGTGAATCACCTTTGCCTTTTTTTAAATAAAGTCTTAAATAAATATAGAAAGAATGATGAATTATGAAGTTATATAAATGTAAACTAATAATACCGTGTTGTTGATGCATGAGCCATAATATTACCACCGATAGGTTTCTTTTGATCACCATACATTGCATTACCATCGACTTGAGCCACAACTTGATTAGTAAGTATAACAGCAACACCAAACTATCAAAACAATGACAAAAAAGAATTTTTTATATAAATAACAACTAAATTGAATAGATCATCTTATCAAACCTCATCAGTTATACGTAATAACATACGCATAAATTTTGCTAATTGCATTTGTCGATTAGCTAATTCACCACGACCAGAATAATCTGTTCGAAATAAGGATGTTGCACTATCAACAATTAATACAGCATATCTAGTTTTAAAGTAAGATTAAATTTAAATATAAATATGATAATAAAAAAATCTACCTTGATTCACACATCATAGCTGTTGCCATATATAATAATTGTATTTGATGATCTGTATTATAAGCACGAGCATAAGCAATATTATCCAAAACATCTTGTCCAGAAAGACCATATCGTTCTGCTATAGCTAATAAACGTTCAGGTCGAAATGTACCTTCTGTATCAATATAAATGGCTTTGCCTTCACCACCACCCATATCAATAGGTAACTAATGAAAAAAATAAACTTATTTTTTTCGAAAAAAAAACTAAAGATAAATGATATACTTGGCAAGTAACAGCTACTTGATGACAAAGCTGACTTTTACCACAACGATATTCGCCATATAATTCAGTAATTGAACCAGTTTCAAAACCACCTTGTAATTGTTTATCAAGTTCTTTTGAACCAGTTGTTAATTGAATGATTTCAGAACGTTTTTGATGATATTCAGTAGCTGTTGTAAAACCCATTGGTACAAGTTTAGCTGCTTCAGCCTAAATAATTTAGTTGTTAATATGTGCATAGAGAACAAAAAAGAAAACTTACAGCTAATTTATCGGCTTTTGCATCACTAATACCTTTAACAGCTAAGAGACTTTTTCGTGGTGCAAAAGCAATCGATTCCACTGTACAAAAGCCTGCTTCTTGTAATTTTTTTACATCTGCAGTACCAATACCACATGATTTATCTAATTTAGTAATTGGTGTTGGTCCACCAATATCATTATCAATCGATACACTATCATTAATTTGTATAGTAGAACTATTAGTCGTTGATGGTTGAATTGATGATGATGATGCTGTTGTTTCTTTTTCTTTTTCACTTATTGATTCTCGTGTTTTAGTTTTTGGTGGCATTCTTATAACGAAAAAAAAAAATAAGATTAATGTTCTAATGAAAGAGAATGTTTAATTTATATGAGAAAATATATGCACTAGAACAATGACCAACGGTCGATCTTTAAAACGTGAGTCAGTAATTAATGTCATCGTTATTATTCTTTGTATTTAGTTCGTTCGTACTCAAAAGTAAGTATTGAACCAATCTAATTCTATTTTAATATTATTTAAATAATTTTAGAATTTCTAAAATAAATCCGATATTTTTTGTATCAAATGAATCAATAATAAACGCTAGATGTCATTCATATCCATAGAATAAACTTTGATTCGTTCAATCAATCCAATATTTACCGAACGTGCAATGTTTCTAATATTGATTCCATAGAATGTTACTGTTTAGCAACACAATGACAGTCACAGCTGTTATTGAGTAAGTGCCATATTTCAGAACAATCGTTCTCAATATATTTGCTTTTAGATATAATAGTAACATCCTGTTTGTATGACTTAGAAACACTAAGAGTATATATTTTATTAAGTACTATACTATCAAATAGATTATGGTTCAAATATCAATAATAAACCGATGAAAATAATTTCCTGCAATACTTTTTTCCGGAAACTATTTTCTCCTTTCACTGTTGTTCTATATCCAAAGAAAACACTTATACCTACGAGACAAATTGCTCGTAACCTAGTTTGTACTGGATTACGTATTAGAAAAGTAATAGATGTATTCAACTTCTTTTTTTTTAATGATAAGATTTTCCACGTGTGTGATCATATAGAATTAGAATGGTAGAAACTCAAACTAATCTATCATGCAATCAATCAAAAAAAAATTTAGTTTTAGATATGACTACTTCACGAGTATTTTTTGATGTTTATGCTGATAGTACATCTCTTGGTCGTATTGTATTTGAATTATTTGATAGTGAATGTCCGAAAACATGTGAAAATTTTCGAGCATTATGTACCATGGAAAAAGGTTATGGATATAAATCATCAATATTACATCGTGTGATTCGTGGTTATTTTTGTCAAGGTAAACAAATGATTCATTCATTCATTTATTTATTTACATTCATTATTTTTATTTTTAGGAGGTGATTTCACTTCGTACGTATTCATTTTTATATTTCGTATTATATTTATTTATCTTTTTTTTAAATTAATTTTAGATATAATGGAACAGGTGTATGTATTTCATAGATAAAAAAAGATTTGAAAGTAATTATTTGATTGTCTATAGGGAAAATCAATATTTGGTAAGAAATTTGATGATGAAAGTTATAATAGAAAATTTACCACACCAGGATTATTAGCAATGGCTAATCAAGGTCTGTTAGATTTGATTTTTATTTTCATATGTATGTATTATCTTTGAATATTTTAAAGGAGCAAATACAAATACATCACAATTTTTTATTACTCTTTTACCATGTCCATGGTTAAATGGTAAAAATGTTATATTTGGTCATGTTGTTGAAGGTATGGATGTGATTAAACAAATTGAAACTTATGGAAGTGAAACAGGTGTACCTACACGGCGTATTCTTGTTAATGAATGTGGTGTATTGTGAACAACATATATATGATATAAATTTCTTTTGTTTTTTTTTGTTTTGTTGCAGTGAATCTCTTATACGCACCGTCCATTTTAAAATTTGATTTCTTTTGTTTATTCTTTTTTATTTAAATAATCTTTATTCATATACTTTGTGTGCGCATGTGTGTGTTATTAGGAACAAAAGAAAAATAATAATTAGAGAATGACGAATGAATTTATGAAGGTTTAACTATAGTTCATTTCTAATAAATGTAAGAAAAAGAAACAGAAAAAAAAGGAGAGACGATTGGTGGATGAATAATCTTGCAATATGAGCATTCTATACTTTTTTTTGTGCAAGATGAGGAAATGGGGTAAAAAAAAAGGAAAGAAACATTAGTAATGCAAGTCGGCTACAATCTTTTTTTCTTCTTCTTCTTCTTTTTTTTACCCTTCATTTCTTTCTCATCAGAAACTATAAATGAACTAAGTGACTTGTTTGTTTTATATTCTACAGATACTATAAGCATTATCAATCAGTATGATTTCCTTCAATTGGTTTTTATTGATATTTTGTACTGTTGTGTATTCTCAAAGTATATTAGTTATTGATAATTTATTTTTCTAATTATAATCATATTTATATATTTATTACAGACTGTTCCGATTATTATACATGTCAATTAGAATTATATGATCGAACTCTAAATAATTCACGTCCATCTATACGTCCAATAAAAAGTGATTCAGAAAAAATTAATGTTCGTCTAGGATTTTCATTGATTCGACTTGTTTCTGTAGTATGTTAATTGAGTTTTTCTTTTGAATCAGAAAAAATAGACAAATAATGTTTTTTTTAGAAAGAAGAAGATTCATTATTTACAATTCGCGCACATTTAAATCAAGTAAATAGAAAAATTATGTATATATTTAATAATTATAATACTTTGATAGACTTGGAATGCTCCAATACTCGGTTGGAATTTAACAGCATATTCAAATGTTCGACATTTTCGTGTACCTGCACATTCCATTTGGACACCAAAAATAGAATTAGTTAATCCGTATGAATTGCTGTTTTAATTTGACTCATTTTATATATAGATCTTCTTTAGGAGTACAGTGATCGACTCCGAAGCAAATCATTTTATTAATATTAATTCCGATGGTCTTTGTGAATTATCTTATTCAACTCTTCTTACAATTCCATGTAATTTTGATCTAAATAGTTTTCCATTTGATCAACAAACATGTACATTCAAAGTAATAAATATATTTCGAATATAATTATTCTAATTTGTTCTATAGATGGGCTCAGCACTTTATGATATAAATGAAGTAGCAATAACACAAGCGATTGATTTTGTGATTGATGAACCAGATTTAATGCCAAATGGTTATTCTTTTGGATCACATACAGTTGAACAAAAACCGACATTTTTTGCTGGTTTTGCTAGAACTTATGATCAAATAATTATGAATTTTATGATTCATCGACGTTCAACATACTTTCTTCGACTAATTAATTGGCCAAGTTCAATTCTTATACTTTTAACATTAACAATTTTTCTTCTTCCACCATCAGCATCGGAGAGAATTATTTATGGTAAATATATATATTTTTCCTTTGAATAAATAAAATAAAAAATTTATTTATTCTGTCTCAGGTATATTAATACTTATATGTCAGTTTATTTTATTAACAATTTTTGCTTTCTACGTTCCAAAACGACTTGGTTCAACATGGCCATGGATGGGACGCACTATTTTCTATGATATATGTTTAACTGCCATGACATTAGTATTTTCAGTATTCGTTCGATTACTATCCGATGGAAAACATTATTCATCAGAAAGACCGCCAGCTAGAATACGTAGTGTATGTATATAGAAGAAGTAGATGTTTTTTCTTAGTATGACTAATATTAATTTTTAGTTTGTTTTTGGTTATTTAACAAAATTAATTGGTTTCAAACGGTTATCATATGCAACTTTAATTGCAAACCGTGAAAAGTGTGTCTTTTTTTATTGTTTACATATTTAAATTATTTTTTTTCAATAGTGAATATGATACAAATGATACAGCAACCAATGATTCTTTGATGGAACCATTAACATCAGTTACAAATAATTCAACAACAGCCGATTCTCGTAATCAATCATCGAATATAATAAGTCGTGATGTTAGTTCAATAAAACAAAAATTGAATCAATTTTCTAATGAACATAATATTCAACAAGAATGGATTCTTCTTGCTCATATTTTCAATCGTTTATGTTTTATCATTTATTTATTTTTTTTCTCATTTTCAATTGGACATCATTTATTTTATACATAATAAAAAAATAATTTTTTTTTCGAAATAAAAACATGCTTATATGGATTATCGATATTTTTTTGCCGTAACGCATGATTTATTTGTCTTATTGATTTCGTTTTTTTTTTCTTCTTTTTTTTACTACGTATTCATACACGTGTAATACTGTCAATTGATTGAAGTTAATGATATGGAAATAAGCATAAAAAGAATGTACGTGTGAATGATCAGGAAACACAATCAACGAAAAAAAAAATCGACGACGATCAAGGTGTACTTATATCTGTCTGCCTATTCCGACAAAACCTTCAAATCTTATTAAAATATTCTTTTCATTTAGTTTTTATATAATAATGGGTTGTTGTGGGTCAACAAAGAAGAAAAATAATACAGTAGAACATTCTCCTAGTTCATTACCAGTAAATCGTGAAATAATGCCTGAGCTTTCAGATACTATCATTAATGATTTATTAACGAAAACAAAATTTTCAAAACAAGAAATACTTGATTGGTGGTATGGTTTTTTAACTGATTGCCCATCTGGATTATTAGATAAGAAGAAATTTATTGAAGTTTATCAATATAAATATCCAAATGGAAAAGCAAAAAAATTTTGTGATCATGTTTTTCGAACATTTAATCCAGATAAGAAAACTCATGTGATTGATTTTGAACGTTTTATGTGTGTAATTGATATAACTTTAAATGGAAGTACGGATGAGAAACTTGAATGGGCATTTACAATGTATGATATTAATGGTGATCAACGTATATCAAAACATGAAATGTCATGTGTTGTTGAATCAATGTTTGATTTATTAGGTAAAGATAGAAAAGGAGGCAATGATCCACGAAGACATGTTGATCAAATATTTTCACAAATTGATTCGAATCATGATAATTATGTTAGCAAAGAAGAATTCTTATCAGGATGTAAAGCAGATGAAAAAATTCGAACAATTCTAGCACCACAATACTGATAATATCATACTTTTCTTTTCATTTATTTGTCACAAAAAAAAAACAAGAAGAAGAAGAAGAAAGTTTATTTTTCTTCTTCTTTTTGTTTAGATGAGACTTGCTAATTATAAGCAAAAGAAAAAAGATAAATATATGAATATTTGTTTTTTTTTTGTTGAGTTATTTATATATATATCGAATTAATGATGATTCAAAATAAAAAAAGGTATTTATCTTACTTTAGTGTAATATGTTTACAATGACAGCTTCTATTAATCTTATTTTTTGTAGATCATATTTTTAGAATCTTTTTACTATATAGAAAAATTGTCATAGTTTTGTAATTAACTGTTTTTCTAAGAAAAGTATATAAGAATCATAGTGATTTATTTGCTTAGTGTTCAGCAAACGCATTTTAAACTCGTTATTTTCAATATATTATTCTGTATATAATTATTTAATAAATCTTTTTAAAATGTAACATGTGATATTATATAGTATATTGATGAATGGAGGCTCTTATCTTACCTGCTCGAATATAAGTCTTCTCAACAACTATACTATAGTTATTATTCGAAAAATAATTCATACGTAAATACAATGATACTAAGTATCATCAGATATATTATCATCTATGTATTTCGTCTCATTAAAGATTAATAATTTATACAGAATAACTATTCTATTATTCTGATCATATCGAACAAATAGTAGATACAAATAAAAAACAAGATTTATTCGTTATCTATTATCCATTTACTATTATTATTGCGAGTACTCTGTTTAACGTTTTTACATTTATCTTGAGGGTGTGGGTGTGAGTAATATATCCATCACATACCCTCACAAATACAAGATAGAAAATATTAAGGAATATAAGTGAAGCAATAAAATATCAATATTTAATTACAAGTTGGATTTTGTCAGAAGATACAAATCACTTATATCAGGTTTAATTCATCATGTTAATATATGATATATATATAATTATCAGAGATAAAACTAGTTTTTCTGTACGAAGAGAGATCATATATTTAATATCAATCAGTCGAACACAAACGACTAACGTTCTATCCGATCTTCAGTTGATTGAAAAACAATTGTAGTTCAGCATCGTATATTTTGAAATAATTACGCTCGATCGTTATCAGTAAGAAACCATGACAGAGATCCAACTATTTCTACCACAATCATTAATTATTTTCTCATGCTAAAATCTACAACAAGCTACAAAAAAATAGTAAACAGCTTGCTCTGTAATACATCTAATATACAAGTTTTGTTTGCGATATATCTTCATCCCAAGATGTATGTCTGATTTAGAATGAGGTATAAAATTGAACGTTTCCTCGATTTAATATTCAAATGCTATAGTGAATAAGAAACGAAATCATTTTCTTATGTAGCTCTTTACAAGAGCTGAATTACAATGGAGTTTCATGCCACTGAGATTAAAATTGATGACAAACGAACTACATTTTTCATATTGTACGTTCTTGCACTATTTGTTCGTAGTGTACGCGTACTATTCTGCCGTGTACTAATAGTTCGTACTTTGTGTTAGTATTACCTCTTTTTTTTTGCATCGTCATCCTGACAAAACAGAATTCACGTATAAAAGGAGACAGAAAAGGAGAAGAAATAAAAGAACGAGAAAAATACTATTTTCAACAACATCAACCACAACGAGTTGCTCAGTTGACGAAGAAAAGTACAAATAGGTAAGAACGCACTTCTTGAATAACGTTGAAATGAGAACAAAATATTTGCGGCATAAAAAGTTCTGATTATAATGAGACATCTTTCAGCTTGAGACGAAGTTTTTTTCGAGATTTAATTTCGATATTTGAAAATGAAACTGTAGAAAAACTCAGGACCGAAGTAATTTTAGATCTGCGATACTTTATTTGTTTTCTATGATAAAAATTTAAAGGAAAAATATCTCTTGATTCGTTCATCGAAAACTACAAATTCTATAATGCTAGTATCACTGCTATGACTATAGATTAGAATTTTACATACCTTATCTTTTAACATTTCTTACTACAAAGAAACATATACTATTTAAAGCAATTGAGAAAGCAATTGGACTGGAGTTTAGTTTTGACAAATTCTACATTTCTTGTTTAGTTTTATAGTATAAATTTAAAGGTGTAAACAGATGTCTTTTTGTGGTCGATCTTGACAACCTGCTTTTCTTCCTAGATAATTTTTTGTCTTCGACTTTAGTTTAGACAAATATCTTCTTGTTTTAAATCACTACATTCTCAAATACATACATAAAATGGCGCAACAGTATGCCAATAAACAGCCTCGAGGCTTCAAAAATCATGTTGAAAAAGTCGCGATTGTGGGGGTAAGTTGATTTCGCTCTCGTAGTCAAGTTCTACTCTAACTTTGATAACAGGGGGGTGGCCAAGTCGGCAAATTCATCGTAGAAGAACTGCTCAAGATCGGAAAACATAAAATCATTGCACTTACTCGAGAAGATAGTACAAGTAAGATGCCGCCTGGTGTGGAAGTCAAAAAAGTCAATTACGATGATTCGTCATCGCTCGTGTAGGCGCTCAAAGGCCAAGAAGTCCTCATTATTACAATGGCAGCAACTGCACCGAAGGAACAGCAGACCAAGCTTATCGAGGCTGCAGCAGCTGCAAACGTATCGTGGGTCTTACCAAACGAGTTTGAAGGTGACCCTACTGAACTGGAAATGCAAAAGGACTCCTTGATTGGTGAGGCGAAGGCTAAATACCGCGATCACATAGAAAAGCTGGGCAAAAGTTCCTGGATCGGCATCGTCTGCAGCTTCTGGTACGAGTTTAGCCTGGCCGGTACTAGCGCACGGTATGGTTTTGACTTTAAAAATCGTACCGTTACTTTCTTTGATGATGGCAACACTCGCATTAACACCAGCACCTGGCCTCAAACTGGTCGGGCAGTCGCCAAACTGCTTAGTTTAAAGGTTCTTCCGGACGACGCAAATGACAAGAGTCCATGTCTGAATGATTTCAGAAACAAGTTTGTCTACGTCTCGTCTTTCAATGTTAGTCAGAAAGATATGTTGGATTCTGTTATGCGTGTAACGGGCACCAGTTTGAAAGACTGGAACGTGAGCCACGAGCCGGTCAAGGAGCGCTACAAGACCGGAATGGAAGAGTTTCGCAATGGCAACATGATCGGCTTTGGCAAACTGCTTTACTCGAGAGCGTTTTATCCAGACAAGAGTGGCAATTATGAAGAGAGAAAGGGACTACACAATGACCTTCTAGGTCTGCCTAAGGAAGACTTAGATCAATACACGAAGATTGCTGTTCAGATGGCAGAGAAGAGTGATTGATTCCAAGAACATTATGCCACACTTGTTCTTTCATGCAGTCCATAAGAATACTCATCAATAAACTTTCGAAACTTTATATTCTCGCTGAACGATTAGCTTTAGACCTTTGTATTTACATTTTAAACTTCATATATTTATTTTTTTTGTCCAGCTATCGATTTGTGTGTTTATAGAAAGTATGAAGAACAAGAGTATTCGCTTAGTTGTAGAATATTCTTTCACATGAGGATGGGTGTGGGTGTGGGTGTGGGTGTGGGTGTGGGTGTGGGTGTGGGT